ACTATAAGTTTGGCTTTGGCTTGCGATTACGTTTTTCTCATCAAATTGTGACAGTTTAACAAAACATTGGTTAGCTTTTGTCGATTGATACTTACGCTTTTTAAGGAAAAGAAAAGACATAAATATTACGGAGTACTGTAAAACCCCTTACAAATCAATACGAGTAGTAAAGATTGTTGACGTCTATACCCTTCAACTCAATGCAACAAAACAATGTTGACTCAAAAAAATCACCCATAAATTAACAAGTGCGTGTAATTATAAATACTTCCTTTGTTTCTCTTTTTTTTTTTTTTTTTTTTTTTTTTTTTTTGTCACGTTAGATTTCACACGGTCTCCAAAACACGTTTAGTAACGTAAATAACTTAATTTTTTAATATGCGCAAAAATTACAAAACTTGATAATAATAAAATATATAATGAGACAAATTTAACAAGAACTCGCAATTATTTAATCTCTTATTAATTAATGAGAATTTATGATTAAAATACTCCATATTTAAAATTTGACTCAATTATTTGTAATGTGGCAAAAAAATTAAGGACAGAAAAAGTCATTATATAAACTTCTCCGTATGTAAAAAGCAATTAAAGTGATTAAGACTTTAGTGAGTCAATTTATTGATAGAACAAGGCATCACAATTAATTCAAACCCAGCAAATGGATTTGAACTCTGAAGCTGCGAATGGACGTACTCGTGGGCCATTATAGTACTGTCAGATCTGATCTGAATTGGGGTTAGTTAGCCTATCACAGTCAGAGCCCACGGTTTATTAACCTAGGTTTGATGGTGATATGTCATTATATGATTGGCGGTTTAAGGATTTGAGGCCCATTGGGCCTACCACTCTCACTGTTGGATCAGCAGACTAGAAAATTCTCTGGCGTAAAGCCCAGCCCACTAGAGTGATTAAGTCTTTGGGCTTTGATTTTTTAATTCTTACATTAAAATGACAAGCTCAAACTAGTTAAATGAAGAGAGAACTTTAATTTTAATGTAGAAGTACAAGTGTACAACCTTCTAGGATAAGTGAAATCTACTTGCTACATATGAAATATATGTATTGTTTCATATTTGATGTCTCTTATTGAGAAGTTATTATTACACCTATTACTCTTAAGATAGAACCTCATTTGAACTTGTTTGTAGATCTGATATTAAAGTCCAAATTACTTAACCTTTCATAATAGGATATTTACACGGATATCATTCCATTAATTAAAGAGTCTCTACAAAACATTTAATGTTAAGAATTATAATGATAGTGTACCTTAACTAAGGTGTGCACTTTACTTCGTATAAATACTCGCATGTAAAGGATAATATTGAGCAAAAAGAAGTTGAGGAGAACAAAGTCTAAGTCTGGAGAGTAATGAATATTCGAGATATATGATTAAATTTCAATTTTATCACTCCTTCTATGGCACTTAAAATAAAGTGTCTAGCTAAGTCCCCTTCTTAAGTGGGGAAGGTGGCCAAGGAGTGTGAATTAGGAAGAGGAAACTTGGGAAAAGATACAGTCCTCTCATCTTACTCCTTTTCCAAATTTCTTAAATTTGTTGACCCCTTTATATATGGTTATTAATATATTGACTTATTCAGTTAATCGATTTTATCATTTGATTCATTGCTATGAGTTGTTGGCCACAACACAAGGCTCACTAGGCTAGTGGACCACTAATACTTTTGCATTTAATTTTTTTAATAGTATCATATTTAGTCATGAAATTCTCCATAGTATCATTAGTTCTCAAAATGGTCCTAAATCACCTAATCATCTTGCCATGGTTAAAATTGACATGAGCAAAGGCATATATGGGTTTCTTAAACAATGGTTACAAATGATACAACAATGCATCTCGATCTTACAATTATCCTTTAGATCATTCTGAACGGGAAGGTTTCTTATCAAGGTTTTCCTTAGTGTACTATTCGACAAAGTAACCCCCTCTCTATACCTTTTCCTCTTCTGCATACATGTCTTGTCTCGAATGTTACATCTAAACCAAGATCCTAAAAAATTCAAGGTACAAAAATTTTTAGGTGATGTCTATTAAATTACCTTATAAAGTCTAGTAAGCTATTGATCACATCATTCCTACTAATCAATCACTCTCAACATGATTAATATTGTAGACCGTTGATATTATATATTTATCCGTACGTGATTCACACAAATAACATATTTCGCTGTTATCGTGCCAAAGTATGTTCATTGTATACAATCATAAACCTAGCTTTCAACAAAACATGCTAATTTAGTGCCAAAAGATTTGCAACTGAAAGAAGAATAGTATAAAAGCCAATGATGGAGATAATCTGAAGGAGAGAAATTCATGTGACATGATGGTTGGTACCATAATGAAGTATGGACCTATCTTAATGTATAAATGGTGAGATTACATCAACAGTCAAAGGTGGTTTTCATTGCTGTCTCAAATTTTATGTCTTTTTGGCTCAAAAAGCAAACCCACACTTACATAACTTGCTTTCTTTACTCTTCATTCTTTTAGCAACCTCAACAAAAGCTCCCCACTTCAGTTGCATTTTTGGCCCTGCTACCCTACTATTGCCTTTCCTCTGTTCTATCTGCTGAAACACACCATGATTTTTTTTTATTATTATTGTCATTACTAGTAGGTTCATCCTATCCTTACTCTTCTTCTGGTTGAATGTCTTAATCTCATTAGTAGATTCGGCTACATAAATTAACATGAGGAAATCCCAAGAGGTCACCCATCCTAGTACTACTCTCAATCATTGTGGCTCATAATAAGCGATGTGACAAAGTTTTTTACTGACTGTCACTGGCCTACCGTAACCCTCCCCCTTTATCCAGGCTTGAGACTGGCAGCAAAAACCTACTGTCGGAGTTTCATCTCATCCTTACTCAACCCGTTCGTAATTAGATGCATTAAGTATATAAAACAAATGTTGTCATGTAATATATTCCTTACTAGTCGATCGTAAAGTATAAGTTCATATAATTGATTACCAATAGATAATTACAGATTTTAAAGGTCAAAATTGTGCATTGACAAGTACAAGTGTGTTAGTTATTAGGCTGATGTATTTAGACATAGAGGGAGGGAGTACATAATTTTGTTCAATTAAGCAGCTTAAAATAATTCAATTAAGTAGGACCAGCTAAAAGTAATGAATTAATAATAAAGGGGAAAATGAAATGGTGAAATTTAGGTGTGAATCAAGATATGTTAAATTTAGACAACATTTGGTGAAAGCACATTAGGCAAACTTACTGTGTTTTACCAGAAGCCTCCACTTAGTGCCAAACATTCATTTACACATTTTCTGACCATTTTTGGTCTGATACTGTTCCCACTTCCCAGTGCTTGTTAAATGTTAACTACTGAGAGATAGAGTTACATATTCATATGAAACTACCAAATTAACACAATAGAGTATTAAACTAGGGGAGGTTGTTAACTAGATTTGACAATTTGATTAAGGGTTTTAAGTGAAAATAATGGAACTTCTTTTGTCAGATGATTAGCTAAAAGTTAGCATATGTATGCTTGATTAGAAATGTGATTACAAGTTTGATGGTATAGTTTTTACCCAAAATGGATTAGAATTGCGAGGAGAATATTTTAGCAAAGTAGTTGGCGAAAATAAGTTATACGAGTAAGTCACTTACAAAAAGAGAACCTGCATCACTTGTCGTTTAAGTTAATAGCCCCGCAACATAAAACTATTATCAATTTAAAAAATTAAAAACCCCTTTCATTATATGCATTTTAACCTTTCTAATTCGGCATATATAAATGAAATGAAGTGAACTAAGAGTCTAAAAAGTTGAGTAATTGGCGGAAATTTGTGTTAAGTGGATATGAAACAAATTTATCAAAATCAGGTAATTAGTTGATACACAACAATGAAGAAGTAACCAAAAAAACAAGAGAAGATACTCATTTCACATTGACCATACTTTTGGTGGGAGCAATGAATCAAACAAGTCAAAAACCTAAGTTATGTCAAATAAACTTCTTATCCCATCTACAAATAAAGTTAGTTTGTCCTTTGCTTGATTCTTGATCTTCAAACTTATTAGCCAACTGGCTTGAACACTTGAACCATATTCCAAGCGGTCCCAATTCCAACTATAAAACTAGGGAAAAAAAATGATGCAGGTAAATATCAGATTGCCAAAGAATAAACACTTCAATTGCCCCACTCCCCCCCTCTTTATGTGTCTTTCTTTTGTATCTCCTCCCATCACCACCAATTTTTCTATTCATTCTTAGGCGCAATCTTTAACGTACGGAGGGAGTATCTGGGGTTGAAACTTGATCCCGTCTAAGTTTGAGTCTAGAACTCGAACAAATTTCTATTATACACTCGGTAAAGAAATATCCCTACTTAAAGTAGGGCGAGACCCTTATATAAGGTGTCCCACACAGGGGAAGTTAGAAGCAAAGAAAACAAATGTTTGATAATAAGGCAGTCAGGTGAAATGGTGGTGGGTGGCCATACCTTTAAGATAGAGCTTCACAAATTTGACACAACAGTAATGCTTATAGATTTGTCAACTTTGATTGCTAATGATTCCATTTCCCAATCATTCCTAATTTGATTCATCTTTCAAATCAAGAATATAATTAAACTTAAAATTAGCCTAACCACTATGTAATCTTCCATCATCAAGGGGCCCATTCGCCCCGATTAGGAAGGTTCTTTCTTGTAATTAAGCTATCAGATGGAGTATTAACTTAATCACCTTCCTTACTAAACTAATTTAACAAAAACCACAGAGTTCCAAGGCAAAAGAGTATATATACTCTATGTTATTGTTTGCTTATATATATATATGCAGTAGTATATGCACAAGGCATTTTCTAAAGAATGACTAGTTAGAGAACTTTTGAAGCTAAGTTTTAATATACTACTAAGACATTCAGCTTCCATAATTGTAGAAAAATAGCATATAAAAAAGGACAACTAAAAAATTCCCAAAGTTCCAGAAAAAAGCAACAGTTTTTAAATAATTTATCTGTTTGTTCATTCAACCAAGCATGTGTCAAGTGATTAGTAGTACATAACTTGCTGAAATAATATAAAAATGTAAGGATCTAATCATATTTTGGCACCAAAGACACCAAATCTAAGTAATAAGTCTCAGAAGACAGGACATGAATGTCAGAGCTTATGGATGAAATGAGAGAAATCTCATTAGAAAAAAGAATTCATGCTACCAATTCAATGATTCAAAACAATTTTATAATCAAGCTCAATTAATAAAAGAATAGCACCAAAGATTCTATGTTTACGACAACTAATTAAGATTAGACATCTATATATATCTTTGGAATAAAGTAAATAAAGAAATGGAAAAACATGTGAAGAAGAAAAAAACTACCAAGGTGCAAAAAAAAATAAAAATCTGCTGCTTTCTTTTGCTTCCTAGAAGCAGCCAGCCAATGAAACAGTTACCTTAAAAACAGAAAATAAGACTTAGTCCTTGACAAAATACTAACAATAATTCCAGCATATTATACTAAAGAAAAAAAAAATGAAATTTTTTTCAAGTTTTAATCTTCCACCAATCCAACCAAACTGTCTGTAGTCTGTACTCTGTACACTCATCTGCATTTTCATGGAACCCATATGACCCACCTTAAGAATAATCCCTTTTCTTTTCATTTTTTTCTAACTTTTTTGGGGACCCCTCAAAGTTTCCACATTTCCCACAAAGCAATAAACTTTCATGCCATTGAAACTTCCAACCTACCATGCCACAAACTGTGAATTTTCTTCTTCTTCCATTGGTGCAGGAAGGTTAAGATCAATCAAAGGCTGCTGCTGCTGCTGCTGCTGATGCTGGTGTTCGGATTTCGGCATTGGCGGTACCACCACCGGCCTATCAATCCTCGGCTTCTCCTCCAACTTCACCACCCCTCGGCCGGCTCCCATCATATGGGACCTCTTGTGACCCCCTAATGCTTGGCCTGACTTGAACACTCTAGTACAATATGGACATTTGTGACCCTTAACTTTCTTTGATTTGCTGCTTGTTGTAGCACTAGTACCCATAATCTTACCACTTGAAACACCCACCAAATTCTGCTTACCTAAATTATTATTATTATTATTGTCATTAATCCTAGTATTATTATTTGTAACACTAGTATCAAAACTATTGTCACCATTTTTCCTATGACTTATAACATGACCACCTAAAGCTTGATGTGTTTTGAATGTTTTGTTACACACCCAACACTCATATTTGCTCCCTTTCTTAATACAACCATAATAATCCTGCTTAATCAACATCTTCTTCTTCTTAATCTTCATCTTCTTACTCGAATTTTCGTCTGATTCAGGATTATCAAATCTGCTGTAATCACCCACCAATCCTCCTCTAATCCTCCTCCTTTTTCCAGAATCATCATCATAAAAGCAAGATCCAAACTCAACTTTAGGCTTCTTAACTCCATAATTCCTCACAAACCCATCAACAGAATCATCTGATTCAAGCTCCTTAGCCCCATTCTCAAAATACCCTGAATCTGAATCATCCATACTTTCATGATGATTATTATTATCATCATCATTAATCACATTAATCCCCTCCTCCTCTTCTTCTTCCTCCTTAGCAACAAAAACAACTTGCTTAATCATCTTACTAGTATCCTTAATCCTCAAAATCCCAACATGATTAGTAGAAGACCCTCCTTCCAAAATCACAGAAGTATTGTCAGAAGACTCAGCAGTAAAATTGAAGCAACTCTTATGACCAGATGAATCCCTAGAAAGCATCATCAAACACATTGCAACTTCCTCTTGTTCATGTTGATCAATCTCAGAATGATTTGAGGAACCATCAGTATTAGGAGGAGAAGGAGTAAGAGAGTTATACCTTGTCAAAGAAGATCGAGTTCGACGATTATTACATATTTTGTTGCTGTTTTCAGAATTGTCAGACTCCATTGTTGAAATCAAGTGATTTTTGCTATGACTTGACCATGAATTATCATCTTCCTCATCTTCTTCTTCATCATCTTCCTTAAAGTTCCTGTCTTTTTCAGAATGACTGCTCATATGACCACATAATGCTTTCAGAGAATGAAACCCTTTCCCACATTGTCTGCAAACCCTTTCCCTTTCCCTTTCCTGGGGTTGATGAAACTGATGAAGGTGTTTGTTAACAAGAGTAGAATCAACCAATCTCCAACTTTTCTTGGGATTTTCTCTCAACCCATAACCAGAATTCTTCCCACCATTTTCATCATCATCATTTTCATCAGAAACATAATCAAAATTTGCAGATTTCTTGGGAATGGTGAAAGGGATTGAAATGGGTTTATGATTATTATTATTATTAATGTTATTGTTTCTGTTAGCAATTACATGAGACCTCATATGACCACCTAAAGACTTACCACTTGGGTATCTTTTGTTGCAGAGCTTACAAACATGCTTCAATTCTTCTTCTTGATCTCTCTTTTCCTCCATTTTTGGTTCTTGTTTCTGGGGTTTAACAGAAAAAATGAAAAATGAGTGAAGTTTAAAAGGAAGGAATTATTGTTAGAATAATAAAGATGAGATTTTTAGAGTGCATATTTGGTTGGTGAAAACAGAGGAGAGAGAGTAAAAAAAAGATGAAAGAAAGAGTTGTAGGGAGCTCAAATCTGGTAAAACTGGGTGGAACGGATCACGAAGTTTCATGCTTATTGACAGGTGATCCAGGAGAGATAATTAGGAGAGAGAAAGAGTGAGAAAAAGGAGGAAGAGAGAATCAAACTTCAGAGATGTTGACAGTTTTATACAACTATAAAGTACAACCATCCGACCCTTCTAAATGTCACCACTAGTATTTCCTCTTCCTTTGCTGCCTTTTTATTATTATTAGAGAATTACAATTTTGAATCATATACATTAATATTATAGACAACATTATATTGTATCCCTAGAGGTATTTAGGTATTTAAAATATTCGAATCGAGTTGAAAATATCCAAAGTGATTTGTATCCTGGTATATTATTTGTTATGATTTGTATCCTGCTTAATTATGCAATACGAATTAAAATGGTATCAGTATCAGTATCATATGTTCTAAATCCAATCAGACTTACTGATTTGATGAACTATACATTGCATTAACATTTATGGATGCGTGATTTTATTTGTTACACAATATGAAATTATATGGTTTTAATTACACGATCTTTATACATGGGTATTTCCAAAATTAAAGAGGAATGTTATATGAATGAAATAATGGGGAGGAGAAAATAGGGAGGTATTTGGAGATAAGGGTGATTATTTGGGTAAAGAGCTAAAATTATGGTATGGTGAATTGGTCCATTGGAACTAGAAGCAGCACTATTAATCTCAAGAGTAGAATTTCATGCAGGAAAGCAAAGATTGGAGAGAGAAACCAAACAGAAAAGTTTAAAAACAAATATCCACGTGGCAAACTGTGAGTGACTTTCGATTTATAGTTGAAGGGCTTTTTTTTTCTGAAGTTCTTAGTCTTTTTTTTTTTTTTTTCCATATTTAGAGGATCACAAGGATTGTGAGAAATTGTACTACGAAAACAGTCACATTTAATTATTTTTTTTGAAATTTTTTAAAATTTATATATATTTTTTTTTTAAAAAAAAAAAAAAAAAAAGTATGAGAATTTTAAGTGAAAAATATATGCTGTACTAGGTGAAGCCACAAAGGCACAAATTTGAAATGTCACAATTTCAGCTCTATCTTCTACCAACCTTAGCTTTTTCTACCAAAAGCATTTTCTACCAAAAGCAAACAACAAGAAGATTTTTATAAATTATGTTTGCATCTTTTGCTTGTTTACTTTCAGCTCAAGCAAAAACAATTACAACAACAATTATAATGATAATTCGTGTTTTTTGTGTTAGTAAAGCAATTATTTTAAGCTGATAACTGCTTACATATGTTAAACGCGGTCAGTATTCCTGAAGGCTGTGACACGTGAATAATACAGTACAACTATTAAAGCAGCTACATGCCTACGAGGAAATAACATCTTACAAATGCTAAATGCAATTAGTAGTCTTGATGAAGATTGTAACACTTGAATCAAATGGTACTACCGTAAAAGTAGCTACATTTCTACAAGGAAATAACCGCTTACATATGTTAAATGCAGTCAGTAGTCCTTTTGAAGGTTTGTGATACGTGAATAAAATGGTACATCCGTAAAAGTAACTACATATCTATGAGGAAATAATTGCTCACAAATGTTAAACGCAGTCAGTAGTCTTGAAGGTCATGACACGTGAATAAAATGGAACAACTGTACAAACAACTATATGCCTACGATAAAATAATTACTTGCAGATGTTAAACGCAATCAGTGGTCTTAAAGATGGTTACACGTGAATAATATAGAATACTCGTAAAAGTAGCTACCTTACAAATATATATATATATATATATATATATATATATATATATATATATATATATATATTAAGGGTTTGTTCACATTTACTTCATTTCACTTCAGTTTAGCTCCAATCAGTTCAGTTCAATTCAGTTCAGCTTCTAATTTCCCTCTCTTATAAAATATTCAGTTCAATTCAGTTCAGCTTCTAATTTCCCTCTCTTATAAAGTATTCAGTTCAATTCAGTTCAGCTCCAAACAGTTCAGTTTAGTTTAGTTCAGTTCAGCTCTAATCAGTTCAGTAAATGTGAACAGACCCTAAATTACTATAACAATTTATACTGAATGAGCTAGTGCACTATGTTTTAAACTTTTTATTATAACTTCATAATATTTTTTGTCAAAAAAAAAAAAACATAATATTTCTAAATAATTTACTTGTACAAGGGCTTTGAAAATTTGGAGTATAAAACATTAACACTCCATATACTTCGTAAAAATAAGTGTAATTTCTTCTTTGCTCCCCCCCCCCCTTTTTATTATTATTATTATTATTATTATTATTATTTTTAATGGGGCCAAATCTCCATCCGTTAATTGGTTTCCGAAACTTGACCCACTTGATGAAGGGGAAATTTTCTTGTTTGTGCCTTATTTTGTGAAATGATATTGCAATTACTACAAAATTGTAACTGTTCCTAGTAGTAATTACTTATTTTTACCTATGATAAATGCAAGAATTTTGGGTATATATTGAATGTGACCATATCTTAGTAACAATATAATCGTATAAGTATCCTTAAGATTAAGAATTAAAGATACTCCACATTTAAGCTAATACCATTGTTATATACCATAGCATATGTTGTACTACAAATTTATGTTTACTTTTTTTGGTGCATGAATTGCATTCTTTGGTAGTACGGTACACTAATGTCTCTTAATAAAGCTCATATACCTTGTGTTTTATAAAGGGACTCTATTAAAGGTTAATTATGTACGACAATTTGCATACAATTGGTAACTTTGCTACGAGCAATTATCTTTTTTCATTTTTTCTTCCCTCATTAAATCATCTTTTAACAAGTTAAACTCACCCAATACTTTGTGTAGCTAATATGTCCAAAATTTTATATCTAAATTTCAAAAGTCGAGATGCCTCACCTAGCTTTTCCAAACTCATACAATAATTTCTCATTTAAAAAAAAATATACTAATGCGTTCTATCAAAATATAATTTACCAAAAATATGGGGAAAGTTTAGCTTAGCTTTGCTTATAGCTTTCTTTTTCATGATTAAAGAGTACTCCTATGCTACACTAACACTCAACATGCATATACTTTACAATCCATCTAACTTAATTTTGTCAAAAGTTCAATTTCCCAAATGATTGTATCAAAGATGTATGAAGACAATGTCAAATTGTTATGAAGATTACTTTCAAATTCCAATAAAATATAAACCAATTAATGTAACTTTATTTTCTCTTTATAACTGAATAATTATGTAATCAACGTATGTTCCATCCAAATTTGACCTCTTTTAAAATTTCATTTTTAACGGATCATTAGTTTGTAGTAACTAGCTATCCTATGAATAATCTTCACATGTCTCCTGAATTTTGTAACCTCGGAACTTTTCTCAACCATCTCTTTATTTCATCCTTGCGAGTCTAAAGGCATGAATTAGTAGGGTCATTGCAATGATTTTTGGGGGCCCTGTTCTAAAATGAAAAAAATGGACCCTTTATAATTTAAAAACATACAAAATTTTAATTTTTAACCTATTATTCACGCCATACACAATTAGATAACCCATATATATTGGGAAGGTATTTAGCAGCTTAATAAGAATAATTATGAAAAAATATAATTAATTGCTTAAATGCTTTGTCGTCGTTTATTTTTAATTTCACTGAAATTAACTTTTTTACATTGATAATTCTGGAATGTAGAAATATACATTATAATTTCATGGAATGGAATTGATGTAATTGTAAAATACTAATTTGAATTGATAGAAGAATATGAAAGTGTTATAAATTAATTAAGAATTGTTAAAAAAAAATAAAAAAAAAATAGGCCCTCTAATAATCGGGGCCTTGTGCTAGGGAGCACTTTGCACTCCCTATTCTACGCCCATGTGAATTAGTTAAAGGGTTGTTTCATACTTGAAAAGTTCAAACGTTTCTCACTTGTTTTATATAAACTTGAAATTAAAATTCGGTGTGTTGCATTTAAAAAAAATAGCGTAAATATTCGATATCTTTTAAACAAAAGAACAAAAGAGATTGTTCACAAGTGGAGTCTTCTATAGTAAAACAAAACTTGTACGTATGACATTATGGAGTCTAAGACCTTGAATATCAAAATATCAAACATTGAAACATATGTTTATCTTAGTCCATGAAATGAATTACTCCATAATTAATACATACCGTTTTGAAGGTACTATAGCTACAATAAATAGTAATTATTTTAATTTGAACCCTTAAATTAGATGTTTAATCTTGACCATCGAATGTATTGATTATGATATTTATTACAGTATTGAAATATAACTAAAATTTTAAGTGTACAATGAATGACTACCGTGGCCTAGCTAGGGTGCATGGAAATTTTTTAACAATCAACATTAAATCATCTCCAATGATGAGATACAATACGCTATAACTTGCCTTATCCAATCATATTTTTAAATTGCAATACAGTTAAGCAACAAATATTTCCAATGGATAACTTTAAGTGCGCAGCAACTATAGCTTATATGTGTTATTTTATTTCATTCCTCTATACGAATGAGGTCATTTTTTTTTTTCCGTCCTCTCAAATGGTAAGCTTGTAGCTACACCTTTCACATAAAATTGCAAGCAGGTTAGGAGCTCAATGGAGCCCATGAAGGAACACTAGCATCTTTTTTCTTGGTCATTCAATTTCCAACCACCACATTAAGGAATAACCAACTCCTTTTGCCCAATTTTGCGGTCGGTCCTCAACCATGATTTTAGTTCTTCCTTAGTGGTCATTTCTCCCCTGTTTACTTAAAAATGCTACCATAATTGAAGTCCAATAATTGTTTACTATGGCCGACGCATCACCATAGATGAAGAATAAAAAATTGACTCCTTTACTAATTTGGTTATGTTGGTGAATAGTATTAAATATTTCAGTTGAAATTAATAGGACTTAATATCGATAAATATATATATATTCGAGTTAACAAGTTCATACTTCTTATAAGATATTAAGCCTAGATAAGTTCAGACAAGTTTAGAATCTGTTCTCATACGTTGAAATTCAGTTCAGTTCAGTTCAGCTCCTAATTTCCTTCTCTTATAAAATATTCATTTCAGTTCAATTCAGTTCAGTTCAGTCAATGAGAACAAACCCTTAGTTAATAAAAGTTCTTAAGATTATTTTACAACTAACAAGTTCAATTCCTAAGTTTTACAAGTACTAAGTTTAGATATGTAAAAAATAAACAAGTAATTTACCCTAAGATGCAAACAATTATAGTAGCCATGATGTTGATTAGTCAATGAAAAGCCACAATCATATTATTTTGCTCTCGTATTTTAGTTTAATTGGGGTTGGAACTTGGGAGGTGGGAAGGAGGAGACAAATCTTACTTGTTTGCGAGTAGAATACTTGTATTTATGGTATATTCCTACTTCCATGCTTCTTAGAAATCAACATTTTTTCGACTGCCCATTTAGACTAGAATAGTAGAATTACACGTTCATGAAACTTTCAACTTTTGACGTACCTAAAAAAAAATCAAAGACTGCTCTTCCCTTCTCATATACTCCCTATATAACACTAGGCTTTGAGCCAAAGCCGTTGATTGGTAAACTGTACTCTCTCTGTCCCTTTATTAGAAACCTATTTTTCTTTTTTTATGTGAGTAATAAATATTAGAAATAGACTTCTTATAAAGGAACGGAGGGAGTAGCATTAATCACTTAGCATGAACCCCTCATACGGTATACCCAATGACAGTTTCTTTCTACAAGTTTCCCACATCTAATTTTGCTAAACATGCCTTAAGCCTTGTAACTTGTGACTGGATTTTTGACACTACCTTACTTTTCAACCTAAATGGAAAAATTGACTAGAGAAGCTTCTAACTAGTCAAAGGAAGTGAAGCAACAATTACAAGTAAATTACCAAATCTTTGACCGACCAATTCAACTTCATCTTAAGACTAGACATTGAAAACAATAGAAAACCAAAACATCAGCATTCAGCAGCGCAAGCAAGTAATTGGAAAATTTTATAAACACAGAATGAATCCTGCAGATTCTTGTATCGGTCAGATAGTAATTTTAACACCAAATGATTATCAAGTTGTATTTTAAAACTAGTTTATAGAATCAAGCAGTACAATTAAAAATAAAACCAGGTCAAACCCTGATTATAATAAATTCAAGTAAAGCTTAAATTTATTAAAACTTCATTAGCATAACTAAATAACAAATTTAAGATTCTGACCTACATACAATCCTGTGATCCTGAGTACATTTTAAAATTTAACAATAACCCACCAACATGACAGAGAAGCTAATTATAACAGGCAAAAATCCAAACATATAGAACGTCAAAATCTTTCTGCTCTACGACCCGATAGCAAGACTCTACCAGAGAAAGCCAATAAAGAATTGTTCTTTGCTCGAATTGTTTTAAGCTACGGCAGGCATGTCCTTAAGCCAAGCATCAAGTGGCTTACCAATGGAGTAAACAATAAAACCAATGTTCCTCAGCTTCTCTGCATCCACAACATTCCTCCCATCAAAGACAAAAGCAGGCTTCTGCATGTTGTCAAACATCTTCTGGTAGTCTAGGTTTCTGAATTCATCCCACTCTGTGAGAATGCAAACAGCATGAGCATCCTTGGTGGCTTCATATGCATCCCAGACAACACTAAGCTGCTTGATAGCAGTAGGGCTTGAAGGCTGAAGATGAGCGGGGTGGTCCCAATCAAACTTGTTCATTGAAAGATCCTTCCTGATCTGATCTTCAGAGACCTGAGGATCATATATGCTCAACTGGGCTTTGTCTCCCAATAGCCCCTTGCAAACATCAATAGCTGGGGTTTCCCTAGTGTCTCCGGTGTCTTTCTTGAATGCAAAGCCGAGGATAGCCACCTTCTTATTGGCCACAGTGTTAAACATTGAAGCAACAACCCGGTTAACAAAACGAGTCTTCTGGTAGTCATTCATCAAGATAACTTGCTTCCAGTAGTGAGCCACTTCAGGGAGTCCATTGCACTCACAGATGTAAACCAAGTTCAAAATATCTTTCTGGAAGCAAGACCCACCAAAACCTACACTAGCATTCAGAAACTTGGATCCAATTCTTGTGTCCTTACCAACAGCATGAGAAACTTCAGTCACATCAGCTCCAGTTGCCTCACAAAGTGCTGACATGGCATTCACAGAGGAAATCCTCTGAGCCAAGAAAGCATTAGCAGCAAGCTTGGAGAGCTCAGCTGACCAGAGGTTGGTGCAGATGATTCGGTCATCAGGAACCCAATGAGCATAGACATCTTTCAGTGTTTTGACTGCCTTAGCACCCTCAGGGGTTTCCCGTCCTCCAATAAGAACCCTGTCGGGCTTGAAAAGATCCTCAATGGCAGTTCCCTCAGCAAGAAATTCTGGGTTGGAGAGGATCTGAAATTTGATACCTTTGCTATTGTGTGAGAGGATCTTCTCGATGGCCTCAGCTGTTTTAACGGGCACGGTTGATTTTTCAACAACAATCTTGCTTGACTTAGACACATCAGCAATCATTCGTGCAGCACTCTCCCAGTATGTCAAGTCTGCGGCTTTGCCAGCTCCAAGACCCTGAGTTTTGGTAGGGGTGTTCACTGACACAAAGACAATATCAGCCTCACAAACATGCCTCTCCACATCAGTAGAAAAGAAGAGGTTTCTCCCTCTGCACTGCTTGACTACATCATCCAAACCAGGTTCATAGATGGGAAGCTGTTCACTGTTCCAAGCATTGATACGAGGGACAGAGATGTCCACAACAGCAACTTCGATTTCAGGGCACTTAAGTGCAATGACAGCCATTGTTGGGCCACCAACATAGCCGGCACCAATGCAGCAAATCTTCACCATCTTATATATCGCTTAAGTAAGCCTGCTTATCATATAATACTAATAATAGTTAGATGAAAGTCTGCTTATATATAATACTGACAATAGCCAGAGGAAGTGAAATACAACATAAACTACCAAGGGAAAATAAATATCTTCATCAGCAGGGAAAGAAAGTGGGGCTGGGAAGAATGAATGGAGCAACATCCATATAGACATATCACATATTTTCTTAATCATAGGCATATCAGATTTTCTTAGACATAAGCACATTGTATGTCATTTCATACCAATTACAGGTTTACAGAACAAGTCCTTTGCAAAATTAATATTGAAAGACAACCAAAACAACAACAAGCCGATGCAAAAAAACTCAAGAAACAAGGATCACATTTTATAGACAACACAAGTTAAGATGCACAACAACCAAAATAATATAGTTGTAAACAAAACAACATTCTCCTATAGGAGTGAACACCCTTGTTCATGTCAAAAGTTTAACTTTTACACAATACTGTTCATATGAAAGCCCCTTTTGTAGTTACATATCACCCTATAAATCTTTCATTATAACATTCATTTTATCATAAAATAATGTAAAAATGCAAAGTTTGTTATGAAAAACAAAGTGGTACACTAATTAGTAGAGAATATGCCTAAAGATTATCAAAAGAAAAGAATTTTGCCTAGAATTTACAACATCAAAGGGCACGTGTAAACTCCCAACATGGCCAACATTAATCCTTATTTCTTTTGCTTTTAACTACAAAAGTTCATAATCCCTAAACTTTTTCTACACCCAATGTGAGATCAACAAGGGTAAATTCTTACTATTGAAGTAAAGTGAAATGGGGTAACCAAAATTAATCAGATCTAACAATAGAATTGTCATGAGATTCATCATAACTCCAGATCCAACGATCTAAATGTGAAACGACAAGAATAAAAAAAATTATCAATTTTCACAAAATGGTGCAATTTTTACCATGATCTAGCAAAAATCAAGAAAGACATAATCACAAAAATCAAGAAATCATAAACACAATTAACCAACAACAATCAACAAAACATTACACAAATACCAGATCTGGGTATCCCAAACAAATTACAACACCGCATAACCAGCCATTTTCACTGTAAGAACACAGATCAATCACCAAAATTCCAACAATGCCAGAAAAAACAACCGACACCCAGAAAAATTTACACAACAATCAACAAAAATAAGCAACACCCACAAAAATTGATCACGTAAATCGACGAAATTGAAACAAAAAATCAAACAAAATGAGCACAAAAAAAAATGAAACAGATCATAAAAAATTGTATAAAATGTGGAAACAAAAGATTACCTTGAATTCCGAGTAACAATCTGATGAAATCAAAGAGGAAAACAAAGGTAAAAGAAGAGAGGCAATTAGATCTGAGGTAGGAGAAGAAGAAGCAGAGAAGAAACGGAGAGAAAAGAGAGAGAGAGACGAGTTAGAAGTTGTGCCGACGAATGAGGAGAAGTAAGGCAAGTGCGAGGTGTATTTATATATAATTGTCCGTAAAATTCAAGTTTTGTTTTAGTTTTTTGCTATTATAAGCAAAGACCCTTGTTTATTTAACACGTTTTGGTGCTTCATTTTATGACTATAGAGTACTCTTTTTGCATAAAATATTGGGTTTTTATTTTATTTGTTAACCACCGTCACCTTATATTAGTATAATGATTTCATGTCTAAACAATAATTAATTGTCGTTTCTTCATTTGTAATACGGGGTATAAAATTGAATCATATCTCACCAAGAAAAAATTGGTTTGGAAAATGCTATATGTTGTTGATTTAGTTTATGTATGAAATTGTGTTGTTGGTAGTGAAATTTCTGCTTAATGTGTCTCTCAAATAAAAATTACTCCATAGTATAATCGATAATATATATTTTGTAACAAACCATGAATAATAAAATGGGTGGGGTATGGCCTATGGGATATAAATAATTTTTTCTATTAACTTGGGATTGTTCACTAGTATTTATTTATCCTTCATACAAAAGAAATAGCCTTTATAGAAATATCGGCTAATTGACCTGATTGGTAAATAAAAAAGACCTTTAGCGACAATTTGGTAAATAAAATAATCTCAGGCGACAATTAACCCAAAAAAATATAAAAATTTCCGACCAAGTACTCCCGAATGCTTAATTTAGTTCGTTTTTTCGTGTTTTTTTTTTGTTTTTTTATCAACCCTTTTAATGGAAACAACAATTTCAAGAAAAAAAATGTTGAAGTATCAATTTCACTTAAGTTTCATACCCCTTATTAACGAAATTCTTTTAAAAAGGGGTTGAAAATAAATTTGGTATTGGGATTTAGCAAAATATAAAGGGGGTGGCATAGTAATTCAAATCTTAAACGGGAAAAATAAATTTTCAAACACAAAAAAAAAATTAAATTAAGATTTTTATAGAGTTTGTGGACAAAATTAAGATTTTTTTGGCTAAATATCGCCAGAGTTTATTATTTTTACCAAATTGTCGCATATAGTTAGCTTTTTTTTAACCAAATTGTCGTCGGAATAAGTTTTTTTTACCAAATTTTCACTAAAGGTCTTTTTTATTTACCAATCTGGTCAATTGGCCTAGAAATATCTTACATGATTTATGTCCAAAATTAGATTGTTCTACTAAAATGAGATTCTTCTACTAAAGCAATTCATGGTGCATGGCATATTGGCATCCTACTTGTATTTAACTGGTAAGATTTAGGTTTTGTTCTCCTTTTAGGACAATGATGTATAAAGTCCTAACTTTCTAATACTCCCTCCTTCCCTAAATTAGAGACCTATTTCTATATATCTAACATTTATAACTCACATAATTAAGAGAAATGAATCTCTAATAAAAGGACAGAGGGAGTAGTTGTATTTAAGGAGTTGAAAGTAAAAATAATACTCCGTACTCCGTAAGTGAAATAAAAAAGTTAATTAGCAATTGATGTGTGTTTTTGTCATAAATTTCTAAATTTTATTTAATTAAGATTTTTTTTTTTGAAGAATTAATTTAATAAATGTATACGATGGATTGCATACATTATACTTATTTTATCTTTTTACTAAAATAAATGATGAGCTCCAACGAGTTTAAAAAGTCAAGTTTGTAGGAAAAAATAAAAGAGTGGAAAGAATAGACATACAATTAACATTTATTACAACGATTTACTCGTAAATTGTCGATAAATTTCCAACTTAATACTAAAAAATGAAGTATATTAAATGCTTATAGCATTACCCTAAACACGGGCAACGGGCCGTGCCGTGCCGCCGCGGGCCGTGCCGCGGTGGGGGTCGTGCCGTGTCGGCTCGCGGCGGGCCGTGCCGTGCTGTGCCTGAAATTGGCACACCCCAGCCCACGGCACGGCCCACGTGCCTTGCGGGTCGTGCCGTGCCGGGCCATGGGCCAAATCGTGCCACCCTTTTTAATTTTTTTTTTTAATAAATGAAAAAAAAAACGAATTAAACGATATATATTTTTTTTAGTACAACTTAATATATGTGATTAATGTATGTTTATGTTAATGTTAATATAATTTGTTTACATTTTTTGAACAACTTTATTTTAATTTAGGTTATATAAATTATTTATCTAATTAATAATTATGTTTAACTTTATATAAACAAATAAAAACAATTTTATTAATTTAGCAAAAAACAACAATGCATATAATAAAAAAAATACGAGTGCGATAATCCGAAAACACAAAAAATCGAAGAATAACTTATTTTATTATAATGACGGTAGCCGGTACGAATGTACATAATTTAATAATACAAAATAATTAAATTATTTTATTATATGGCGGGCTCGTGCCGTGTCGTGCCTCGTGCCGTGCCGGCGGGTCGTGCCAGCGTGCCGGCCCACGTGCCGGCCACCGTGCCGCCCGCCGTGCTACGTGTCGTGCCCGTGCCGATTTCCAAAAAAGTGTTCACAGCACGGTGTCGTGTCGTGCCGTGCCGGCGACCGTGTCGTGCCGGAGTCGTGCCGGGCCCGTGCCGGCACGGCCCGTGCCCATGTTTACATTACCCTATAAGTTAATAGGACTAGTGCTCGTCAAAAATAAAAGAAAAGAAAAAGCGGTTCATAGGGGCCGGGGGAGTTTTTTTAGGGGGTTCCAAAAAGGGAAAAGCAATCAAATTCCTCATTTCCCTCTATTTTTATTTTTATTGTTGATTAATTAGGGCGTTTATTTTAACTACTACCTCTATTAAATGTTACGAGCAAATTTGCAATATTTTATATCTCACAAATAATTCCCCAAAGTTGCACATAATATTTAACGGAGGTAGTATTTCCTTCTCCCATTATTTCCCTCCTTGGTTACCCACCCCAAGAGATCATTTTAACTCCCAAACTCCTCTACATCCAACCAATCAACTTTAACCACCACTTTAATCATTCTTTCACAGTTTCACACTAACACCACTACGTCAACATCCTAACCACTAGCACCCTCCCCCCTCCCAAATCACTAGCACCATCCCCCTCCAATCACTGGAGTTGACTCGCCTAACTCACGAGCCACCATCCACCACTAAGGGCCTGTTCACATGTAATGAATTGAATTGAATTGATTGGAGCTGATGAACTGAACTAAATTGATTGGAGCTAATTGAACTGAACTGAACTTAGCTAAAATGAATATTTTATGAGAGAAGAGAATTAGGAGCTGAACTAAATTGAATTGAACTAAATTGAAACTAAGCTGAATTGAACAGGCCCTAAAATTCCACTCAACCCCTCGAACACCACCCCTAAACCCACCATCCACATACCTCCACGCCCACCCATTCCAAAAAAAAAAAAAAAAAAAAAAAAAAAAAAAAAAAAAAACCACCAATCATGAAAACCACCTAGTTACCTAATAAACCATCCACCCTCTTAGAAAAATCTACCTAATAACTCACCCACACAAATTAGGTTAAGAGTAGAATTAAAGATGTTGGTCATCTGGTGGTGATGATTTGCTCATTGTCACGCGAAAGAGGGTGAGTATTTAGTTCTTTGACATCCTTAGCTTGTTGCTAGTGTGGTGGTGGTACAATGAGAATATGGTGGTGGTGGTTGTTATATATATATTCATAGATGACAGATTCACTCATTCACTCAAATAAACATCAGTACTAGAAATTCCAAAACTTTCATCACCTTTGTTTTTCCCTAGTTACCCTTTCTCTTACCCTCTTAAAAAAGAAACAAATTTTTTATTTTTTTTTTGAAAGATCTTAAAAAAGAAACAACTTGTCATCAAGTAATACATACATAAAAACCAATAATTCCATGCATACTTCATGCAATTCTTGATATTATCCCTTTTTAATTTTATACTTCCAATGTGACTATCTTAATATTTTTAATCCATGTATAAACAAAATCATAACAAGTTGATATTTTTAAAACAAGATCGATTTATCCAATAACATAGCATATCTTGATTTGTTGTATTTATTGATAAAAAACATAGTCAAGGTTAGTAAACAATATGGCCAAAGTTAATTTTAATATATAGTTGGATTTTTTTTTTAAAAAAAAAAAAAAAAAAAAGTTCCTAAGTATTAAAAATCATTTGATTTAAAGTTTTTTTTTTTTTTTTTTTGAATAGGCGATTTAAAGTTTAGATAAACAATTAACAGACTTAGATAAGTTTATATAACGTAATTTATAATTATGTGTTTAATTAAGACAATTTCAGATAAATAACACACACAATCAAAGTATAATCGGAATTTTCAAACATGGGGTGCATACACGATCATTTAACTATTTAATGCACTCTTTTGTTCCGTTCACGGGGTTACATTGGTGTTTTGGTACATCCGTACATGGGTATGGTGATGGGATTGCATCGAAGATTCAAAGGTATCTAATTTTCTCTTAATTGACCGCCAATTAAGCAAATTAGCCGTGCTTTGCCATTTCCCTATAACGCACTTGAGATTTGTTATGCACTGCTTGAGAAGTTGTGCTTGTCCTCGTGGGCCGCGTGATTTTTTTTTTCGTTTCTTTTTTTGGTGAATAATTGGTTGCGTCAATTTATTAACAAACAAAATAAGCCACCAGGATGACTATAAGTTCATACACTATTATTCAGAAGCTTTAACAAAGAAGACTAGTAGAGTCGATGAGTCGTAGCACAATTTGATTTATTTTCTTTTAAAGTTAATAAAATATTATCTTGAAACTCCAAAGAGCACAACCCGCTCTTGTATGGGTTTGAAATCAAGACCTTCCCTAAGAAAGGTGGAATACCGAATACGTACCAATCTGGATATAGGGTATCCTATAGGTTTTAATTTTTAAAAAAAATTGAGAATCGGAACCTATTGCAATAGGGTCTCCATTTTTCTATCGGCAACCATCTCGATTTTTTGAGCTTAGCTTATATGTATTGAAACTTAATTGAGCTTCAATACATAACTAATAATAAAGATAAGTAACTCCTTTGACTAATAAAAGTTAGTTTATTCTCCAACATCGACATGTGTGGAACAATACACCAATGCACAAGTTTACACATTTATGTGGTTAATAATGTGTACACAATTCATAATTTCATATCTGTAGCAATTTTGTAATTTATAATTATAGGTTGGTGACAATTAGATCATTTAATAACGGTCCTAGTTATGTCATACAAGTATTATCGTGAACAATAATTTGGTCATATCAACTTGGACTAATTCCAGATGTATAGTACGCCAATTAGCTTATTATGAAAATTATACTGCATATATAACAATTTGAACAATTTTGCCAACTTTGCCAATTGTTGTTTTATTAACCATGCATATAGTCAATTTGATGTATGAATGATAACATATTCATTGTAAATTTGTTTAGTAAACTTGTTGTTGGGAGTTATTGGTGCAATTAATATGTAAAATGACCAAATTAAGTTTCATTTGGAATAAGTTACTCCATTTAATTTTTCTTAATTGCTGAATTTAACACTAGTCAACCGGCAATAGAATGAAGTTCATCATACTATGTAGTACGTACTAAAATAAAGGTTCTCCTTTAATACAGAGTTAGAGTTATCTATTATGTTTTTTTTGGTGTTTGGAGAGCCACAAGGGCGGGGTGAGAATCGATCTCAGGACCTCCTAAAATTAGAAGGGAAGCTCTAACCACTTGAGCTATCTATTATGTGAAACTAGGTTAGATCCCGTGCCATGCACGGTGGTCGTTATACATAATTAATAGATAAATATTATAATCATAAATTAGTCGAGGAATAATAAAAGTATGTGATGTGTTAAATTTTAATTGTAGCTTCTAATACAAAATTAAAAATAAAAGTAGGCAAAAAATCCGACCAGTATTTTTTTTGTTGTAAAACAGATCACAAAATATTTTTAAGAATATACTCCGTAATTTTTGGTTTATAGTTGTCCAATTTTCTGTTTTAGAAAAATTATTTGTGAAATCTTTTTATTTTAAATATACCACATTAATATGGAATATGTACAACAAATAATATTATTTTTGAAATTGATTTGTTTCCTTAATTAATAGTTTTTTATATAAAAAATAATAATAATATAATTAAGAACACACCGGGAGATGCACGTGTCATTGCTGGTGTATCTTTTAGTATATAGTATGATTGATTGATGATTATGTCAAAATTTTACAATACCAAAATAAAGGTTCTCCTCTCCTTTAATTACAATTATCTTGGTTATATATGAAATAAGATTGCTTGCCATTCCCAAACTATTTGGTGTTCAAGTAAACTTTTCAACTCTAATTAAGATGGTTGATCTCCTATATTTGGCCTGGCTTCCACCTCTAGTTTTAGTGTATGAATTCGCTATAAAATAAAGAAAAAAAAAATACTAGTTTGATAAATTGATAATACAAGGGTTTTAGTGTATTAATTCACTACGGAGTATAAAATAAAGGGAAAAAAACTAATTTTAAACTTCAAAATATTACATCAAATTTAGACTATATATATAGTTGCACCCTCTCATTGCATTATTACTTTATTATATATAATACATACGTACTAAATTTATTCATGAAACTTAATTGAGAAATATAATGAAATAGAAGAAAACTTGAGAATTCGGGAACATAACGTTAGCATGCATCAAGATCGAAGAAAAATGGCGGTTGTGGCATATGCAAAGAGGCAGAAATTGAGTAGGAGCTAAGTCAAGGCACCAAATATAATTAAATGTTTAGGACTAAGTAACATAATTTGGTGGGTCAACGGTCATTAAGTAGATGCATCATTCATACTCCATCGCCATTTAAGTTATAGTTCATTTACATTTCAAATAAGCCATAACATACAAGAAAATTAATCTAGGTTAATTAGGCTTGATTTGTTAGCTAGGATCGTAGTTATTATTATTCCTTGCGAGGAGGATTAAAATTCGTGATGTTTTTTTTTTTTTTTTTTTTTTTTTTTTTACAGGAAATTCGTGTTATAGACTTATAGTGCTGTTATTGTAAGTAATTAATAGGGAACGAAGGAAGTAATTTTTTCGAATTTGTAATCTATTTTTGAAGTTTTAGTTTCATGCTTGATTCTCAATGCACATTTACACCATTATACATATCTTTACTATGACTAAATGAAAATTGTAAAATTTATATTTGAAAAATATATATCAAACTGAATCAGACGATTCTACATACATTACTATATGTTTTATTTTCCTAAGGTATAAATCACAAAACGTGATATTGCAGATTTCCAATGTTAATTGTGATTATAAAAGAATAGAGGAGTATAAAACCAGGGTTATATTATGTAAGCTTTGAGTGTGTAAAATTAATTTCATATGTATGACTGGAGTTGTCAAAAGCTGATGCAAACTGAAAAATGTACCTGAACCCGATTATGAGTTTTATGACCACCTATTTAAACCCGAGAAAATAATGACCCAAAACCGATATGACCCGACCTCAAACCAAGCCTATATACGAGTTAACCTGAGAATTTGAGACCCAAACTCAAACATGACCCAACCTGAATATAACCCGTAAATTATTGACCTGAACCAAGATTGACCCAAACTTGTTTTAACCCCTCAAAACTCGAGTTTAACCCGACCTATTACTAATTCGATCGAATTCAACCCGAACTATAACTAATTTGACTCGAATTCAACTCGATTTGTTACTATGAGCTAGAAGTTTAGTAGTCCATACATACTACTCCTTACTTAGACTAATTGTAGCTATATGCTCATTTCTAAGTGTTATTAGATTGTATTCCTAAAAAAAAAAGTGTTAAGATTGTATCTATCTTAATCCGACCATGACCCAACGTGTTTGAAACCGAGTAAATTGTGACCCGAACAAATATGTCCCTAACTTGAACTAATCTGAGACCCGAGTCAAACCAGATTTTCAAGACCTGACCCGACATGAGTTTTAATAGATAGTATATGTATATGTGGGGGATTTTTACCTAATTAGCTATCCATTACAAAATGTCAAGTTGATTTACAAATATATGAGTGAGTATTATGTATCTTCAATACTTATGTACTCCGTATAGAGTATCTCCATTGACAAGCTAATTGTCAAATTAATCTGTATTATTGCTACCAGTGCGTTTCTGGTGCGGCTGGGTGCCAAATTAAATCAGCAAATGACAAAATAACCCCACCAACCTAGTAACCCCTGACCCACCTGGTAACCCCACCAACCTATTAGTAACCCCTGACCCACCTGGTAACCCTGACAGACCAAGTAACCCTTGACTGAATCAAGTAACCCCTGACCGGACCTAGTAACCCCTGCCCGGACCTAGTAATAACCTCAGACCAATTAACCCTTGACCGGACCTAGTAACCCCCCGATAACCCCTAACTAAGTAAGTAACCTCTAATCCTACACCACCTCTAAGCCTAAACTCCACCACACCTTAATAAGTTGTACTATGCTTCTCAATAAGTTCTTAAATCCTTTATAAGAAGCAATTATCAAAGTTTTAATTTTGTTTCAGAAATGTTTAACCATGATTAAAGCACTGAACTTTGGCTTCTTATTTTTCAACAAAAATGTACAAGAAAAACTCCCAATTTATTCGTTACTTCTGCAAATTCACGCCAAATCCGATCCAAAAACCCACCCTAACCACCTTACCACCACGCTACCACCAACCACGCCCAGCTACCCACCCCTAAAACCCACCCTAACCACCAGCAATCATGTTGCTAGCAACTCTGCTGCCACAAACAAACTCAAATCCAACCCAAACACAACCAAATCGAAAAAACAAAAAAAATTAAATCTAACCAATACCTTAATTATTAACGATGGCTTCAAATTTCGCTTCAAATAGGCTAAAAGGGCCAAATTCGACCATAAAAACACTAGATCTAGAATTTTCATGACTGAATTTGGCCTTAAAAACCCTAAGTTGTTTTCCGGCGACGGAGTACGAGGAGCTTCACGACGACCACAGACTGTGTTGGAGATTCACGACGACCATGGCGACAATCTGGTTGGAGCTTCAATATAGGCAGTGCTTCAAGGAAGTGGAAATGGAGGAGAGGAGAGAGAGGATAGGAGAGGAGAGAGAAGAGAGAGAAAAAAATAAAATAAAAATTTATAACTGACTGTACGGTGCGGCCAGACGCATATAAAACTTTGTGTATTGCTACATGATACTTTAACCTTTTACTTTCTAGCTAATTTGCACCTAGTTAGCTATTGCAATAATTTATTACTTCATATTTAATTGTGTCACACATGTTAATAAAATAATTGGTAGCATTTTTCATTGTTTTGTTAGGCTAATTAGCTTGGACAAGCAAGTTAATTTGCTTTTTTTTTTTTTTTTTGAAAGAAGCAAGTTAATTTGCTTGGTAAAGCTAATTTCCATTTTTTTTTCTCTAAATGGCTGAGTTAGTATTCGTAAAACTAAACTTAGGGCTTGTTTAGTTTTCAGTTTTCTGTACACTAGGGGAGCACACGTGCGCGATGCGCGCGGTATGATTAGCCAATATAAGAAAGTTATGTAATCGGACCTCAGAGTTTACAAACTTGTAATGGGTATTTAACAATGGTGTAAAATTAATATTCGTAGATTAAATTATACATCAATAAGTCCTTCCTATATATATTACAATTATTTTTCTTACTTCATTGTTCTTGATATTAAATTTGCTCCGATAAAAGTGAGAGAGAGCTAAGCTAGTTGTTAAGTACATTAAGTAATTCAAAAATCCTTTATTAATCAAAAAAATGATTTAAATAAATAAACAATTTTTTTTATAGTTACAATGGAACGATATTGAAACTTCTTCTTAAGAATCTGCTGAAATGATCTACCTTTAGCCATTATTGATTACAATAATCTCTCTGCAACCAAAATCAATTATCAATTAATAATAATTTAAAAACTCAAAGCTGATTAAAAATAAACAATTAATTAGAAAATAATAATCATTAAATTCCAAAAAAAATCATTTCGGATCGAAAATACAATATGAGGTACCCAGAGTTTTAGATTGGAAGTGGAAGATTACCTTGTACGTAAGAGACTCATCCTTAAACAAATGAATACACTTGTCTTTATCATTCATTCATCTCCATCTTAGGTGCTCTATAATGAGATTGAAAATTAGTATTACATAAGTAAATGATAAAATCTAAATATCATTTTGTGATAAGATCTTCATTGTTCAATGCTGTGGGCGTTCGTATTAGCTATTTAGTTATTAGTAATTGACTTATTCCTTTTACTGTTACTGCGTAGTGATGGTTAATTTTTGTTATACATAATTTCAATGGAGGGAAAAATTATGAAAATCCAATGGATGAACTTCGACAATAAAAGTGGTTGTACAATCAAAACACTCTCAACCATCAAATTATTCACCTCAATAATCAATTAACAACTAACAAACTTAATTTCAAATTTCTCCTCTAATTCACGAAGAAGATGACTTCTAACAAATGTAGTCTTTCCTAGCTAGCATATCCAAATTTGCTTACAACTCACCCAAAATAGTCAAAACACATACAATTATCGGCGATTCGGCACATCCGCTACTAAATTGCTATGCAAATCACAACCATTATTAGGGGGCGTTTGGTTCACGAAATATAGGTATGAGGTATGGGTTTAGAATGACTAAAACCCATACCATATGTCTGGTTGTCAAAAATATGAATTTCAAACCCATACCTCAAACCCATGAGGTATGGGGTTTAGAAACCTTGGGGGGAGGTGGGTTTGGCTCATTCCATTCCCTTAGGTATCAAATAAAAGGAGAAAATAGTGAGATATTACATTCCAGAATTAAACCAAACACATGGTATTAAGTATCAAGTTCCAACCCGATACCACCTTAACCCCATTCCTGATTCCAACCCCATACCACTCTGTGAACCAAACGCCCCCTTAGCTAAAATTAATCCTTAATAACATAAATTCCAACACATTGCACAATATGTCAATATGTCATTATATCATTAGATACCAATTACCAAATAACACAAAGCAACAAAATTTATCTACCTTCTCAACGACGTGAATGGCAACACCAACGACAATAATAACAAGATCATAATCGAAACACTTATCTACCATTGGTATTTGGTAGATAAAGCAGCAGAGTTTGAATTCGAAAATCGGTGACTCGGAAGCTCAACTCCGCGAGATTTGACGGAGTAACTCAGAGCTTTCTAGAAGGAACTGTATATTGTATGATAAGAATTTCTTGCAAAATTTGTTAATAAGCATACCTCCGTAATGAACAAGCTCAGCCTAAAACGATTGTAATTTCATAAATTACTAAATTTGCAAGAAAAGTTATTAGGTTCTGAATTATGAAGTGACGACAACAAATCAATCCTTCCTCCAAATTGTTTATTTATAATAAAAAAAAAACAATTAAAGCAATCAACCCAAAAATAATTACAATTTACAATTGTAAAATCAAGCCTAGATAAAATACCTAAAAAATTCAGAAACAAATTTACCAGATCATGTGTTTCTCTATGAATAAATCATAACTCCCAGAAATTTATAAAATTATAAACAAAAACGGAATAGAATAATTACCAATTTCACCATCACCAACATGAACAAGCTTGAAGCTTAGGTAATCAACAACAAGAATACAAATCGACTATAATCTTGATTTGGACAATCTATACCTAATGATTAATTACACCTAACAATCATCTACTGAAATAGAACGAAGGAGATCAAATATATATAAGATAAGATGATGAAAAATGAGATTGCTATTGAGAAGTCGGGTATTAAAGGAGGAAAGTGAATGAAATAAAAAAAAACGTTATTGAGGCTTGAGAGGAGATGATGAATAATTAGGCAGAAATACACCGAGGAAAGAAAGGAAAGGTAAAAAATTCAAGTCAAAAGTATCAAAATATAAAATGGGGGTAAAAATGTAAATTAACATTTTCAGGTTAAAGTGGTCTTCACACTATTTATAAGAGTTTTTTTTCCACTTTTTATAAGGTAGGGATAAAAAAAGAAAAATATGTTTCATTTGTTTGTTGTTAGTTTTCGAAATTATTATAATTTTAATATATTTTGTCACATTTTAATTTATTACACGACATATATCATATGATTCTGAAAAATAAAAACATAAAAAATGGAAAATCACGATAATGTCAAACCAGTTTTTAGAGTTTTAAAATTACAAATAAGTCTTTAACAAAAATGAAAGCAGCCAAATAACATAGTTTCACGTGGCAACAAATCATTGAACATAGTGGAAAGTTTCGTTTCCAACCCTCCCCAAAAAAATTCACCATCTTCTTCTTCCTTCTTTTCCCACACAAACAATCACAATCTCCATTTCCATTTCTTCCACTTTCTCTCTCCTCTGACCAAAAATGTCAACTCGAAAACTCATACACCACTCTCTCCGCCGCACCCACCACCACCCCTCCACCGTCCGCCACCATGCCACTCTCTCTCCTTCCCCTGCACCCCCACCTCCATCAACCCCCTCTCCTCCTCCTCCCACCGCCATGATCTACGATCGATTAGCAGAATCCGTCAAATCTAAGCTCAAAACTCTCCAAAATCCCGACCCACGATTCTTACGCTACACCTCTCCACACCCAATTTCCGCCGATCATTCCCAGATCCTTCAGTTTCCTGCTACTCAGATCACTACTCTTCCTAATGGGCTTCGAGTTGTTACTGAGTCACGACTCGCTTCTGGGTCGGGTTCTGTTGGGGTGTATTTGGATTCTGGGAGTCGATTTGAGTCTGATGAGAAAAATGGGGTTGGGAGTTTTTTGGAACGCGTCGTTTTGACGTCGGATAATGAAGATGCGGCGAATATTGGGGCTGAATTGGAGGGGTTTACTGGGAGAGAGATTTCTGGGTTTTTGGGGAAGGTTGCGGCGCAGAATTCTGGGAAATTGGTTGAGGTTTTTGGGTCTTTGTTGCAGAATTCGGATTTTAGTGATGAGAAGATAGAGAAAGTTCGGAATGCTATTCTCAGAGAAAAAGAGCTGGTAATTTTTCAAATTCATTATTATTTTATTAATGTTTATTTTAAAATTTTTGATCTTGATTGAACAAAGTTATGGATTCTGGAATTGTTGATTGTGCTATAGTGGAATGTTTTAGTATATTTGGATTGGATTTTTTTAGATATATATTGCAATTTTTAGATGATGTGATTGTTGTTTTAGGATAGAAAGAGAAGCTATTTCGTCTTATTTATGGAAAATTTGTTTCTGTAGCTGTGGCTGTAGTATAGGGGCAGGAAGTGCGGCAGCTGCAAAAGTGTCACATATGTGGTAAATCGTTCTCTTGGTTAGAAATGGGGCTTTGAATCTTTGAGGGTGTGATTGTCCGAACTGGTTGTAGTCGATTTTGGTTGGAAGGGTGAGGATTGAGAAGGAAGAGGAGGAGGAGATGTCCCTGACAGTTAGGTGATCACGATACGATAATTGTGAGTTGGGGAGAAATTTTGGCGGTAAATGGTCTTTTACATGTCTTATGTTTGCAAATGTTCTTGTGAAGAGGAATTGCAGTTGACTTGATGGATTTGTTATACATATTTTGATTGTTTTACTTTCAGCAAGATTTCCATGTGCAACTCCAATGGCGCTTGTCATGCCCCATAAGCTTTTAAGCTAATTATCACTTTAGCTACTTTTTGCTCCAATGGCTAGCTATTAGCTTAATAGTAGTTGTTGGATAAAAAATACATGGAAAGAGCTTAATTGGTGTAATGAGCATTTTATTTTGGCAAGTTTAATTCTCAAGCAAATTAGCTTGGCAAAGTTAATTTAGCCAAGCTAATTGAGTTTTCTAACTCCAATGGTCAAGCTAGTAGTTAGGAAATTATTGAAATTGCAATCAAGTCCCTAGCTATAACCATTGGAGTTGCTTATGTGGTGTATGTTTATGCTACCTCCTTTTGTTTAAGTACTTCTTAGATTTGCTAGTTAGATGAACTTGGTGATGCTTGAAGGAAGACATTGCCGTGGGGTAGTTATTAACTTATTACCCTCATTTAGAGGCAATCTATTAACCTTGGAGAGATTGAAAAATTGCTTTCATTTCGAAACATATTACTTCTTCTCCCTCTTTCCTTAACTGTAGCTCTACTGTGTTTAGGAGTTATATAAAGGTACTAAACTTTGCAAAAAATATCAATTAAGGTACTGAACTTTCATTTGTATCAAATAGAGTACTATAACCTTGATTGTAGGTAAACTTTCCGTTTGCCACTGATTGTAACCGGTTTAATACAATTTCCTTAAATTTTTTTTATTTTTATTTCTGAAAATAAACCAAATTACAAAACCAAATTACAAAAACAAATAAAAAAAAAAAACAAAACTCATACCTGGAAATGAACCCAGCTCCTTCAATTTTCTCTTTCTTTCCTTTAATGGTGGACAAGCCATTCCTAATACCATACTTCATAATCTCACAACCACCCACAATGATCTAAAATTGAAAACATTAGATTCGAAAATAAACAAGAAATTAGCCACAAAATAAAACATTAGATCTGAAAATAAACCAAATTACAAAAAAAAAATCTAAAAATATGCCCATTGCAATTTGCAAACCAGCCCCGCCCCACCCCCATTCACCGCATGAACCACGTACAACCGCCGGCCCTCCCCTACCCCTGACCCCTTTATCTTCCCCCTTTATTTCCTCCCAAAAAAAAAAAACACCATACCCACCTCAAATTCCAACCATAACCACCAAAATTTCTCCCCATATCTACCCAAAACCCAACCCTAACCACTGAAACTCACCCCAGTCGCTCCCAATCAACCCAAAACCCTAAAACTTGTAAAATATAATTAGAAAGAGGAGAGGAGTAGAAGCGGCAGCGGTGTACATGGTCAGTAGGGTGGGGTTGTTCTACGGTGGGGGAGGGTGACTTTTTAATTTTATATAAAGGAGAGTGAATTTGAAGTTGATGATGAATGAAGATGAGAACCCAGAAGTTGGAAGAGAGAGAAATTAAAAAGATTTCTTTTTTTTTCAAATTTTATTTACAATGTTAAGTGGTTAAAGAGAGAGAAATTAAAAAGATTTTGTTTTCTTTTATTTTGTTACAATGTTAACCGGTTATATTAGGTAAAAGGGAGAGTTTACCTGTTTCAGTACTCAAATTGATACAAATGAAACTTTAGTACCTTATCTGATACTTTTGCCAAAGTTCAGTACTCTCTAATGATATGAATTCCTCCGTTTAGTGTAGAGCTATGGCTTGTGTAGCAATCAGGTAGGAGCTCTTTCAATACCAAACCTTTGTTTGATTATATACTAATATGAATGAATGTATTGTTGCCCCACTCTAAGAATATTTTTAATGTAATAGCTATGCCTTTTGGTAACTGGTGATCCTGGTGAGAAGACACGGCTTAGCTATAACTGTTGTGTGTCCAATTGGTTGAATTGTAAGAAATGGTAAATAAACTGAGTCCCATAACTGTATTTTGCCATAAAATTGTCTATATCCTTAAAAAAAAAAAAAAAAAAAAAAAAAAAAAAAAAAAAAAAAAAAAACTAAAAATAATATGGAACTATAAAAAGTACTTTGTAGTTGCCATCTTTATGTTGTCAATTCGGAACCCCTGATGTTCTGTTTCCATTTTTGTGCTGTGGCTTCTCATCTCCCTTTTGAATGTTCACCAATTCCCACCTTGATCCACGGAGTATATTCTTTGTATTTAATTTGTAAAATATCGAAATAAGTAATCGCTTGTCCATTTTGAATACCAATGTAATTTTCAACAAATACTTGATCTGTAAGTGCTAACCTTAGCGAACTCTATAGATTAGTGGGAGTATGTATTTCTTTCCTTCTGTTTTTTTTTCCTAATTGTAATTAAAATTAGTTCTTCTACAGTTGTTGGTGCTTTGATGTTTAATGTAGTTGCTGTTTCCACATTTCTTCCAGATGGGTGTAGAAGGTGACCAAGTTATCATGGACCAGTTACATGCTACTGCATTCCAGTATACTCCACTTGGTAAAACCATTTCGGGATCTGTAGATACAATAAAATCCATTACTAAAGCCGATATTCAAGACTATATGTCCTCTCACTGTGCTGCCCACAGAATGGTAATTTGTTTTGTCCACTGGATATGTTTTGCTTTTTTAATTTCATTTAGTCTATTTTAGAGGAATCAGTCATAGATGTTGATCCACAAGTGAAAAATTCTGTATGATGGATGCTAGATTAATTATGAACGGTTCCAATTTGATATTCTTGTTAGGTGATTTCTGCTTCAGGAGGTGTTAAGCATGAAGAGGTTGTGGAACAAGTGAAGAAGGTCTTCACTAAATTGTCAGCTAATCCTATCACAACTTCTCAGCTAGTTGCAAGTGACCCAGTTAATTTCACTGGATCAGAGGTTTGTGCATGTAGTTATTTTCCCTACGATGTGCTTTTATAGCACATGATGACCTATCAGCTTCCTTCTCTCTTAATCTTTCCAGCAATGAATTTAGGTTCGCATGATTAATGATGATCTTCCCCTTGCACGATTTGCGGTTGCATTTGAAGGAGCTTCTTGCAAAGATCCAGATGCCATTGCTTTAATGGTTGTGCAGACTATGCTGGGTTCATGGAGCAAAATGGAAGAAGGTGGAAAGCATGTGGGGTATGCATATCCATCATGATGCATAAGCTCTTTAGCATGTTATTAGCTCTGAGTGAAATTTTCTGTTTATCCATTTTGCATGACATTGTGATTGCAGTTCAGTATGAAGAAATTGGATACTTAGTTTCTTATTTATTAATCTGGTAACATGTGAACAGGTCAGAGCTTGTTCAAAGGACCTCCATTAATGAAATTGCTGAGAGCATCAAAACATTCAATATTAACTACAAAGATACGGGTCTCTTTGGTGTCTATGCTCTGGCTCAGGTGTGTATACACTTAGTAGCTTACAATCAAAGATATTTTATGAGGTGATACCTTTACTTATAGCTTCTGGTGTTATCTTTGGGAATTTGGTATTTATAGCCCCTTAAAGACAGCTTATTGCCATCATTGTAGAGTTTTGAAGTGTTTGCTGATGTTTTATAAATGAGATTTACATGTTTTCATTATCTTACACTGACAGCCTGACTGCTTGGATGATCTGTCATATGCAATTATGCATGTAATAAGCAAGTTGTCTTATCGAGTTTCAGAGGAGGATGTTATCCGTGCACGTAATCAGGTACTTGAATTATGTTATATTCTAAGATTTGCCATCCCCACCCTCCCCCCAAGGGCCTAAAGAGTTCTGCAGCTGTTACTTGCTGTTGCCATGCAATATTTATTATTTGTTTTCCTATTTAGCTCCATTAGTCCCTCTTGAGTAGGGTCTCTGAATGTTCCTTTTTATTATGCATGTATACATACGCGAATTCGGGATGTTATTAAAAAGTTAAATATTAGGGAATTTTCTTTAGTGGTCCATATAACTCCATAAACATCGATTTTCTGTCATAAATATGTGTGTTAATGTGGCAAAAGCCTGATTGAGCTACATTTTATTTATATTTCTCAGCGATGGTAACTTGTTAATTTATCATTGGACTCTTAATTTTTGGAGTCAGTTTCCTCCTACCTTTTAGTTTGTGACTTTCATGCATGTCATCAAACTTGTTTATCAATGTTTGTTTCTATATGACATCTTTAAGGACGTGAAAATATTTTCTCGTTCATTTGAATTATACTGTTTTATTGCAGAGATAAATCATTGCTCTTGATAATCAAAGAAGGTTTATAACCCCCTACCTTGTATTCATTATCAAGATACCATTGTGAATTAAATATGTGCTTATATGCAGCTGAAGTCCTCTCTTCTTGCTAAAAGTAATGGAATCAGCAGGGCTGCTGAAGATGTTGGGCAGCAGGTAATATTTCTCGTCTTTATCTCCTTTTTCACATGTTCGTAGGGAATGGGATGTTGGTGCATATGTACATCATAATGCTGTATTGACTGTTTGGCAAGCTGTATATGATAAATGCTTAACTAAATGAGACCATAGAAAAGCTACCGTTTCTAAGTCTGCAAGACTTTTCTTGATTTAAGAGTTTAAGCTTGTATGGTTTTTTCTTGCTCCACGATTACTATTTCATGAGCTAAATTAGAGTTGCCAACTTTCTCAATGCTCCTTTTGGTGGGTTATTTGGCATGCAAATTGTACTTTTTCTCTTCATGTTTATAACACACGACACGACAATGATTTGTAGAACTCTATAGGCCTGTAGAGTGTCCATGGGTCAGATATTTGGATTTTATTTTCTAAATAAATTTAGACAGGTGGCCATACTTAATTTTTTTTTCCCAACTTACTGACCCAGATAAATGTCACCCTTATTTTGGGTGATTCTAAAATAAAAAAGTAGTATGATCTTTTAGTGAAAATTCCTCAACAAAAATTTATAAATAGAAATTCTTTGCACTTTCTCAATTTGAGATCAAAGTTAAGAATTGAAACTTAAATCTTGTGGGATATATATATCAAGTGGAGATTCAATCTGTTGGTGCTACTCAATAGCCATGAGGTTGGTGGCTGCTGCCTTTTGGCAGCTTTCCCTGCTGGCCATTTCCATGAATTGGGTCAATTGCTTTGGTTTTGCTCTCTCCAATTTGGTCTTTTGTTTAGTTTTGATGAAAAAAAAAACAATCGCTGTTTGGGAAAGGACTTTGTTTCTCTCTGATTCCCTCCTCCCTATTTTGCGTCTTGGCCTCTTGCTATGATTCTGACTAATTTCTTTGATGCTATGATTCTGACTCCTTTCTTTGATCGAGTCAGTGTGCAAGTGCAACTAATGGCTATTGAAGTAACAGTTAAATGACTTGGTTAAATTTTATGCTTCCTGATTCATCTTATGGGAACTGTAATTGTGACAATCTGAATTATTAATTCCTCAAAGAAGTTTTTGTCATAAAGGGAAAATTAGAGAAAAAAAAACTTGATAAATCCTTTTAAATGAATTAAACTTCTGAAAATACTGTATTTGTGAGATGTATGATCATATTGCACTGAATTTCTTACGAAGTTTGTATGAATATATATGAACTAAAATTTGCCAACTGGATTTAGCCTAAATTTAGTATCCTATATCTGAAATCTGCTAGTACTTGATAGCAATTTGCAGGTATGGCTCCCATGATCAATCTTAAATTTTCTTATTATAATTGCAGTTGTTGACCTATGGAAGAAGAATACCCTTCGCTGAATTATTTGCAAGAATTGATGCAGTGGACGCCAGTGCTGTGAAACGTGCAGCTGATCGTTTCTTATTTGATAAGGTAAGTCTAGTTTTTTTAAGCTGCATTTTTTTCATTGAGCTTTAGGGGCCCAAATGTATCTTTGCCAGTTGCCACATCCTATCCATCAGAATTGGTTTCTGAATGGATCTATCCCTTGTATGCTATGATGGCCTTTTTTATGTGATAAATAACTTGTATACCGTATAAGTAATTATTGGAATCCCTAGTTGTTTATACTCCCTCTGTCACCTTTTTTCTGCTTGGTAACTCACAAGGGCGAACTTTTTAGGTTTTTGTTAAAAGGAATTGATGAGAGAGAAAAGGGGTAGGAATACATGTAGTGGTTGTGAGAGTAAAGGTTTGGTCCCCTACAATCAAAAGTGTTATGGGTGCAAGCTTCACGGGGCAAACTAAAAAGGAAAATTGGGCAAACATCAACGTTTTTTTTGGATAGTAAAGAAGGAAGGAGAGGGAAGAGATAGGGAGGGGAAAGGTGAGCTCCATTTTCCCTCCAAATCTCTACAATTTTGGAGGGATTATGCTTATTTAAGAGAGGGGCAAAATGGATCCATTCCTCTCCTTCCACTTCCTTCCCCCGATCCTTTACCCAAAAACAAGATAAATTGTCTTCCCTTTTCTCTTCTCTTCTTTTCCTTCTATCCAAACAAAGTGCAAGTAATAAAGGGAGTAGATATGCTTATTATGCCTTAGCCAGACTTCTGAAGCTTGCTAGTGATTTGAGCAAATGTGCATTATATTTTCACAGAATGTTTTTCTCTCAATATATTTATAGGTCTTCCATATTTGTATACTTATTATTATTTTTTTACTACCTTTTAGGATATTGCAATTGCTGCTATGGGACCAATCAAGAAACTACCCGACTACAACTGGTTCAGGCGCAGGACATACTGGCTACGTTACTAGATTTATTGTGCATTTTGGTTATTTGAAAGTGTAAGGAATCCAATATTTGTCAAGTTCAATATTAAGTAATATTTGTTCCTCTCTAATGCTATGTGATTATTTTATCAGATATGTTACACCGTCGTGGTTGGGTGAGAAAAATTGGTCATCACTGACAGCCGCTTCAAGATAAATAAGCTTGAGAAACATTTTATGTACTGCTTGGACACTGTCTGATATGAGCACACTATTTTTTGGTAGATTATGGGCTCTGTGCTCTAAAATATCTGTACATTTCACTAAAACTACTGTCAAGACTCAAGAGGAATGATACTGCCTCATTTCTCGTTTTTGGCTTTTCATCAATAAATGCGAAAAACGAAGGCGCAATTTTGTTGTCTATTTTGATCTTACACCCTATATACAGCATTCATACACTAATTGGATTATCTTTTAGGACGAATTATGAAAGCATTTTGATCTTCAATTCTTGCAGTCTTCATATTGCAGTTCAGGTTTTTCAGATTTGTGGCCAATCAAGATGTGTAGCTGAGAAGTATGCATATCCTTCCTAAAAAAGACGAATTTTGTAACCTTGATTAGTACATGTTTATAGTACTAACAACCTCTATTATGCACCTAGTTGTCTAGCTATTTACTCCCCGATAGACTTATAGTCACACTGTCGCAGAATATGCTGCTCATGCACCATTACTGCCGGTTAGGACAGAATTGACTATGATGAATGACCAAAGTATGGAAAAGTTTTTTTGAAGGGCAATATAAAAAAGAGGTCCTACCGGGAGTCGAATTTAGGTCGCTGGATTCAAAGTCCAGAGTGCTAACCACTACACCATGGAACCTTTGATGCTTAATTTAGTATCTAAAATAACTTACATCCATATTTTAAAACAGTATCTTCTCAAAGCAGGAATAAAATTTACAGTAGATAGGAATTGGTATTGCGCCTTACAAAGTTAGAAAAAAAACAAACCGTAGCTTCATAATTTGTAGGGCCTGTTCATATTTACTGAACTGAACTGATTGGAGCTGAACTGAACTGAAAAATTAAAATGCATAAAAGTATATGAAAATGTTTATGAAAATTAATGATAATATATATAGTGGATTGTGAAAAATATAAAAGTGTTTTAAAAATAACTCTGTTTTTTAAATTAATATATTTTAAATTATTAATTTTTTGTGTATTATATTTTAAATATATATATAAAAATAAAAAGTATTCTTCAATATTTTACTGTAGTCAATCATTACTTGTTATACACTACACAATTTTGTTCGTTTACATGAACTAGGGATTCCATTCACGCACCAAGTTGAAGTCATGGGACTAACAGAAGATCATACTATGTACGATGATAACAGAAAAGCAGCTATGGATATTGTACGAAACCAAAATAACTAATCAGATATGGGAGTCAATTAAGAGGAATGCCGAGGTAATGGAGCAACTTAATGAAGAAGAAGAAGACGAAGAACTAACCGATTATGAAAGCTAGTAACTGTTGTGTAGTACTCTCATTTTGTCAATGAGTTCAACTATAAAAAAACATGTGACCATTTTGAACGACGAATATAATTTAAAATAATAATAATAATAATAATAATAATAATTATTATTATTATTATTATTATTATTATTATTATTATTAATATTATTATTTTATCATTATTATTATTATTATTATTATTTTATTATTACTATTATTATTATTATTATTATTATTATTATTATTATTGTTATTATTATTATTATTATTATTATTATTATTATTATTGTCGTTGTTATATTATGCTAAAACATCTAACACAAAAAAATTAACAACTGAACTGAACTGATTAGAGCTGAACTGAACTGAACTGAAAATAAGTAAATATGAACAGGCCCTTACTCTTTACTTGTTCAATAAATTTTGTGACATTATATGATATCTATCTTTACATTTTTTCTATTTATTAAAAAAAAAAATTGTGTTTTTATAGCATATCGAATTTTGCGTCTTTATCGATCCTTTCACGCTTCACTTTTTTTAAACATGTGATCTATCGTAAACAAATCAAACCGTAGTCTAACCATGAGATCAAAACCTCGTTATTACATTAATACATTATTGATGGCTTACAAACTTGCAAAAATGTATGCTAGCTGTATAGAGTTGGTAATCTTGGAAGTATTAACCTATAAGTTTACTCTACAATAAATATATATTAAAAAAAAAGCCAAAAAATAAGGATTATTAGTTATTAGTGATGCAAACATATCCCTAAGAACTCAATTAATTATAGAACAGACAAATGACTTACATAAAAATCAACTTGTCTTTTATGTATACAACTTATGCCAGCAAAGTCAACACTTAAAAAAATAAATAAACACTTATAATTTGTTACAACTGAATTTCAACATTAACCCCCCTTTTTTTAATCATTTTACAAGAAGCCAAATGAAGTTACATAGTTATATGAGTTAAAGCTTTAACTGATTAGAAGACTTTCTGTTCCAGTAACCACCAATTTCATGAGTGAATTCTGTGAAGTCACAACTTTGTTCTTATTTCTCCTACAATATATTGGTACATTAAATGTTTTTTTTTTTTTTTTTTTTTTTTTTTTTAAACACATTAATTAAGGGTCTGTTCATTTCAGCTTAATTTCATTTCAGTTCAACTCCAATCAGTTCAGTTCGGTTCAGCTCCAATCAGGATCAATTCATTTAGCTTAGTTCGGTAAATGTGAACAGGCCCTAAATGTGTATTTATAATTTAACGTAAGTCAATCAATTTGTTTTATTTTTCTTTGATTTGTGATAGACTTTATTGGCTTTACCTTAATCTTTCCTTGTTTGAACTAGTTTATTTGTACCTAATTGAATTTGATAGAAATTCGAAATTTATGAATCTATATTTTAGTTTTGTACTGTGTATTATATTGAGCTTGAATATAATTCTAATATGAAATTTATGAATCTTTCCTTGTTTGAGCTTGTAATGCAATTGAGAGTTGTGAGGAGAGTAATTTTTACGAAAAATAATCTATCTCTACGGCATTGTGCTAACTTATACGTAGTTAAAAATTAAATTATATTTTAATTTTAAATTATAACTTTTTTTTTTGTGTTTCAATCATCATTCTCCATCAGGAGTCCAGGTTATCATATCACCAAACTTGTAAACTATATACATTGATCTGTAAGATAAAAAGCTGTTATATTAATTAGATATTAGATTCACAGTAATTTGTACTTGCTTTATATAAAGTGTTCATAATTGTTATGCGATGAAAATAAAGAATTTTTAATGATTAACAAAAGCAAATAAAAAAAATGATCGTTTAAGAACAATTTTTTTTTTTTTTTCAAGAGTCACACAAAAAATGATGTAGACAAAATTCAATTTATTAGTTGACGTCAACTTTTGAAAGCAAAAAATTTAACGATGTACATTTACTTGTTAATTAAAATTTTGACATAAAAAGAAACGCATCAACTATAGGTCACAAGTGTTTCATTTTTTTTTTTCTCCCTTATTAATTAGGAGTATCAAGAAAGTTTTGATTTTCCACCTAGGTAAGCAAACTTGTAAAGCAATGTGTCTATAAATACTTTGTTTACTTAGAGACATTTCTACACATGACATATAGAAAACTTCAAATAAAAAAATAAAAACTAAAGAGAGAAATAAAGGAAAAAATAAAAAATAAAAATGGGTGCTAAGTTAAACATCACTTTAGTCCTTATGCTACTTACAGCCATATTAGCTGTTGATGCTAAAATTGAAAATGACTGGGAAGATGCCCATGCAACCAACTACGGTGGCATGGATGGACGTGAAACCATGCGTGAGTTTTTCAATTCCTTATTTTTTCTTTTAATAAATCCATGCCTTATTTTATTTTACTTAACGTTAGTTAGTAAAGTTGACACATTGACGACATTGTGACTGAGTGTAACAGTTCCGCACAAATTATCAAAAGACGTCACCATTTATAAACAAGATTTTATGTTTTAAAATTGAATTTCATTTAAAGTGATAGATTGGAACTTTTTTGGAAAATAGGAAATATTGGATGCATGGTAGAATTAACACTTACAAGATATAGCTATAGATAATTGGATTGTCACGCCTTGTCATTTTTACTTGCTCCTAAATTTTATTTATATATATATTTTTTTATTTATTTTTAAATAGTATTTTTCCAATTTGCACTGACTTTTTGAGTTTTTCAATCCCAAAAAATATTCCAATGCGAGTAAATTTTTTTTTTTTTTAATGTCTATCATTTATTAATGTTTGAAAAAAAATCAAAGATATAGAAATGTAATTTCTTAAAGCTTTAACAACCCATGCATGAAGTTTATCAAACTCTTTGCTTCAATTTCTCAAATATCATCATCGATTAGAAAATAACAAATTGATTGTAGAGAACAATAATGTTACAATTATAGACTTTATTTGCATGCATGCATGCATCATTCTAGGCAATAATTAAGTTATACTCTCAATTTGATTTTTGTTTGATTATATATGCTACAAGACACCCTAATCTAAATTTTAATATGTTCAAATCTACACAAAATTAAACTTTTTTTTTTTTTTTTTTTTTTTTAACTACGTACACAAATTGGCCTGGTGATCATATTCTGATTTATGTGCACTACTTGCAGAAGGAGCTTGTGGGTATGGAAATCTCACAGAGCAAGGCTATGGACTCGAAACGTCAGCATTAAGCACGGCCCTCTTCAACGACGGTCTAACATGTGGTGCTTGCTACCAAATCATGTGTAAAGACTCAAAATGGTGTCTTAATGGTACTCAATCAATCCATGTAACAGCCACCAACTTTTGCCCTCCTAACTACACTAAGCCTAACGAAAATTGGTGCAACCCTCCCTTGAAGCACTTTGATCTAACACAACCAATGTTTAGAAAAATCGCGGTGTATGAGGCAGGCATTGTCCCTGTGGCTTATCGCCGTGTTAATTGTGTTAAACAAGGAGGCATTACGTTCGAGTTTAAGGGAAACCCGAATTGGATCGTTGTACTCGTTTATAATGTGGGTGGTGTAGGGGATGTTAAGGATGTTAAGGTTAAGAGTTCAAACACTACTAGTTGGTTACAAATGAGGAGGAATTGGGGACAAAATTGGGACACTAATGCTACACTTGTTGGACAAAGTTTGTCGTTTCAAGTGACTACTAGTGATGGTAAAATGGTGCAAGCTGATGATGTGGCTCCTGCTACATGGAAATTTAATCAAACTTATGTTTGTAAAAGACAATTTAATTAGGTAATTTATATTACCTTCTTGTAATTTGGTTAACATGTATTATGTGCAATAGGATGAGGGCTCTAGATGATGTATAATTTGAAGTTAATATGTATGATCGAGCTCTAGATAAATCAAAATTAACCGAGTTATGAGAAAGTTTAATTATGTTACTGGGTTTATGTATTTCATGAGGTATTGATTTAGAATCACTTCAATGAATCTCGACTCTTAAATAAAAAAAAAATAATAATATGGTCAATCACTTTTGAAATAACTAACGGATTGATTAGTTAACCCCCTCAAACATTTTGCTGGAATCTTTAATTTGTAGTATGTAGACTATGGATTGTATATTTGTATGACAAATTTTCACTTCTTTGATTTAACAATCAAAGTTTCTTACTACTCCGTTTGTATTTGTTAGTCAGTATTATGTGTGATGGAAAGCAAAACTTAATGAAATGGTATTGATTGCAACAAAAAACTTTTAAGGGTTGATCTGCTGATATGATGTAAAAATTAGTTATGTGTGTTTAACCCTTTACCTATGTATGTTGTGTTATGGAGTGCGGACGTGTGGTCATTCTATATGTCAACTAACTTAGTTGGTTAAAGTGTCTTGGAAGTGGTGTCAACAAAAAAAAAAAAATCATGATTGGAAAGTAAATATAGAGTGCAAAATAATGTGTAAGATTCAGATTTTATCAGTACAAATACAATTAGAAGAATATATAGTCACATAAACACCCTTTGTTATTTCTTTTCAATATTTCATTTGAATATTTCACAGTTTCAAATTCAGTTTTCAGTCCAAATTAATATATACAAAGAATGGTTCAACAAGCTAAGAAGTTCTTAAACCATTGAACAGAATTCTTGGCATATCTCTTTTGATTGTTCTGGTAATCCACATAATAAAGACCAAATCTAGAAGTATATCCTGCTGCCCATTCCCAGTTATCCAGAAATGACCATGCAAAGTATCCTTTCACATTACACCCATCTTCCCTGCATTTTTAACAAACACTCAACCTTGTAAGTGATTCGGTCCGAAATGTATTAGACTTAGCTAATTAACAACATGATGTACTTCCTTGGATATGATCATTGTCACTTACTTGATAGCTGCAGCCAAATTTTCAAGATAGCCTGTGTAGTATCGAATTCTTTTCTCGTCTTTAAGCGAGTCATTCAAGGATCTGAATATATTGTTACCATCATCCATCCCTGCAACAATTCAGATTTTAAGTGCACTATATTTCAGAGTTCTAAGTGGTGTAGCAGTATGTTCTGATCTATACACTCAGATATATTTTGGTTATTTGACAACGGCGAGTACTTGACTCCCTGACCAATCTCAGGGGTCCGAGGGTAGCTCCAACCACTTGAGCAGCCCGCGCACTCTTATCTTATAAGAGTTACATCATGTTATAGTATGATGTTACAGAGGACTGTAACACATATATAGCAGATTGTATGTATGCTTACATTAAGGCCAACTATTTTGCTAGAATAGCAGATTTAAAATGCCAGTTTTAGTATGTACCATTTTCAGTTATGATGACCATGGGATTTCCATATTTGTTCTTGATATAATTCATCAATTCTCTCATTCCTCGAGGTACAATGTACAGCCATATCGAATTAGCCCTCTCTCCAATAGGTTTCCCGTCATGACCAAATGCTGAAGATGAAAAAAAACACAAAAGGTTGAAATTCTAATATAGTCAGATCAAGTAGCAGCATAAATTGATTAAGTAGAGTTCAAGAAAGATTTACGCGAAGTCACAGTGCCAGAATCAGCAAGAGCATCATTGAGAAGAAGCCCAATGATATTAGTCTTGTTGTCCCTTGCATAATATGTAGTGTAGTGATTTATGCCAACAAAATCTAGAGACCCTTTGAGAAGAGCTGACTCTGCTGCAGTGAATTTTGGCAGACGGTCCCCTACTCGCTGCCTCATTGAAGCAGGATAGTCTCCAAACATCAATGGATCAAGAAACCTAACAATGTTTCATTCCACTTAGTTATCTCATTTTATTCGAAAATGTAGCAAAACTTATACTACCTCCATTTCATATTATTTGCAACGATTAGACATTTTTCCTCTCTACTTTATGTCAAATCGTTGCAAATAATATATAGCGGAGGTAGTAGCTAGAATAAATATAATACTCCAAAACATTATCAATCATACCAGCCAAGCTGAAAATCTTGTGCTCTTTGAGCTGCTTCAATATTTTCTGTTGTGTTGGTTTCAGGCTCATACCACATCACATCTAACGCTGCTCCAATTGATCCGCGTTGTTTTCTCTGCCAAGGTCACGTAATATATTGAATTTAAACGACTAATTAAACGCATCATTAGTACTTGAATCAAGTTAGCTCATCATTTACGTGTGCATGATATTGTTAAAAGCTAATCTTTACATCAAAACACAGTAGATAATTCACAATAGAAGTCACATTTACCTGGTATTTTCTCCTATAAATGTCGACTGCATTAGCATGAGCAAGAAGCAGGTGATGAGCAACAATATAAGGCTCAGTAGCAGAGTTCCCTGCCCTGCAAAACAAGTGGAGGAGGATGGAGCATCGTCCTGGAGCGAATATGCCTATGTCATAGCCTTGAGATGCAACTGTATGAGGCTCGTTTAGTGTTATCCAGCGCTTAACCCTGTCCCCGAACTTCTGATACAGAGTCTCCGCGTAGACTCCAAAATCATTTCTGAAAACAACATGAACAACATGAGCAACATAAACTCACCATATTTTAAACGACTACTGTAAAATTTTCATAAACAACATGAACTTCAAGTTGATATATGACCGAAAATTACATGATCTGAGGGCTAAGCCAACTTTTGTAAGCATCCTCCAAGGCTTGAGGAGTGTCCCAATGGTACATTGTCACATATGGTTGAATTCCTATAACACATAATTAAGACACATTTTAAGTATAATAGCATTTGATATCTATAATAATCCTATCAAAATCGATTAATAATAATGTACCATTAGCTAGTAATGCATTGATTAGATTGTTGTAGTGATCAACTCCGGCTTGATTTATCTGGCCAGTTCCATCTGTTAATCAAAAAATTTTGTATGATTTAGCACTAGGGTTCAAGGACTAATATTTGCTAATCAAAAGGAAGTTTCATTAGTAGAGCAATGAATTACTTGGAAATATCCGAGTCCAAGATATCGAAAACCTGTATGCATCGACTCCCATGTCCTTCATAAGTTTTACATCTTCCTGTTTATGTGCATAAAGTTTAATTACATATAAAAATATAGAACAACATTTTTGAATTTATGCAATGAACATCAAAGTGAGAGTAGTTCTTACAAGGTATTTATGATAATGATCATTTGCAACATCAGCGTTACTAAAATCAATGACTTTGCCTGCACAAAAATTAACAAATTTAAACCTGATTAATCATGAATAGTTTATCCTTGTTCAAAGACTTAATCATGTAGGAGACAACTTGAATTACCGAGGGTTCAAAGAAGGCCGAAATAGTCAAATCGAAAGACTTTTTTTTGTTAATTTATATAAGGTCCAACCTTTAAATTTATCTTGAGTACACGAGAAAAAAGTATCACCAATTCACCATAACTATTTAAAATATCACCACAAATGTATCTATAATTATTTGAGACGCGCCACACGTATCTCCAATGGCACAACAATACAACATCAATATTCTTTTAACCAGGTTGGCTTGTTTAGCAAATCCCGGAGATATGAAAGCTTTCAACATGCAAAGTTCTTAACAACTTAAAAAGTGTTGCAAAATGTAGTTATGACTTTGTGTGTTAATTAGACGAAACTACGAAAGTCACGTTCATACTAATACGAGAATAACGTCCCAAATTAAGATTTGTCATCATTCATATGTCATGATTCTTAGAATTTGAGACTTTAATAAATCACCGACTCCTCCTATAAAATGTGAGTGCGACTTTTTTTATTTATTTTTTATAAATTAAAGTAAGAAAAAGAGAATATATTATCATAATATTACGATTTTATAGGTCAATGTAAAAATGAATAAATGACCTAAATAGTGTGATATGTATGTATTCTACTACTACCTCCATTATATATTAGATAATTAGTTGCAACTTTAGAATTTTTATATCTCATAAATATTATCCCAAAATTTACAACTAATATATAAAGGACCTAGTATGAAAAACCGAAAAAAAAAAAAAATTACCAAATTGGTGTGCAAATGTATCCCAGACAGAGGGTCCCCTGCCGTCCTCTTTTACAGCTCCTTCGTACTGCAAAATTAATATGCACCCAATATTTCAAACTTCATTAAAATCATCCACTTTGTGTCAAATGCCAAATACAGTATGGCTAAAAGCAGCATCTTAGAAATTAGAATAGTCAATATTGACTGTATTTATTTATTCGAATGAGTTATAAGGAAAAAAATTAATTAAGGGGTTTGAACCTATGACTTACTCAGATCTCTCAATTCTTTGAACAAGTGACCTTTACGTTACGCTAGTTCTTATACTATGTTAGGACATTAACCCAACTAAAATCTTAACCTGAAGGTTAAAGTTCGGAAATATGTTATACTTATCACTTTTGATCGAAACAGAGATTATTTAGTGGACACAGGGCCTCCCGGACAGCCCATACTTCCACATTGACTTCTCAGTTTCTCACATCTCTTCACCTCTTTTTTTTTTTTCCATCCAAACTCATTACCAACCCACTATACTTAGTGCAGTAGACTAAAGCAATATTCTTCACTTTTTTTTTCCTTGAAATATATTTATAGTATTGAAAATTACTTGTATATCTAACAAAAAAGGTTTATATTCTGAAATGTACATGAGTACTAACCATTAAAATTATAAAGTATAAGACTTAAATCTTCATATTATATTTAGACTACGTTCTAATAATATTATATACTCGTATAAAAAACATACAAGTAGTAATTACTCGTAATAGACATTGAAACGCTAAAACCGTACTCAACTACGTTATTTTGTATGGAGTATGTTATGTGATATGTAGTATGAATAATCCCAAAGTACTCCACCACCTATTTCAGGCATACTTTCTACCCTAATTTCTGCGTTACGTCTTATTCACCAACTTAGCTATTGTGCCTTGAAGGAACTATTTATAACTATATAAGGAATTCCTTCTAAACAAAGCTACGTTTACACCACCATTTTAGACTTAATTATCATTATAAAGTCGGATCCATTTTGCTTTTTTGCCCTCTAAGTGAACATCCACATCCCCATTGTTTAAAAATAAGTCAATAAATTAATACATAATATAAAATATTTCTAGATTCGACACTGCTTATACAAGTTTATTTTAACAAAAAGTCTAAGCTAATTCTTACTCGTACTAATTATACCATAATTATCAATTAGACAATTAATAATCAATGTCATTTGTTGAAAAAAAATCGTTTTTTTGCCTTTGGCTTTATGCTTTAGTTTCTTTTAATTGGCATTCTCCGTTATATCATCAACTAGAATAAGCTAGAAGAAAGGAATAAAACTCGCAAGACTTCCTCCTTTAAAATTTAAAGCTTTTGTCTCATTAACAAAGTCTATCCTTTGTTTCTAATTTCCTCCTCTAATTATTCTTTGTCATCTTACCTTCTCTCTACCACATATTTCTTTTTTGTAAAAAACATATATATATATTCTTTCTACGACCTATTTTGTTGCAATGTTAGTGACTTTTTCAGTTGTCGTGGGATCTTATTAGACAAGTCAAATTCAACGTGTATTTACGATATTTAGTTATCAATACAAAATTCAAACATATTAATAGTTGAAATTACGCATCGCCAAAGGTTGATAATAGATTGGAAGAAAGTATTAAAAAAGATTACAAACATACAAAGACGTATCACATGACTAAACTAGCTATCTCCTGCAATTTCCTTCCTTTCTACTGACGATATTCTTGAAATAAAAAATTTTAAAAAAATAAAAAATAAAAAGTAGCGTACCTGATAGGCAGAAGATGCAGTGCCAAAAACAAAGTTCTTTGGAAAACTCTTTCTACTAACATTTGTAGAACAATCACAATTTATCGGGTTAACAATCGCGATAAGTACAAGAATCAAGCTTATAATTAGCTTGTTTTTCTGATTCATAACCATGATTTCTGAATGAAATTCAAAGAATGTATGTAGTCTTGAAATTGAGAGGAAATAAAACAATTAGAGAATGGAATAATAAATGGGATACTATATACTTTTATAGTAACACAAATAATATTATGGTTTTGGGAATTAATTAAGGCTGGATAAGGAGAAATGATTAAATAATTTGATTATAAAAGGTAAATGAAGTTGTGGTTGGAAAGTTGAAATAAAAATGAAAAATGGAATGATTATGATATGATATTAGTGAGTGCTTAATTAACTGTTTAAATTGGAGTTTAATTTTGTAAGAGGAGAGAGAAAATGAGAAAAGTTGGAACGGAAAAATAAGAGCGGTGGGAGTATTTATAAGTGTAAGGGGTTGAGGAATGAAGGTGATTATGCGTGTGAATACTATAATCACGTTTACACGTTATCTAGTTTATTTTGTTAGACATGTTATACAAGCATATCAACTTTGTGTTTTAAGGGTTTTTTTTTTGTTTTTGTTTTTACAAGTTTAGCTTTTACTACTTTTGTTTTTAGTTCGAATGTATACTCAATGTATCGAAATGAATATATGATTGTGAATTTCAGAATTTGTGAATTGTGATTCAATTATTTGAACATCGTGTCATGTTGAGTTTTTCTGTTTAAATAATGATGTTTGAATTTTCTTGTTGAACTTGTAAGGCGTTATAGGTCAAATAAATACCAGTATCTTAAATTGACCGGCAAATTTACCAATTATATATATATATATATATATATATCATGGGTTAAAATAATGATTGAACTTATTCTACGGAGTGTTAAGAATACAAATGACTAATTGTATAGTGTAACATTTTCTAGATTAATTAGTCAAGACACATGGTGTATATTCATATAATATCAATGTTTTTATTAAAGTTTTAATTTATTATTAAATAATTAAAGATATTAATAAAGGTCAAAATTATACATTAACATATATATCAGACAAACTGATACGGGGTACATTTATGATTTTTTTTAATGTGAAGGTTTGTTTGATTCATCATGTGCCAACCAAATAATATGGCATATTTGCAACTTTGCATTGGCTATTTGGCTTTGTTTAATCCATGTACCATCTCCCATCCGTATTAATTAACATGTTTGCATTTGGTTAATTCATATGTCAACTCTATTAATTTTTTCTTTTTTTTTCAAGATAAAGAATAAAGAATAAAAATAATGAAAATCAATGTAGCTTTCCATTTTATTTTACTTTTTTAATTTTTCGTCTCTTTTATAGAGTTTTTTTTTTTTTTTTTTTTTTAATTCTCCTTCTCTTTTTACCCTCTTTGGCTAATGGCTCTATCTAATTCTACATTTCTACCATCTCTCTTCTGTTTATTGATACAACGGACTTGTGCATTGCATGGACAACAATTATTAGGTATATTATTGAGCATCAAGATTTTGATAATAAAAAAAGTTATTACTACTAACATTGCAATTGTATCAAGTCAAGATAATGGTATTTTCCCCTTCTAGCATTGATAATATCTATTCTTGATTATCAAAATCTTCATGCTTAGAAATATCCTTGATACACAAGACAAAGTAAGGGACTGTTCTCTTACATTGAAAGTCAGTTCAGTTCAATTCAGCTCCTAATTTCCTTCTCTTATAAAATATTCATTTCACTTCAGTTCAATTCAGCTCAGCTCAGTTCAGTTCAGCTCAGCTCAGCTCATCTCAGTTCAGTTCAGTTCAGCTCAGCTCAGTTCAGCTCAACTCAGTTCAGTTCAGTTCAGTTCAGTTTAGCTCAGTTCAGTTCAGCACAATTCAGTTCAGTTCAGTTCAGTTTAGTCATTGAGAACAGACCCTAAGTTGGGATCAATTACGGGAAAGTTTTCCAGACGACATTTAACTCAAAAATGGTAGCCATTGTAACAATTTAATTTTATTATAATTTTTCTAAAGTACTTATTATATATATAATCTCTAATTTTCAATTTTGTTCATCTTTTAGTAGTCTCTTAGTCTTATAAATTATTAATTACTTTATCTTCTTATTATATTAAAATGGGACATCACTTACATATATTGTTTGAGAATGTTATTTCTTTACAATTAAGAAAATAAAGTAGGACGACAAATTACACTTATAGGTGGGAATTGGCCTGTACAATTGTCCATGGATTTCTGATTACATTTCATAGTAGCCGCAACCTCTACAGTGTGAAATGAGGAATAACGAAAACAAAGATTAATGATGGCTGTTAGCTTTGTCATTCTAGCTACTCTTGTACATACTTCGGCAGACATATCCAAGTCCTTTTTAATCACAAGAATATTATAAATTATCAATGAAACGGGGAAAGAGATTTCGAATATGTGACATCATACATATGTTTTCCGATAATTCTGATTATCTCATGTCTCTAACAACAATAGAGTTTATTGTTATATATATTTAGATAATTTCTTCCATTTATACATTTCCTGGTTTCATTTATGATGTCGGACCATTATTAGTCTTTAATATAATTATTGACCATACATAGTTTGACTCATTGAGGGAGAATTAGAGATCCAAATCATCCAATAGTAAATATCCAACTATCCAAGTGGAAGTAGACCTTTTTTTTTTTTTTTTTTTTTGGTTTGGAACGGAAGTGGATGTAGACTTTTGTCAACTTAATTAGGCTATATTTAAATCTGTCATAATTAGTACTAATCTGCTTTGATCATCTTATGCACCACTCAATCGTTATTTGGGTCAAAAAAATGGTGGCCGAAAACTAATTGCTAAACACGCTATAAACCTGCTAACAAAATAAGTACCAAGGATCATATGTTATACGGAGTATAAGTTAGTTTCTTACAACATAATAAATGCAGATTGCATTAAAATTCATACATATATCGGTATATATATATATAAACAACAAATTGATACATACAGAGTAGTAGTTAAAAAAAAATAGCTAACCTAAGGTCCTAAGGCACATTGAATGATATATGGTTAGTTGTTTTCTACGGTCGAGGTTAAGTAAAAGCATTTGATATAGAGTAGATTGTTTTTGAGCTTGAGGCGGAACTGATTGTTGTAGTAATGTCTTAATGGTTTCAAAATCCTTGTTTAAGTTTCTCTTGTGATTCTTTCTTTGTTGTTATGAGTTGTTTAAACTTCTTGTAATCCCTAATTAATGGCGTTATATGAAAGGTAGTCTGCCTTAATTTGGAGGGTACTTGCTATTCATTTCATATTCCCAACCTCATTGATTATTTATTATGAAAATTGAAGCATCTTGTTGCGGTTACAAACATTCTACTTGTATATACTAGTATATTACATAGTCATCAATTACTTTTATTCTCATCCCTACCTTATAAAAAGTACAAAAGAACTCTTATGAATAGTGTGATGACTTTTTTACCCCTAAAAATATTTATTTACCCATATACCCTTTTATGTCATATTAACTCTTATGCTTCCGTATTTATTTCACTATGCTTCTTTAGTCTTCCTTCCCTTTCAACTTCCAACCTTTTCCTCTCTTTTAAACCCCCCTTTCCCTCTCCTTCCTCCTTTACTTCCCTATTCTCTTTCTCTCCTCCATTAAAGCGAACGAGCCCTCCATTAAAGCACCTACCGAGCTAAGCCACATGAAGAAGAGGAAGAGGAAAAGGAGAAGGAGGAGGAGAAAATTGTTGAATTTAATGGCAAAACTATTTAACGTGAAAATAATCCTTTTCAAAGGGTGGGGGAATATTCTGGTTATAACCCACTTTGTTACTATTTTTTGTATTAAAAAAAAAAACACACACACACACACAAAACCAATGAATTTAATTACCTAATCATCTAATTAGACATTTTTCTTTTAAAGTTTTTCCATTAAATTTTTAGTTGTAACATTCTAACTTTCACGCTTGTCAATACATAATTTCAATCTCTTGTATCTCTAATTATAAACATATAAATAATCTAAAGATTAAATATTTAAAACATATATATAAATCGAAATGAATCTAATAAGATCCCACATGACTATTTTGCCCAACAAAAAAGTCAATAAAATAAAGATCAATTATTAAAAAAAATAAAAAACGTATATATTTTCAAGTGGTGCAATTAACAGTGACGGATGATATATAATTGTATTTTATAACTCACAACAAAAGCCATATTACACCATAAAAACTTACAACTAAAAGTGTTTATATATTTTCAAGTGTTACATTTTTTGTACCTATGCAAGGGTATGATTATCAACAATTTATTTCTTAGTATATACGTTCAAAAGTCTACCCAATAAGTTTTGGGTGTCATGACAAGCTATTACAACTCGACCATAAACATCGATTATGTCGCGCGCAACGCGCGCGTAGACTCCCTAGTTAAGTAAAAATTATAAAAATTACGTTGTAAGATAGTATAGTAAAAATATACGGAGTATGTTTTTTCCTACATAAATTCACTAAAATGGTCAAAGAAAAGGGTATGAATAGTATAAAGTCAAAGTGGGTTAAGTGTAAAAAAACGGAGAAAGTATAAGTTTTTCTTTTGGCTTAAAAAAGTTATCTCAATGAGGGATATCGGGAAACATAATTGCCAAATTTAATTCAACTTATTTTTAGATGTGCAAAAGAACAAATTGTACGTGCAAGTCTTAACTTTTGATATATAACTAGTTTTTGGGTTCGGGCGATGCCTCGGATTATTACATGGAACTGATAAGTAATATATGTTGTAATTTATGATTCAGTTTTCTTCTAATTAAATTTGTTGTTCATAATGTCATATATTATATATTAATATTTTGTACTCAAAAGATCATATAAAAAATCACATAGCTTGCATGGTGACGTGGCGTAATAAGGTTAGTTTACGTGACACGTGGACGTTGTTATAAACGCCTTTTAATATATTAGTATAGGTGTCATACTTGTATTTTGACTCTGTGTTAGCTAACCAAAAGATTTGTCAAAATGATAGTTCCATCGCATGAGTCCGTTCTACGCAAAAGCTTCTCGATTATAAAAGATATATACATAACGTTTCATTTATTAATACAATGCAATACATCCTTCTACCATTGTGTAATGTTTTATTTGTGTAAGTTAAATTAAAGTTGTTAAAAAGGTCACATCAACTGTACAAAGCAAAAAAGGTAGAGTTGAGCATTTAATTTGATAGCTATTGAAGAGATGTATGGAAGAAAGGAAATTATTCAACTCGATTGCTTGTGTAATCTGTTCACTCCAATCTGCATCAATAATATAAATGTATATGTACTAATGTACTATATAGAGTATATACACATATAAATGAGGGAAATTCAATTTGATGTTACATTCTCTAACGACGTGTATGTTCTTGTTGTGTCAACTTTGTTGAGAGTTATGGCAACCCATGCAAGGCATAGCATACATGGGTTTGTAATTGTAACGAACCAACTCGTTGAGTATAGGATTACTTGCGAGTTTGTTGTTGATGTCTTGCTCATAACTCCGCGAATACAAGATCTATCCTAACTTGCTATTACGAACAAAAAGAAGAATTTTTTTTTTTTTTACAAAATCTACTTTCATTTATTATCTAGGTAAAGAAAATAAGTTCATAAAACGTTGTTGTCAATAATAATAATACTCCGACACTCCGTAATATAGAGGGTAAAACCATAACTAGCTATTAGAAAAGGCAATAATTTAAAAACGTCGCCTGAGAGATTCGAACTCTCGCGGGGAAACCCCATGTACTTAGCAGGCACACGCCTTAACCACTCGGCCAAAGCGACTTGATGATGACAAACAACATAACATTTACTAGAATTAAAATAAAGAGGTTAAGAATTTTCCTTGCTTTAGAGAAGTTTATTTTATTTTTATTTTATTTTTTTTTTCAGGTAAGAAAAAGGAAAAACATTACTTTAGAGAAGTTGATAGATTGTGGCCGTGTTTGGGGAAAAGTTGAAAGCTAAAACTAATTGTGTTAGTTGATTTTAAGTAGCTGATTGTATTAACTGATTTGACTTACTTATTATATTAGCTTATTGTTGAAAAGTGTTTGGTAAATAGCTGATTGTTTAAAGCTGATTGGTTATGTGAAATGACCAATAAACTAATTATGGGGTAGGTAGTTCATAGAGGATTTTTAATTAAATGGGGGGTATAAGTGTCATTTCACCATAAGAATTGAATAAGCTAATTGAAAAAGCTCCTTAAAAGAGCTTATTCCACTAAATAAGCTCTTTAAATAAGCTTCCTACCAAACACCTTGAATTAGCTTATTTAATAGTCAATAAGCTAATGTTGATCAAACAAGCTAATTTTGCTCAAATAAGCTAGTTGTCAAACACAACCTGTATTATTATTGTAACATTTGTAAGAGAAGCTATTACTATTCTACTCTGTATAATTATGATTATCGTTTAGGTTGTGTGAATAACATTATCATTTAGGCTGTATGAGTAACATATCTCTCATGATGTTGCATATAAAACAAGATTAATTAATGATATTTGAGAAGTTAAAATCCCGTCTCTCTTGTCTCCTTCTCTTATCTCTCATCTCTCTCTCTCTCTCTTCGTCTTTTTTTTCACTTACTTATTCATTTCTCTTCGCTCAGCCTGCTCTAATTTATATACTTCATCCATTTTTTTAGTTGACACGTATTGACTTTTATTTTGATACTATTTACAAATTTTATTTTGACTAACTTTTGTAATTTATAAGTACATTAAAACATATTTATTTAGAATTTTGTTTAAATCGTTGCAATATATTACCTTTGTTCCAAATTAGATGATGACATGTATATATAGACTTTTGACTTAGGGCATGTTCACATTTACTTAATTTCAGTTCAGTTCAGTTCAATTCAGCTTCAATCATCATCAGCTCAGTTTAGTTCAGCTCCTAATTTCCCTCTCTCATAAAATATTCATTTCAGCTTCAATCAGTTCAGTTAAGTTTAGCTCTAATTAGTTCAATTCACTTCACTAAATGTGAACATACCCTTATTCTTAAGCATTGTTTTGACAAACACTTTTGATTTATATAGATATATAAAACATAGTGATCATGTCGATCATGTTAAATTTGTTTAAATCGGTCGGTAATTAATTAAAATTTGTTATGATAATATCTAAATATGGATGACTATTATCCCATGTACAATCTAGAATATTCTAGAGTTGGGTATTTGGTCTTATCCATTGATGGAACCCTAGGAAATGTACCTTATATATATCCAGTATTACATGGAATATGAAATACAACGTAACAATCTTCCCTCGTCTCTCTTTATTTTCTCTTCCATATTTAACATGTTATCAGCACCATTGCTAGTCAACTGAGTAGGATTACCAAACATTTTTCTAGAATCCCATATTATTATTATCATGTAAGTATGATCGTAGCCCATAACAATTATAATTTAACATTTATCTAATTTTGCATGCTTATTTATTGGAATATCAACATATATAACGAATACAGAGCATGATAAATAATTTAAGGTTCCATTCTTATTTTTCTCCATGCTAACGTTCTCATCTTCTATTTCGTTCTTATTTATGCATGACTTGTATCAGGATTATTTATGCATGATTATAACGTTTAGTACATATTTTGGATACTATTTATATATACTTATCTTTTAATATTATTTTGTATAGTGAAAAATGTCGGACCTTGCCAAGCTCGAATTTGTGCCCCTTGATATTACCGGAAAGAATTATTTATCATGGGTGTTAGATGTTGAAATACACCTAGATGCTAAAGGGCTTGGTGAAACAATAAAAGAGGCTAATAAGGCAACACCTCAAGATAAGGCTAAAGCCATGATTTTTCTTCGCCATCACCTCCATGAAGGGCTCAAAAATGAATATTTAACTGTGAAAGACCCACAAATCCTTTGGAGTAATCTAAAGGAAAGGTATGACCACCAAAAAACAGTGATACTCCCTAGAGCTCGTTATGAATGGTTGAATTTGAGATTGCAAGATTTTAAATTTGTTAGTGAATATAACTCAGATATGTTTAAAATAACTTCTCAGTTGAAATTATGTGGAGAAAATATTACTGATGCAGAAATGCTTGAAAAGACATACTCCACTTTCCATGCTAATAATATTGTCCTGCAGACACAGTATAGAGAAAAAGGTTTTAAAAAATATTCTGAATTAATATCTTGTCTTCTTGTGGCTGAGCAAAATAACGAGCTATTAATGAAAAATCATGAATCACGTCCTACTGGCTCTACTCCATTCCCTGAAGCGAATGTGACAACCCATAACGGGAAAGAAACTAAAAACAGAGACCATTCCAGCAGTAGTGGTAGAGGTAGAGGTCGAGGTCGTGGTCGTGGCCAATGGCGCGGCCGAGGTCGTGGACGTGGATATGGTAGAGGTCGTGGAGGTCATTTCACAAATTCACATTCCCACCAGAAGTGGGAACGTAGGGATGAAAAAGAGAAAAGTGATAACAATATATGTTACCGTTGTGGAGGAAAAGGTCATTGGTCTCGGGTTTGTAGAACTCCAAAACATCTTATTGAACTTTACCAAGAATCATTGAAGAAAGGAAAGAAAGTTGAGGCAAACCTTGTTCTTGAAGATGGTGAAGGTGATTTTGATTTTGGCAATGCCAATCAATTTGATGTTGGTGATTTCCTTACTTCCCCGGAAGGGAATAATTTTGATTTTGGCAGTACAATTCATTTAGAAGTTGCCGATTTCTTCACTGCCCCAGAAGGGAATAATTAAAATTATATTGTTTTATGTTAGTTTTAAGTATTAGACTTATGTTTGCTTATTCTAGTGATTTATTTAAGTTTATTTCTTTCGTTGTAATAAGGATTTTTGCTTTATAAATTTATGAACTATTTGAGTGTTTTTATTGATTTATTTGTTTTATCATCTTTATTTTTATGCTTAATATTTTGACATGTATTTTATTTCATGAAGAACATGGATATTACTCAAGTTCAATTTGCTATGAATGGTGAAGAATTATGTCTTGCTGACAGTGTAACTACACATACAATACTTAAAAATAAAAAATATTTCTCTCATTTGATGATGAAAAGGATTAATGTAAGTACCATATCGGGTAGTACAAATATCATTGAGGGCTCCGGAAGAGCCACTATAAAGTTGCCTTGGGGAACTGAAATTAAAATAATTGATGCTTTATACTCCCCATTGTCTCAAAGAAATTTATTAAGTTTTAAGGATATTCGCAACAATGGTTATCATATTGAGACAATCAATGAGGAAAATAACGAATTCCTTCAAATCACAAATATAACTCAAGGCTCAAAACATGTTTCGGAGAAACTACCTACATTCTCTAGTGGTTTGTACTACACAAAAATCAATGCTATTGAAGCTCATGCTATAGTAAACCAGAAGTTTACTGATGATTTTGTTGTTTGGCATGACTGGTTAGGCCATCCCTGTTCAATAATGATGCGAAAAATAATTACGAATTCATGTGGACATTCTTTGAAGAGCCAGCAAATTCTTCATAATAATTTTTCATGTGCTGCTTGCTCGGAAGGCAAGTTGATTATTCGCCCATCACCAGCTAAAATTAATTTTGAATCAATTAGTTTTCTGGAACGTATACAAGGAGATATTTGTGGGCCCATACATCCCCATGTGGACCATTTAGATATTTTATGGTTTTAATTGATGCATCAACTAGATGGTCACATGTGTCTTTGTTATCAACTCGTGACCTGGCGTTTGCGAGATTACTTGCCCAATTGATTAAGTTACGAGCACATTTTCCAGATACTCCCATTAAGACTATTCGGCTTGACAATGCTGGTGAATTTACATCTCAAGCTTTTAATGATTATTGCATGTCCATTGGGATAAATGTTGAACATCCTGTAGCACATGTTCATACACAAAACGGTCTAGCAGAGTCATCAATAAAACGTATTCAGTTAATTGCTAGACCATTGCTTATGAAATCCAATCTCCCAATTTCTTCTTGGGGACATGCTATATTACATGCAACAACACTAATTCGCATTAGGCCAACAAGTTATCACAAGTTCTCCCCATTACAATTGGTTTATGGTCAGGAACCAAATATTTCCCATCTAAGAATTTTTGGATGTGCGGTTTATGTTCCAATAGCTCCACCACAACGCACTAAGATGGGTCCTCAAAGGAGGTTGGGTATATATGTTGGGTTTGAATCCCCGTCAATAATTAAAATCTTGAGCCTACAACAGGGGATTTATTTACGGCTCGTTTTGCAGATTGTCATTTTAACGAGTCACTTTTCCCAACATTAGGGGGAGAAAAGAGAGAGCTGGAAAATGAAATTAAATGGAATGAATTATCATTATCCTATCTTGATCCTCGAACTATACAATGTGAACTGGAAGTTCAAAAGATAATTCATTTACAAAGTTTAGCGAATCAATTGCCAGACTCGTTTGCTGACCCAAAAAGAGTGACCAAGTCACATATTCCAGCTGTTAATGCTCCATTTAAAATAGATGTCCCGGAAGGACAAAATAAAATTGCTAATGAGTCTAAACCACGCCAGAAACGTGGAAGACCAATAGGTTCCAAAGATAAGAATCCTCGGAAAAGAAAATGAGCATTGATTGATGATGGTCAAATTGAAGAAACAATTTCCGAACGATCTCCAGAAGAGACTTTAGACATGATACAAGAAGAAATTCAGGTACCTGATAATGAAGAAATTTCAATAAATTATATCATGTCTGGAATTACATGGAACCGAAATCAAATCGACGTCGATGATGTTTTTGCATGCAATGTAGCATTAGATGTTATGGATAATAATGAGGATCATGAACCAAAATCCATTGAAGAATGTAGACAAAGAAATGATTGGCCAAAATTGGAAAGAAGCAATTGAAGCAGAATTAAAATCTCTTGGAAAAAGAGAAGTATTTGGACCAGTAGTCCGTACACCTGAAGGTGTAAAGCCAGTGGGATATAAATGGGTCTTTGTGCGAAAGAGAAATGAAAAAGGTGAAATTGTAAGATATAAGGCACGCTTAGTTGCACAAGGATTCTCACAAAGACCTGGTATTGATTATGAGGAGACATATTCTCATGTGGTGGATGCAACTACTTTTAGATTTTTGATTAGTCTGACAATAAGAGAAGGACTTGACTTACGTTTGATGGATGTTGTCACAGCTTATTTATATGGCCCACTGGATAATGACATTTACATGAAGCTCCCAGAAGGATTCAAGCTGCCGGAAGCAGCAAAATCTAGTTCTCGAGAACATTTCTGTATTAAATTAAACAAATCTCTTTTTGGATTGAAACAATCTGGGCGTATGTGGTATAACCGTCTAAGTGAGTATTTGTTGAAAGAAGGTTATAAGAATGATCCTATCAACCCATGTATTTTTATAAAGAAATTTGGATCAGGATTTGTTATAATTGCAGTGTATGTTGATGATTTAAATATCATTGGAACTCCTGAAGAGATTTCAGTAACTGTCAATTATTTAAAGAAAGAGTTTGAAATGAAAGATCTAGGAAAGACAAAATTCTGCTTGGGGTTACAAATAGAGCACCTAGAGAATGGAATCCTTGTGCATCAATCAACATACATAGAAAAGGTTCTTAAAAGATTTTCTTTGGATACAGCACATCCATTGAGCAGCCCTATGGTTGTAAGATCACTTGAAGTAGAGAAGGATCCATTCCGACCTCGGGGAAATGATGAAGAAATTCTTGGTCCTGAAGTACCGTATCTTAGTGCAATTGGAGCACTAATGTACCTTGCAAGTCATACACGACCTAATATATCATTTTCAGTTAATTTATTAGCAAGGTTTAGTTCATGTCCAACCCGAAGGCATTGGAATGGGATTAAACATTTACTTCGTTACCTTCAAGGTACGAAGGATATGGGTTTATTTTTCCCAAAGTTGTCCAAAGAAAATTTGATTGGTTTTGCAGATGCAGGTTATTTATCTGATCCTCATAATGGTCGGTCACAAACTGGATATGTGTTCACATATGGTGGTACTGCCATTTCTTGGCGTTCCATGAAACAAACCATTGCAGCTACTTCTTCCAATCATTCTGAGATTTTAGCAATTCACGAGGCTAGTCGTGAATGTATATGGTTAAGGTCGGTAGTTTAACATATAAAAGAAGTTTGTGGTTTATCATCTGGGAAAGAGGCACCAACAACTTTATATGAGGATAACGCTGCTTGTATTGCTCAACTTAAGGAAGGATACATCAAAGGCGACAGAACAAAGCACATCTTACCCAAATTTTTCTTCACTCATGATCTTCAGAAGAATGGAGATATAAATGTATTGCAGATTAGTTCAAGTGAGAATTTAGCAGATATATTTACTATGGCTCTTCCGACAGCAACATTCAAAAAGTTAGCTTACGACATTGGATTGCGTCGTCTTAAAGATCTCAAGTGATGTAGTCATGAGGGGGAGTTAATGCGCGCTGCACTCTTTTTTCCTTAACCATGGTTTTTTCCCAATGGGTTTTCCTGGTAAGGTTTTTAACGAGGCAGCATATTATGCGCATTATAGTGTATTATTTTGTATGGGTTTTGTAGTAAATGTTAGTTATTGTTTTATTCAATATATAGTCATCCAAGGGGGAGCGTTATGATAATATCTAAATATGGATGACTATTATTCCATGTACAATCTAGAATATTCTAAAGTTGGGTATTTGGTCTTATCCATTGATGGAACCCTAGCAAATGTACATTATATATATCCAGTACTACATGGAATATGAAATACAACGTAACAATCTTCCCTCATCTCTCTTTATTTTCTCTTCCATATTTAACAAAATTCAATTACTAGTGTTTTTTTTTTTACAAATAGTATAATTCTAAATATTTTTGATTAAATTTTGCAATGGCAAACGTGTCATATAATTTGATTAAAGGAATTATATTTTATTAATATAAACTTTTTATAATTTTTAATTATTGCTAATTAGTGATATTAATTGTCAAAGTTGTGCATTGACAAACGCGATATATATGATGAAGAAAATGTTTCAGCTAAAAATAGAATGACGGAATTATATTTTATACGTTGTACCTAAATTGTTTTTGTTTTATTGTTGGATTTTTTTTTTATTTTTATTTTTTTTAAATTTTAGTATTTGTTTAATGCCATTTTCTTTTCATTATCCTTTTTTTTAAAATATTCCTGCAATTCTATAATATTGCATCTACTTCATTTTATTCAATGTTTAAGACGCATAGTCTTCAAGTACTTTAACCATTAATATCTTTAATTTTGCATTAACTTAAAATTTTTAAAAAATGTTACTATGGTCACGCTTAATTCACCTTCGTATCAAATTAGAAAATTTAAGTTATGAAATACTTTAGCTTTATCATTTTATATATGTGTGATTTTTATCGCTAAATATATTCAATTTCATAATTAAATTTTTTTATGATTACATATTAATAAAATAAGATACTTGTTTGTTATTAATTCCTCGTTATAGTATTTTCTGTGTGTATTCGATTGTCGTCTCTCGATTTCGTGACATATTTTCCATGAGTATTATTACATAAGATTTATTCATCAAAATTTGATGCTTTATGTTTATTGAACAAACATTCATTATTTACAATTTATTTAATACAATGTTTGGATGATGATAGCCAAACGAATGATAAAAAATAGTACACGAAGTCAGGTCGGGCAAATATTTTTGGCCATTCGTAGAAATGGTTGATCTAAAACCCATACATTAGAGTGGGTTTTCTAAATCAGGTAAAAAAAAATTTAACTAAAAAGTAATAAAATGCTTCTCTATGACAAGTTTAATAAAAATAATTTTGTTCCGAATTTTTATTTACAAAATCCGCCTAAATTCGGGCCGAACCCATCATGATCACTCCTACTCCACATAAAGATATATTATTTTTGTGTTCATACCATTATCCTTATAATACTGAATTTTTTTTAAGGAAAAACAAGAGAATTAACTTTGATAATAAAAAAAAAAAATTAATTATGTGCACTGACACAATATCTATCATTATACGTGAACATATGCTCCAATCCATTTATAATATAAAATTTTACTATGATTTTAATTCCACGTAGTTTGGAATATTGTCCGGACACAAACTAGTTTCACGATTATGAAATGAATTAGACATATAAAAGTTCCAAATAAATTTTCAATTATTTCTACATAACTTTGCCTTTCTTTCCTCTTTCAATAATATTTATACTTGTAAAGCTTTAAAAAGAGTCATTTATAAGAGATATGTCATGCTTATTACACATGTTAGGTATAATAATCGTATAATAAGAATGCCACTTGTTGAAATGTTGAACTATATAAGAGTCTCCTAAATCCACCATTAAAAAAGCTTTCATTTACTTTTCTATACAGTGGTAAATTTGTGTCAAAAAAATAAAAATAAATTAAAACTTATAATTGCTTTGGTTGACAGTCGAACTCATCATGATCACTTCTACTCCACATAAAGATATATTATTTTTGTGTTCATACCATTATCCTTATAATACAGGATTTTTTTTAAGAAAAACAAGAGAATTAACTTCGATAATAAAAAAAAATAATTATGTGCACTAACACAATATCTGTCATGATACGTGAACATATGCTCCAATCCATTTATAATATAAAATTTAACTGTGATTTTAATTCCACATAATTTGGAATATTGTCCGGACATAAACTAGTTTCACGATTATGAAAATTTTATCATTAAAATGAATTAGACATATAAAAGTTCCAAATAAATTTTCAATTATTTCTACATAACTTTGCCTTTCTTCCCTCTTTCAATAATATTTATACTTGTATAGCTTTAAAAGGAGTCATTTATAAGAGATATGTCATGCTTATTACACATGTTAGGTATAATAATCGTATAATAAGAATGCCACTTGTTGAAATGTTGAACTATATAAGAGTCTCCTAAATCCACCATTAAAAAAGCTTTCATTTACTTTTCTATACAGTGGTAAATTTGTGTCAAAAAAATAAAAATAAATTAAAACTTATAATTGCTTTGGTTGACAGTCGAACTCATCATGATCACTTCTACTCCACATAAAGATATATTATTTTTGTGTTCATACCATTATCCTTATAATACAGGATTTTTTTTAAGAAAAACAAGAGAATTAACTTCGATAATAAAAAAAAAATAATTATGTGCACTAACACAATATCTGTCATGATACGTGAACATATGCTCCAATCCATTTATAATATAAAATTTAACTGTGATTTTAATTCCACATAATTTGGAATATTGTCCGGACATAAACTAGTTTCACGATTATGAAAATTTTATCATTAAAATGAATTAGACATATAAAAGTTCCAAATAAATTTTCAATTATTTCTACATAACTTTGCCTTTCTTCCCTCTTTCAATAATATTTATACTTGTATAGCTTTAAAAGGAGTCATTTATAAGAGATATGTCATGCTTATTACACATGTTAGGTATAATAATCGTATAATAAGAATGCCACTTGTTGAAATGTTGAACTATGTAAGAGTCTCCTAAATCCACCATTTTAAAAAGCTAAAAAAAATTAAAACTTATATAATTGCTCTCGTTGAGAGTCGAACTCAAGACCTCCCGCTTACTAAACGGGTGCTCTAACCAACTGAGCTACGAGAGCTTTGTATTAAAATAATCCAACAATATTATTTGTACTAAAACAGTTAATAAAAGCAGGCCGTAAACCCGACCCGACCCAAAAAAATCAAAACTAGAAAAAGAAGCAGAAGAAAGAAGAGAGAGAAAGAACTGAAAAGAAAAATGGAAGACGACGAAGAACCACCGGTAGCCATTGAAATCGATGAAACCATCTCATACCAAAACCTACAAAACGACGAAGTTTCAGTCGTCGGCGTCACCGTCATCACCGGTTACCTGGGTGCCGGAAAATCCACTGTAAGTGACAAACTAATAATTATTATGACTGGTGTTTATTTTTTTCATTTTTAGTAAGAATTTAAAGTTAATATGAATACTAATTGTAAAAATGATGAAATTTAATGTAGTTGGTGAATTATATAATAAATTCGGAACATGGGAAGAAAATAGCAGTGATTTTGAATGAATTTGGGGAAGAATTAGGGGTTGAAAGAGCTATGATCAATGAAGGTGATGGTGGTGCTCTTGTTGAAGAATGGGTTGAGCTTGCTAATGGTTGTATTTGTTGTACTGTTAAACATAGTCTTGTTCAAGCTTTGGAGCAGCTTGTTCAGCGTAAGGAAAGGTATCTTATATTTCTTCTTGTTATTATATAATTTACTTGTCCCAAGGTTTGTTCGGGATTAATAGTCACGTTGATCGTGTAATTTGAACTTGTAATGTGATTACTATACGCGGTTGGATATTGTTTGGTAATTTTGTATTGAATTGTTTTGATATTGGGTATAATTTAAACTAGTAATGTGATTACTATACCCGGTTGGGTATTGTTAGGAAATGTTGTATTGATTTGTTTTGATGTTGGGTATAATTTGAAGTGTTGTAGGGTTAGGTTGATTAGCCAGGTGTTATTTGTTAGAGTGCCAGGGTAAATCATGTATTGTTGATTTGTCTAGTTTTTATGTAAATATTTGTGTTTATGTTTCTTTTGAATTGTTCTGCTGTGCATTTTGTTCTAATGTTACCTTGTTTGAACGTAAGTAATTTGATGAGCGCGGTGTAATGTTATTTATGTATAGGAAAGTGTTTGTTGATGGAGTCTAGGAAGAATAGCAAGGTCTAGAATCATGCACAACAAAGGACAAAGGACATGAACACTCATAGCTAGGGAATTGTATGTTAGGTTAGAATGGACAATCATTCATTTGTTAGTTACCTTAGCTTTCACAAGTTACGTTCTTGTTGTTTCCTTGTTAGATAAGAGCTTAACCATGATCGATTTGGTAGGAAGTTGCTGTCATATCTCTTCTTTCCATTTTTCGATCTATAAAGTATATGTGTTGTATTACTTGAATACAGTAGTATGAATTGAGTAATTGTTTCTTTACCTCCTTTTGATTTTCATAGGCTTGATCATATATTACTCGAGACAACAGGCTTGGCAAACCCAGCTCCTCTTGCATCTGTCCTTTGGTTGGATGATCAGCTGGAGTCTTCTGTTAGGCTTGATTCGATCGTCACTGTAAGTTCCAATTTGTGTTTTTTGAAATTTTTTGATATCACAAAAGATTTTACTGTCCAGAGTTCTGGTCAATATAAGTAATCTGCTTTCTTTTCTCCCTTAGGTTGTTGATGCCAAAAATCTCCCTTACCAGCTCAAGCAACGTGATGATTCATCTTCTTTTCCTGAAGCTTATTATCAAATAGCCTTTGCGGTAATTGTAGTTCTTCCCACATCGGTTTCTTTATGCCTGGATTTTCTAGTGTGGTTACCCTGGTTGGGTGTTCCATAACAGTCATGCCCTCTGCTTTCTGGCTTCTTAGTAGGGAAATAAAATGTACTCACTTAATCTCTGGTAACCTGGAACTTGCAAAGTGATGGAAGTTTACAAAGATTTATTTTATATGGTTGCAGGATATTATTATACTGAATAAGGTTGATTTGTTAGCTCGAGAACAACCTGAAGGTACTCTGGAAGACTTGGAGAAGGAGATACATAAGATTAATTCTCTTGCTAATGTCATCCATTCAGTTCGTTGTCAAGTTGACTTGTCTAAGATATTGGATTGCCATGCTTATGATGCTACAGTTAGTTACATGCGTCTGATTTTCCATACCTTGGTAGGCTATTTCATAGTGATGGCATAGGTTTGTGATGTTTTTTAGCTTATCATTTCAGCATGCCTCTCATTTGGAAGCCTTATTGGAAGAAAACAAATCTTTATCTACTGGGGATCTTCATGATGCTAGTATCAGGACCCTATGCATATCTGAGCCACAAGCGGTGTCTCTTGATAAGGTACTTTTCTTACCTGTAATTGCAGTTTTTACAGAAGGCTATTTGAACAAACTCTTCCATCTCAGTATTTATACAAATTTCTTTATAAAAGGCCTTCAGAAAAGTTGTTTGAAAAGGAAATAAACAAAACAAAGAGCTTTGTGTAAATAAAATTTGACCAACTATTCAGCAGGAGAAACCAAAATGCAAAATTGAACCTTTTAATGTCCGCTGGAGTGTTAATATAGACATTTATGCTACTTGTGCTGTTCTACTGCAATATTGTTGTTTTCTCTGAACATCTTTGTCAAAAACTGGCTTAGTGGCCTTAAAACTATCATGGATGGGATCTTCGTTGAGTATTGCTGGCACTTGGCAAAGAATATCAGAAGGGTGCTTTTTTTTTTTGGGGGTGAGGGTTGGGGGGGGGGGTTTAGTGGCTTAATAGTTGAACATCTGAACACTTTTTTTTATTTTTTTAAATGAATTTACATGAAGATTATATAAATTATTGTTTCCCTTTATATTATAAGTATTAAAAAAAATAGTACGAATCTAGCAAACTGTGGCAGAATAATTCATAAGAATTTGTGGGCTGCGATAAAGTCATAACGGTGATACTCTGCTATGGATCAATATTAAGGGAAGGGAGACTTTAGGTAGTTAGTTGTCAAGCTTCTTGAATGCTTGAATAGTCAATACTTTGCTGTAATTTCAGTTTATAATCAATCACATCACCTTCTTAAAGCTTGATTCTCACATTCAATCTCTGGATTCACTCCATATCCATGAAAATTATTTAATTGCACTTGATGGTTTATTGCCATAACAAAGACTTGTTGCTTAGTATTGGGCCTATAGGCATTCAAAATTTACTTGTAATATTTGTGAATATTTATCCAGTAATAGTCTAGTAGATGATGAATTGTCAAGTCAGCTAATGAAGAAAGGAAAGTAGCAAGTAGTACTTAACTTTCTTGAGATGTTGGCTATCAGACTATATAATATTGCACTCCCTCCGTTTCGCAATAATTGCAACACTTTCCTTTTACATCCGATTCATAATAATTGCAATACTTCCTTAATTGAAAAGGACCCACTATTATTATATTGTTTCTCTCTCCCACAAACCCCGCTTTCACAAATATTTTATTAATTTTCTTTTGTACGATCCCCACTTACATTACTTTCTTTTAGTTTATATTATTTCTCACCTCTTCTAGCTATACTTATATTATAACAAATCTTATATTGGTCCCCACCCTATAATTTTCGTAAAACTTTGTGCACACCCTTGTGTTGCGATGATTATGAAACGGAGGGAGTAAGTGTTATTGGGGTTTGCAATATAGCCAATTGGATCCTTTTGATCTTATCTCTAAGATATATTATATTATGTGATCTAGTTTGGGTGCTTCATGTGGATTAGACTTTTGAAATAATTCTCATTGTACCTTGTGATGCTTGATTTAGCTTTGAGAGAGACTTTTGAAATAATTCTCATTGTACCTTGTGATGCTTGATTTAGCTTTGAGAGATGTGTTACTTTTCTACTAGCCTATGAAATAGGAATTCTGCATAAAGGCAAACACTTCTGATATTTTGGTAGAGAAGTTTGATTGATGTCAAGATGGAATAATTAAGCTATGTATGAGCGAGAGAGTGTGAAAGGGAGAAGGATAAGAATATTAGCAAGATTTTTCTATTCTCCCTTCCTCCCTCCAGGCCTGTGCATCTATTTTAGTACTCGGATATATATTTGCTTCATTGCCAACTCGTGAAATGTTACATTATATGACCTTGCAAAAGTGATGGTAATGCGGCTATCATCATCAATAACCAAATTCCCGATTTAGTCTGTACAGCTGTACTGTAAAACTTGTGATTTTCCATCTGATGCCAAAAAATCATGAATACTCTCTTTTTTTGTTCTGCATGTTTCTTTTATACTTTGATTTAGTGTTGGATTAGGTATAGGTCCAGTCTCACTTTTCATTATTATACATTTAAGGTTCGCATATGGCTTGAAGAGATTCTTTGGGACAAGAAAGGTGGTATGGATGTCTACCGCTGCAAAGGAGTTTTAAACATTTCAGATTCTGATGAACTCCATACCCTACAGGTAATAATTTCTCATATTATTTATGCCTGTTGGCTTCTTATTCCAGGATCTTGATCTCCTTTGTGACTCACAAGAGTCACAACTCCATATTATTTTCTTTGGATATGACTCATTTAATTTCTTCTATGGTGATCATTAAGAATTGTGTGCTGCTGAATGTCGTGCAGGCTGTGAGAGAAATATATGATATCGTTCCTTCCCGTGCATGGAAAAATGAAGAAACTCGAATGAACAAAATTGTATTTATCGGTAATGGAAAGTCATATCATACAAGACATCTTCAGTATCTCAAACCTTTTCTCACTTTTTCCTGTTTCATGTTCAGGTCAATGCTTAGACGAAGAAATTCTGGCTGATTCTTTTAAATCCTGCAAGGTAACCAGCTAAGATTTGTGTTTCAAGTGTTGCTCAGTTGAGGATGATTTGATATTAAATAGGTTGACTAGAAATACTTCTACAATATGAGTTCATACTTGCTTGACTTGGTAGTTCTCTGCCTTCATTTTGGTTGCTGTAGCCTTGAGTATTGCTATGATCCTTTGCAATACAGTTATACTGTAGCTTTGAATACCATGGATAACACAGAGTTGTACATTAGTTGTTTACCGGAGATAATTGTTGTTGACGAATTTTTTACCTTTTCAACGTCTGCATTGGAAGAACTCTTGGACCAAAATTTCGGAAATGGATCATTTGATCATGCATGATGCATCCATACCTACTTGTAAATAAAAAGAAAATCACTAGTATCCTTATCTACGGTGGCCTTGTAATCTTGTATTAACCAGCTTCTTCAAAGATTAAAAAGTAGTAGTTGTGAACACTTTTATCTTTTTAGGTAATGTTTTGAAAAAAAAGAAAACTTTAGGCTGGCTGGTAAATCTTGCTCTGTGTAAGGCATCTCACGTCAAGCAAAAGTACAAAGGTCATGGTTTCGATTCTAATGTGAACCTTGCCTTTTCTTTTCTCGTTTACCTTCTTGCTTCGAGAGGGAGTTTTTGGGTGAAGCTGTATTTGACATTGTTGCTTACCGAGGTACGTGTACAGCTATGCAACACAAATACAGAGTATATAATGATCAATATAATCCTCAACTCTGAAGTCCGACTGTTCTTAAGATTCTTGATTGGCTGGATGAAGTACCTAATGTGTAAATCAATGTGAGCAAATGAATGCAATTTGATTTCTTTATTGCATATTTGCATGATTAGTTATATTGTTTGAATCTGTCGCAAAGCATGAATGGCTGATCAAGGAAGCTGCTACTAATTTTTTTTAGCTTTGTTAGCCTTCGTCACTTGACAAATTCTAATATAAGACGGTTTTATGTGACGAGACATAAAGTGTTACATAAAATCATGAGCATGACTCCATAGTTTCTGATCATGAAGAACAATCCTGTATTACTTGTATAAGTTGTATTGCACAAGAGTTATTTTTTTTTGCTTTCTTTTAGTCAACCATATAACAACAAGAAAGAGGGTGAATTCCCTTACCTTCCTAGGTTTTAACTTTTAACCACATAAATAGAAATGTTAACATCTTTGTTTTCTCTTCCATTCCCCTCCATTCCTATCATTTTTTGCCTTCTTAAAAACCCAACCAAGTTGCGGAAGAGCCTAGATGGAGCCACTTCATCAACATCTCTAGAAGTGGATTGAGAAGATGATCTCTGCAGGCGCGATGAGAAAGAGGAAGAAGATAGCCTTCGAGAAGATGGCATTGTAGACCACCGGGCCAACTTCTCCAAGTAGAATGCGTAATCCTTAACACATTCAGGGTCCAACTCCAACTTCAACTTCAACTTGGGTTTAGCCACCTTGGTTTTCTTTTCCCATCTCCACCTTAACCACGACTTAATGGGGAGGCAACGATTCTGACTCGAAACCAACTCAAGTCGGGTCAAAGAAGATGAAGGGAATTTCTTGCTATTGGAAGAAAGGCTCACGGACTGAACACTTCCTGTTTGGAGTTCCTGTGATGGTGAAGAAGAAGAGGAGACGAGTCTAGATGATGACGATGATAATAACAATGATGGTGGTTCGGGGCTTTGATGTGGTTGGAACTTGGAAACTCCGGGTCGGATTTCCCAGTTGAATGGGATTGCTGGTTTCTTGATTGAATCATCTACTACAATTGCCATTTTTGTTTCTTTACTCTCCATAAACATAGTTACACATGAACACATATATATAATTCAATAGTTAAGCTATCAACATCATGGTGCTTGCTGTGGTAAAGAAAAGGTTCCAAGATACATGCCACTTTCCAAGTCACAGTCATGCATGGGTAGAGATCATGAATCATTCCACTATTTTTTTTTTTTTACTTCATATGTTTATACAACACAATAATTAGAACTCCATATGACATAATAAATAAATAAATAAATAAATAACAACAAACACACACACATTCTTATATATGGCTGGATACAACGTTTGGCTAGTCATTATGTGGATTACTTCGTTAGTGTTATAGGTGTTAATCGATCAGTGTTAACAAGTGAGTAATAACAATGTTTAAAATAATTAGTAGATGTAATATTCCCGTTACTTGGGCCACTTTTAGTTTAGCTTAATTAAATTAAATTTGTTTATTTAGAAAAATTAAATCAAACCAGACTATTCTTAGAAACGGAGTGAGAGCTATTTTAGATTTTTAGAAACTTCATTTAAAGTATATCAACACCAAAAAAAAATAAAAAAAATTGCAAAGCATGGATTTTTTTTTTTTTTCAAATAAAGGAAGCATTTCTCTTGTTTTATATGTAAATTGCAATGTTCAGAATTTTACATAATTCACTCAATTTTATTTATTGTCAATAGTGAGAAATAGAGAGTGAGGGATAACTTAAGTGATTAGAGTTTTTCTCCCGATATTACAATTGCTCAAAAAAATTTTTTTTATGGAAAGTTAGAGTCATGCTTAACAAGGATTTCCTTATTATTTGTGCTCTACATATTTTTGCTCTCATGATGAATACATTTTCTACATTGCGAAGCTATAGAAAAAAGCGTCTCCAGTTCCCTGCTTTCTTTTCAATCTCAGGTCTTTTTCTTGCTCTATTTTCTGTCCATGAATTTGTTCCTTGCTTTTTAATTGCTATTTTCTGTCAATTCTTTCAATTGAGACTTTGTTAATTGATTTTACCCTTCTACCCAATTGTTCAAGGTTTCTTTATGATTCTTTTTTTTTGTATATTAACCCTCTTAATTTAATTATATCTTTTGTTGAAGCCAGAATCAAATTTGTTGTTTTTCTCCCTTTATATGTTTTTCCTTGTGAAATTTTGATCATATGAAATTTGCATATTTTTCATTTCCTTGTTCTTGATTATCTTTTATCTGTTCATCCTATATTGCTGTTTGCCTACATTTTTGTTGTATCAAATTTGTTTTAAGTCTGAATTTTTCTTGTGTTCTGCAAATTTTAGTAACAGACATTGTTGTGTCAAATTTGTTATAAGTCTGAAAGTTTATCCGGTTTTTTTTCTTGTGTTCTGCAAATTTTACTTACAGACATTGTTGTATCAAATTTGTTTCAAGTCAAGAAGTTAATCCGGTATTTTTTTTTTGTGTTCTGCAAATTTTACTTACAGACATTGTTGTATCTAATTTGTTTAAGTCTGAAAGTTAATCTTGTAATTTTCTTGTGTTCAGCAATTTTAACCGACAGACATGGGAGACAAAGAGGTGTTGAAGTACATGGATGTTGTTCTGCGGGATTCAGATCTGGACACTTTACGAGGACCTTGCTTCCTCAATGACCAAATCATTGCATTCTACTTTAGCTATCTGTTCTCTAGCAGCAAATCTGATGACATCCTGCTTGTTAAACCTTCTATATCTGTCTTTCTTGCAAAATGCGAGGATGACAAGTCTGTTGAAGAGTTCGCTCAGTCTTGCAGGCTATCAAGCAAGAGACTGGTCCTTTTCGCCATAAATGACAATGATGATTATGGTGGAAGTCATTGGAGCATCCTAGTGTATGACAGGACAAAGAACTCGTTTCTGCATTACGACTGTATGGAAGGAGTGAATAATTTTCATGCCATGAAGCTGTATGATGCTGTTAAAGAATTCATGGGGCCAGGCGGTGAAGTTTCAAAGCCACAAACCTCATCGTCTTCAATAAAGAAGCAGAGGAATAAGAAGAAGAGTGTGCAGTCTGTATCAAAGCCTCTTGGAGCCGCGAAACCTGAATCAGTGGCTGTTACCACACCTGCTGTTTTCATAGAGTGTAAGACCCCTCAGCAATCAAATGGATACGATTGTGGTCTCTATGTGTTGGCCATTGCTAGGGCAATCTGTCAACGGTGTTCACATGGAAACAACAAAGGCGACGTGATATCAGTAATAGAGAAGCATGTTGATGATTCTGTGGAGATCAATATGCGAAGTGAGGTATTGGAGATCATAGAGGAGTTAGCCAAGAATTGAGTTATTGTACATCTGTCTCAAGTAGGAGTGAGTTACTTATGTTGGTCCAGACTCTAGAAAATATGAGGGTTGGATCAGCATAATTTACACTTTGAAGATATGTTAGTCTGAAATCTGAATGATCCTATGATTTCTGCTTTGCAGGATGAGGCACCTGTGTAAACCAATGTGAACAGGTGACATAGTAGCAACTAGCAAGTACATGGTTTTACATTAATCATTAGTCGATTTCGATTTCTTCGTACTTCATTAGGAATCTTATTATTTAATACAGAGTATACTAGGTGAAACTCGTGCATTAGTTTGAATTTTTTAAAAACTTTTTTTTTTTTTTTTTTGTCATATATTAAGATAAAATTCATAATATCAAAAGATAATACTTCGTAGTTTATATTTAAATAATTTAAACTTAAAAATCTCATTCGCTAATTTTGCTTACATGTTATTTAAATTATTTAATTCTAAAAAAATTAATAATTTCTTAGGGCCTGTTCACATTTGCTTAATTTCAGTTCAGTTTAGTCCAACTCCAATCAGTTCAGTTCAACTCTTAATCAAGGCCGGCTAAGGCCCTGTGTAAGCCGGTCCTCGGCACAGGGTCCTATGACCCAATACATTTCAAGGGCCCCAAAATGTTTATTATAATTATCAAGTTTGTAAATTAGTTAATGCACAACCTTGATGGCTTGGTGGTAGAATAGTTAGGCTTTGTTATACTTGGTAATTGGTATGAGGTTCGAACCTAAAGTAAGAGTTTTAATATATTTCACTCTTTTAAATTAATAAATGTAAAAATTATTATCATGTACGTGTCTTTTGCCATTGCACACAATTTATCTATTTTTTTTTATTAACTAGCTGATTTTTTTTCATTACAATAATATAACATTATCTACGTCTTATATAGTTACATAGTTACATAGTTACATGTATATCACTTACAAAGTATATGACCGTATATCATTAAGGCATAAATTCACAGTTAATTTACTTGAATATTTGTGTCATTTAATTTTCTTTTCATTATTAGTGATATTTTAAACTATTAAACATTGTAATGAAAATAGCATAGGGCCCCAAATTTGCATGAGACGGCCTTGCTCTTAATTTTCCTCTCTCATAAAATATTCATTTCAACTCAGTTCAATTCAGCTTAGTTCAGTAAATGTGAACAGACCCTTATTTAATTTGCTACCACAAATTTATAATCCTACGTGGCGTGCATTGCACGAGTTTCACCTTGTATACTCTGGATTTAAATTACGTAATAGTAATGACTAATAATAATATTGGTGAAAAAATGTTTGATTTAGAAAATTATTATTATTATTATTATTTTTTTAAAAAAAAAAGAAAAGAAAAAAATAAACAAAAAAAATTGTGATTCTTGTTGAGTTGACATCTAATGTGAACATTTCTTAATTAACCTGAGACCTGAAGTGACTCGATACAAAATGACCTGTGACCCGACCTGATTAACAATTCTACATAAAGTAATAAAATCATTTTAGATTGTGAAGTATATTATTTCAATCAATTAGGATATATTATAAACGAATATTATACGTTTTGAATCACTTCTTTTGCAACTCTAAATCAACAATTTTATCCTAGAAATCTAAACTAATTTTTTTTATCCTACGGGGTAGTTTTTATACATCCAATTAAAAAAATACTTTTTAATTCATAAAAAATACATCCAAATAAATCCTATGCATCATACTAATACATAATTGTTGCATATGTGGCAACACTTGGCGGAAAGCGACACTAAGTTGAAACGTCAAGTGTCGTTGTCTCGTGGCTTGACTAAAAGTTTAACTTTATATTTTAGTTATATATGACTAGTTTTGTGCCAGGGCGATGCCCGATAAAAGTTTATGATAATCTTTTTGGCTTGAATGTTAAATATGGTCATATATCCCGTCATACAAAAAAAAAAGGTCATATAATCCCTTTTGATAATTTGTATAGTAGGGCACTTTTTGTAGTTTTGTTTGTAAATAAAAATCTATTTTACTGATTAGAACTTATTTTTACATATTTTCTATTTTTTATTGAAAGTATTTTTTTACCAATATTTAATATTATTTTTTAAAATAAATTAATATATTATAAATGGCTCTATTTTTAAAGAACTTTTTTAAACGAATTTTATGATGGAAATAACATCGAGTTATACGGTATTTATTAAATATTATGATTAATTTTGTATATATGAAATATTAGAAGTATATTATTGAGCATCATATGTGTCACAATTAAAACTCGATATAACAATTTTATCTTGAAAAATCTATCCAAAATTCGCTTACTGAGCATTATATAGATGTGTCACAATAAAACCTAGTTTTTGCCTACATGGCGAATAACTTGAATGTCAAGTGTCATTGTCTGTTGGGCTGGCTGAGAGACCAACTTTATGTATATATATATATATTATATTTTTGTAAAAGATTTGTTTCTTTAATATAATTTTATTTAGCAAAAAAATTAAAATAAAAAACATTCAAGTCATATCAAGAGATGACACGTGTCATTAATGATGTGTCTTTTAGTACATAGTTATTAATTGGTTGTAATACTACTCTTGAATACTGTATTACGTCAATTGTTAAACCAACTCGATTTCGAAATGAACTCGAATTGGTTTAAAATAACGTAAATACAATAAATATATATTATATAATATACTATGAACACTGTAAGAACACCACCCACCAAACTACATATCCATTTAACCAATACAATTGCCGGAACTTCGTGGAAGTTTTCGAGTACATTTATGTTGTAAAATCACTCTTTGATCCAAATACTACCGGAATCAGAATGGAAAAAATGAACGCATGAATAAATTTACCTTTTTTTATCATTACCATGACGAGCTCTGTTATAAAAATGTAGAAAAAAGATTTTCTTACACTTAAAAACTGAAATTCTTTTCTTACAAATTTATGGATTGAATTTAGGTTCTTAAGATGTTGTTTCTTGAGTCAGGTTTTCTAAATTTTAAATTGCGAAGGTTGAGTGGACAATAATATAGTATGAAGCCCGTAAGTACACCACCAACCAAACTATATATCATTTTAACTAATACAGTTCCAGATCTTCGTGGAAGTCTCTAGGTATGTTTAGGTTATATAATTCACCTTTTGATTCAAAGACTACCGGAATTGGAATGACCGACGAAAAAAAAAACATAAATGCGTGAATAAATTTATCTATATTATGGTTGTTGTTTATCATTACCATGACGAAACAACCAGTAACGAGCCAGTGCCGGATCAACCTTTTCAACAAGTGAGTTCAAATCAATTTACGCTAATTCTTAACCAAAAGTAGATAAATTTATTATCCTAAATCATTAATAAAAACATTTATATAAACTTTCATAATGACTTAAAATTCATAAAGACAACACATTATATAATATATTATATATTATACATATATTGCACATATATACACATATATAAAAATTTTAAAACGAATATTTTTTGCATCAATGTGATAAAATTTGTTATTTTATTCGTTTTATGTAGTATATCATTTAATATTTTTATTTGAAAATAATAAATTGTGAATTTTCTCTAAATCGTTAAATATTTAGATCAAATTCTTAATCTCAAAAAATAATATTTTATATTTAATTCATTTAAATTTTAAAATCTTATTTGCCAAATTTGCTTATATGTGGCATTTGAATTATTTAATTTTAAAAGAATTCACAAAATTCTTTTTTGATTAGCTGTCACTAAAATTTATAATCTTACATGACGCGTTAAGAAAATTTTATCCTACATGGCTCTCTAAAAATTCGGGGAAAAACTCCCCTTTATATATATACACTAGTTTTGTGTTCAGGCGATGCCCGTATTGTCCAAATTTTTTTAGCTTGAATGTTAAATACGATCATGTAACCCCTTTTGATAATGTAAAATATTTAGACATACGATATTATATCGCTTATTTATATAATAGTGTAGTTATTGTAGTTTTATTTGTAAATAGATATCTATGTTATTATCAACTTGATATTTTTTATTGCACTTAAATTATTTCAAATGAACTGAAAGTATTTTTTCCAAACTAAAATTATTTTTTCTGATTAAAAATAATTTTCTATTTTTTTATTAATATATATTATAAATAGATCTTTAAAAACAAATTTTATTATTAATATAGTACTGAGTCATAAGATATATATTAAAAGTTATAATTAATTTTTTATGTATGAAATATTCGAAGTATATTGATAATAAAACACTACACAACATTTTTATCTTAAAAAAAGCTATCGAAAATTCGCTTAGTTAGCATCTTATGTATTACAATAATACCTATTTGTCGGCTACGTGGCTCGACACGACACTTGGTGAAAAACTGAAATACCTAGTGTCGATATCTTGTGGCCTGGCTGCGAGACCGGTTTTATATATTAGGGATATGATATATTAAATTTTATTTGGTTAATATTTTAGTCAAATAACCCTTTAATTTGTGTTTAAACCTAAGTGAGATTTTTTTTGTTAAAAGTTCAAATAATAAGATGAACTGTTTAATTTTCCTCCTATATTATAGATCATATCTCAAAGAGTTTTAAAAATGATGTATCACTCTTTGTGTTTATGGTATTAGCCATATTTGGAGCATATGTTTTAAAAGCTCAACAAAGCATATAACAAGCACACCAAATAAAACTAAATTTGGCACATGAATCAAGTCGTGTTGGATAACCTATCGCCTAGCCAACACCAAGGCACTTGAGCACTACCCATCACGAATTGAGCTCTTAAATAAGCTAATTTGTTAGGAAATAGGTGATGTTGTGTGCTTGTGTTTAATCTACGTTGGGAGATTTGAAAGCTTCACTTCCCTTTAGTAGAGAAATGTTGAAGAATAAACCTTTCAAGTGTTACCACATGTAAGTGTCCCATACCTCTCAATTTGATCCTTTCTTAGTTTCTTCATTATCTAGGTCCCAATCTGGTAGGTTTGGACTAATTTGTTGCCTAATGACAATAAACTGAAAGATTTTTCTTAAAGTTTGGCCATTAATGTGACCATGACTCTTGGGTCGATTGTATTAATTGGAATTCCATTTATTGTCTGCTTGTCTTGCTGATATTATTTCCTCTTTACACTGCAGCTGAAACTGATTGTCGAAAATGGAATGAAGATCGCAATGAAAAGGGTGAAGCAGCATATTATGAGAATGTCTTTGAAGATCTAGTGAGAATAGATGGGATTCGCCTGCCATTGTAACATTGCTACATTATTTTGTTCACTCTAACATTTTTGTTCAGCATATTTCTGTTATCTCTATGAAACATATTTATTGCCACAAAAGTACTGTAATATTTGTTACAAAAACTACAATATTAGGCAATGTTTCTCAGCTTTACAGGAATACATAGTACGTGCCGGCCCCAACGAGAGTATTCACATGGTTGCAGTTATAAAAACAGCTCAGAATAAGCACCAATGCAATTTGGCTGTGACATTAAGAATCTTTGAGCTTTCGCAATCCTGATTCTACCTTTTTGTCTATTTTAAGCTGTACTTGTGTTCTTGTTGGAGTAATGATTTAAGCCTCGCTGCTTTATAATTACACTCCTTTTTGAATAGATAGTGTTGGCATAAATTGCAGTAGTTCTTATAATTGCTATCATATTTTAACATGACAATTGCATTCACTCTTGCATGCGCGAGATTGAGCGTATGTGTACACAATTGTGTGGTTATGTACACCTGGGTGTACCGTACACCCGAGGTCATTAGCTCATTCAATCTAAAAATGAGTAAAAATATTACTTGCTCATTTGTCAATTGAATGAGCAAATGACCTTGTGTGTATATAACAAAATCTAGTTGTGTGGATTTTCTTTGTATTGTTTAAATGCTCTGTACGAGTGTCTAAGCACTTGCTTGACATACCCTCATGTATTGGTTACTGGTATTATGTAATTCGAATTCGTCTTGAAAACTTTTTCTGCTTCTTTGAAAGTAAATAATTAAGAATACCTCGAAATTGCCTTTGAAAATGGACAATTGAACAACTAACCATAAATAAATAAAGTACAACATTATAAGACAAGATATGCTAGTTAAATTGAAATTTCTCCTTTAAAGTAGAATGATCCAATTAAAAAGACAAAGTATGCTTTTTATAAGTTTGAAATTTCTCCCTAATAGGAAGGTTTTGATGTAGAAACTTTAACAAATTGCTTTGGCTTTTAACTTTATAAAAAGGGAATTCATATCCAAGAAAATACTTTGGCTAGCTTGTTGAAGATTGGCCTACCAAGCTATTCCTCATTAATATTAATGGATGGTGCATGGAAGAGTGGTTCCATTTTCCATGGCTATATGATGACTGATGAGCATAGCACAATTAGTGATAATCCAAGCATAATGTGTACTATAGATTAACAAAAGGTGTAGCATTTTCGGGAAATAAATAATATAACGTAAATCATTGAGATTTAATTATACTCCGTAATAGGAGTAATTTTTTTTTTTTTTTTTTTGAATAGTAATTATACTCCGTATTTGACAACTCATAAAACTATTGAATAAATACAAATGGTGTTTAATGGTTCTCAAATTCACATATACTATTCTTTTCTTTTTTCTTTTTTTTTACTATTCTAATTTTTTATTAAAGTTAAGTATGTATAAAAACAAAGTACGATTTCTTCAAAAAAAAGAAAAAGTACAATTATGAAATTATAAAGTATCATGTAGATCATTGAAATTTACTTCCCACATTTGAGAACACACTGATTTTGAAAAAAAGTATATTGTATTTTGTTAAAATACCCAATTAATACACCTATTCCATTAATACGCTAAAAAAGAAATAAAAGAAAATGGGTCCCACAAGAATTCTTCCGTTGTGGTGTACCATTTACACACTGTGAATGTGATAGTGATTCCCAGCAAATGGTCCAACGTCTAATAATACACCATTTATTTATTATGGTTATTATTATTATTAATAATTAAAATCTCTTGCTTCTTACTTCACCTACTACTACAAGTAGGAGTATTAGACTGAAGTATGGAATCATAGATTTCGTATTCCGTAAATTACATATTTTCCATATTTGGCGCTAACATATTTCTCATTTTAATAGCATCATTTCCCACTTGTTAATTAACTATCATTGAATACAATACAAGGCTTCTTAGATTTCTTACTAGCTAGCTCCCGGACCACTCCTATTACATCACATTCCAAACAATATAATGTTGTATTCTTCTTTTAGGTATACAAATGGCCTTGCTTGCTTGGTATAGAGTACTACACGTACTTTTTATTTATCGGCCGGGGTTTACTAGATTTGTTTAATGATGTTGTCATTTTAGTTGTCTGTATTAAATACTTGTAAAGGTCATTTGTTAATTGTTGACTGTTTTACGAGCTAATTAAATATAATAGTTATTTTAGTAATTAACTTTTTAATTATAGCTTAATACGTGTACTTAATTCACAAACATAATAAACAAGGCTTGCGGATGCTAGTATTAAAAAACAATTAAGAAATGGTCTTTAAACCAAGATTTTAGGCATTGATACGTTTGGTTATATAACTCAAAAGCCTCAAATATTGTGAAATAGTTAAAAAAAAAAACTAACTTATTAGACTGGAATTAAAGTTGTACGTATATCTGATTGAACGTGATCAACCTTAAACATACATGATTAGTTTTGATTCCAATGATTGTTTTTAGTGACTTGGTAGTATCATTTTTATCAAATCATCATACATCATATAACCATTTATAACCGATAAATACGTTATGTTCCAACAATTAAATTTGTCAAAAACACCCATAAATAATTGATTTGACATTTACAGCACACCAAAAATTAAACCACACTAACAAACATTGAAAGAAAAATCACAATCAAAATAACAATTTTCCAACAAATTCTATGCTTTCAATTATATAATCCCTAATCATTCATTAATCAATATTTAATCTCATAATTTTGGCCCTAATCACATTAATAAACAATTAAAATTGAAAAGAAAAAAAAAACAATAAATGTGATACGATTTAGCTAGCTTATTATTATTCCCTCGTCTCTCTCCTAGATCTGAAACACGCACACTCACTCACTCACACACTCACACACCCCAACATAATCATAATTCCAACCAAAAAAACTGATTAATCCGATTTTTACTCTTTCTCTCTCCTCCCTTTCTCTCTCTTCGTCCGCCATTGTTGAATCCTAAGCTTTCTCTCTCCTCCATTTTCATTTCTCTCTCCGTACTATCTGTATTTTTGTTTCTGTTTTTTATTTTTTTGGTACATTGAGTTTTTTCGAACATTGATCACTTTTTTCGATTTTTTTGAGGATTTATTTGTTCGATCCTAAAAATTGGAGATCACATTTTCGTGAACCCTAGGCGGAGTTTGAGGTTGTAATGTTTGTTTGAGTAATTAGTGTGATTAAGTGAAGAAGAAGGAAGACTGTGATCTGGAATTCCGCTGATTTTCAGGTTAGATTTTGATTTTTTAAATGTGAAATTTAATGTTGTTTTGGAGATTAATTAATTTTTACGAGTTTGATTATTGTATAATTAATTGCGTAATTTTGATTGAGATCTGTGTTTGTGGAATTTTTTATCTATTGTAGGTGGAATTGTTGGTGTTTGCTTTGAGAGGTTATGCTTTTCGAAATTCTGGGAGATTTGGGATAATTAGAGTATAAATTGAATTTTAGTTTAGTTTTCTGGGAAATTGTTTGTGTTTTCAGATGAATTTTTGAAGGAGAAGAGGTAGAAATTGGACATGAGAAGCTCTTGGTTTAATAAATTGTCGCTCATTTTTGGTCATAGAATTCGGCATAATTGGTTCCTTTTGTGCCTTATTAGTATTGTTGCATTAGTTGTTATTATAGGCTCTTCATCATCGTCATTGAGAGAATTCGATTCGATAGGACCTCCTCGATTTCCCAATGTTTACACCAATTATAGAAAGTTGAAGGAGCAAGCAGTAGTTGATTATTTTGATTTGAGGTTTCTTGCGTCGGGGAGTAATCCTAGGCAAAAGGAGCTTTCCCTTTGTGGGAAGGAGAAGGAGAATTATGTACCTTGTTATAATTTGACCGCGAATTTGAAGGCGGGGTTTAAGGATGGTGAGGAGTTTGATAGACATTGTGAGTTGTTTCGGAATGAAGACCGGTGCTTGGTTAGGCCTCCGAAGGAGTATAAGATTCCCTTGCGATGGCCTGCTGGCCGAGATGTGATTTGGAGTGGAAATGTGAAGATCACGAAAGATGATTTCCTTTCTTCTGGAAGCATGACTAAAAGGTATAAATTTATCTTTATAGTGCTACATTGTGTTAGGTAAAAATGGATTGGCTCACTAATTGTAGTGAACTTATTTAATTCACTAGGATGATGTTACTGGAAGAAAACCAAATTGCTTTTCACAATGATGACGGGTTGATATTTGATGGCGTGAAAGATTATGCTCGCCAACTTGCAGAGTCTATAGGGCTTGGTAGTGACTCAGACTTCCTTCAAGCTGGTGTAAGCCTTCCACTGAATTACTTCTGATGAGATGTGCTTAAAATGAAATGCTTTTATTTGCGCCAGCCTTTTGAATTGAAGGGACTAACTTCTTTCAGACACCTTATAAGTTTGCCTATCTTCTCAATTACAGGTGCAAACTGTGCTTGATATTGGCTGTGGCTTTGGAAGCTTTGGGGCCCATTTAGTTTCTTTAAAATTGATGCCTATTTGTATTGCTGCATATGAAGTGACTGGTAGTCAAGTTCAATTGGCCCTTGAGAGAGGTCTTCCAGCAATGCTTGGCAATTTCAGCTCTAGGCAACTTCCATATCCATCATTGTCATTTGACATGGTTCACTGTGCTCAATGCGGCATTGATTGGGATGGAAAAGGTAATGAATGACGTTGTTTAATTGATTACTGCTTGGATTTGAACCTTTTCTCTGTATTTTTGGACTGTTAATTTGGCTTATTCTTTTCTATGTTATAGTCATATTGGAATAAAAGCATAACAGGACTATACTAAATATATAATTTCTTCCTCCTATAGCCAAATAAAATTTGCGTTTCTCAATTGGAAAAGAATATACTTGAATTATTTTCTGTAGGAGAATGGAGAAACATAATGTTGATGGTATATTCTATTTTTTTGTTTGCTGATATAACTGGTTGCAAAAATTTAACTAAAAGGATAACTCTTTAGAACATTAACACAGAACCAACTTTTCCCGTCTTTATTTTTGTTTGGGGTGTGGGGGCAAGAGGCTGATATACCTTGTTGATGCTTTATTAATTGAGGCATTTTCTTTCTGCTTTGTATGCTCTTCTATTTTCAAAAGTATCTGTATCAAAGATTTATAACAGGACTGTACCAAATATATATATTTAAAAGCATAACAGATATCTGATTATTTTGTATAAGATATCTGTATGGTCTATCTTCAAATGAGCAAAAAATTATTCCATGAGCAGAAAATACCCTTGGGGATTGGGTGCACCTTACACTCGTGAGTATATAAATGTATTCAGATTGAAGGTGTGAAAAAGGTTTTGCCTGTGTTCAGGCTCTTGCTGCTGTAGAGAGGGAAAGTTCACTGTTATTAATGTATGGGTTTTAATGTACCTTTTTTTTTTTTTTTTTTTTTTAAAAAAAAAAAAAAAAAATTTATCTCACTGACCTCAATTCAGACTATATGAGATTTTTTTATTAGAAATTTCACTTTAAGCTATATCAGTTGGTCTCCCTAGATTAGGATACAACCTGCTATCTGTGTCAAATATTTTTCTAGTCAAGTGGATTTATCAAACTGGATGAGGCTCTCATTACAGATCTGTTGTGATGGCAAGAAGTTTAGTGTTGAGAATTGTAGAAGTCAATTCTGAGGACCTTGAGATTGGTAACTAAGATAGTAGTGGCTAATAATGGTATTCCTGTGTGCTTTGTGCTGCATAAATGTTTATGTCTATCTGATGGATGGCACAAATGTGGGACTTGCTATGATAATGCTTTTTACTTTGGGCATATAATGACATTTATTATAACATCTCAAACTGATTTACTATTCAAAATCTTGCCGGTTTAGCTTTTTTGTCATTACTATTATAAGGGTATGGAAGCCCAATTGTGTATTCCATGTTTGATTGATGTAATTTTAGCATGGTGGAAATTTAATCAGTGCCAATCCCATAGTGGCTTGTAGTAAATACTTTAAGGTAGACCGTTATCTGCTATCGTTGGAAAGCTTAAATTTGATTGCCTTTGCACAAGTATTGTTCATCTTTCCATCCTAACAATGGCTGTGAACAGATGGAATGTTCATTATAGAAGTGGACCGGTTGCTCAAGCCTGGAGGTTACTTTGTTTTAACCTCTCCTGCAACCAAACCACAAGGAAGCTTGTTGGCAACAAAGAAAGGCAATATGTTGACTCCAGTTGAAGATTTCACTCAAAGGATTTGCTGGAGTCTTCTGGACCAGCAAGATGATACTTTAATCTGGCAGAAAACTGCTGATGCACATTGTTATGAAGCTAGGTAAGGGGAAGCTACATTGAAACTTATTAATATTCACTTTGGTTTTTGTGGATTTATTATCAAGTTGTTTATGTCAGATCACGTTAACTTCACACCACTATGCTCATGTTGTTATGATTTCATGGTTTCGTTGACACACCATTCTAAAAAAAAAGGCTCATTCTTCTTTTCTTGGATCTATAGGAAACAGGGGCTGCCTCTTTGCCAGGATGAGCATGAAAGTCAATCATATTACCGCCCCCTTGTTAAATGCATCAGTGGAGCACACAGTAAAAGATGGGCTCCCATTCGTAACAGGTCCAATGGTTCTCGGTTAACCTTGGAAGAACTACAAGTACATGGAAAGTATTGCTTTAAATAGATTCTTGCCAAAAGTTGAAACATGTTAGTGATCAGGCATACCGAAATACTGTTTTGCTGACCTTCCCTCCCCTCCTGCAGGTGTTCAATATGGAGAGTTTTATGAAGAGAGGGAATATTGGAAGTCGGCCCTTAGAAACTATTGGTCGTTGCTTACCCCCTTGATATTCTCAGACCATCCAAAACGCCCTGGTGATGAAGATCCATTACCTCCATATAACATGGTACGCAACGTAATGGACATGAATGCTTTTTATGGGGGTTTCAACGCTGCACTTTTGGATGGAAAGAAATCAGCATGGGTCATGAACGTAGTTCCCATAGGGAGTCCCAATACACTCCCCCTTATACTTGATCAAGGCTTTGCTGGTGTTCTGCATGACTGGTAAGGCTCTATGTCTACAATCATTATCTCTTAACACTCTGTGGACCAATTTATCATTATCAAAACTATTTATAGGTCAGACTTTGACCTTTTACTGATCTCAAAATATGTTGTTATGATTGTACTTTAAATACAAGTCTTAAGTATGTACTCTGTAGTAGTTTCTATAATCTTAATGAATATATGCTGAGAAGTTAATGGTCAATATTGGACCTTGAATAACATAGTGTTCTGTTGTATATGCAAAATGGAAGGAGTGTATCCCTCTGGACTCTGGAGAGTAGAGTCTTGTTATTAATTATTTACAACCCCAAGTCCCGAACTGGCTAACTCCCTTTGCTCTCTTATAGATGTTTCAGTTGCTTTTCATGGTTTTCAATGCCCTCCTTTGACATTTAATACATGTAGCTACACTAAGAACAGTTTTCTATTTTGGTGTTTTGGGAATTACACATCGAAATGAATTTAAGAAGACTTTACATGTATACAGTTTGTGTGTATACAACTAATACTGGTGCAAAATTAAAATGGATTCATCTATGACCTTGAAAAGGCTACTTTGAAAACAACTATTGGAGAATGTATGAAGGGTTAGTACTTAGTTTTCACAGCTGACTAAAGATTCTTAATTTTTGAAGCTGTAATTTTATATAATAAGATTCTCTATACGTGAGGTCTGTTGCTGATTGGATGTAAGTTCTGAGGGAAGTGTTTAAAAATGTTATACGTTACCTATCTCAGTATTAAATCACAAGGAATTTGTTGATATTTGTTTTACTTTTGTTAAGTTTTGAATTGCCTTGTAAAGGGATGTTAGCTCTTATGCTGAAATATATGAGCCTGCTTCATTGGAGTAGGATGTGGCTGTTTCTTTAGTATTATATATTGCAACAGATGACATTAATTTATTTTTAATTTGGGTGCTTATCATTTTAATCGATTTTTCTAGGTGCGAGCCTTTCCCAACTTATCCTCGAACCTATGACATGCTGCATGGCAGTGGGCTTCTTTCTCTCCTCAGTTCAGAGAAATGTAGTATGATGGACTTGTTTCTGGAAATGGATAGAATTTTACGGCCAGAGGTATGCCTTTCTGTAACTGCTTTGTTTATCTGGAAATGAATTTGTTACATTCTTTTCTATTTGTTTGTATTTATACCTTTATACACTATGAAGAGTGGAGTGAGGATGGAAAGGTTTTCTTCCCTTCCTTTGTTGTTGAGGTATGGGTGGGAAACGTAGTATTAGGAATTGTAAATACATTTTCTCTGTTATTTATGTTCACGTGTATTTATGCAGTAGTTTGTGTAAGCTGATGTTTGTCGATTGTGTTGTTGCTTATGAGTTTTGCTACACACATGGCATGAAGTTTGACAAAAACCTTGTATTTCCTACTAGGCTTGGGTTATTCTTTCTGATAATGTTGGAGCCATAGAAATGGCAAGGACACATGCCACTCAGATTCGCTGGGAGGCCAGGGTGATTGATCCACAAAATGGAAGTGATCAGAGGCTTCTTGTATGCCAGAAGCCATTCTTGAGAAAATAATCACTTTAACATTTAGACCTCCACTGCAGGGGCCTCTACATTGTCAACTCTGGTAATTTATCTGAACTGTTTATGCTTTGTGCCATGATTTGTTTTACAATGCAAGTGCATGGACTCTACTGCTAAAGAGATTTTTTTGTAACAATAAACTTGTGCTTAATATTTTCTCGGCAATATTTTTAGATGAGTTCTATAAAAACATTCCTGATGACTTTAACCCTTTATTCAAGTGTTCACTATTTAGCATGGCATTACAACTCTTATATACTTATAAGGATGGCTGATATGCCGAAGTTGCTATGTATAACTATTAATACTTCGCAACTGTTATTATTTCTGGCTTTGTGCTAGGCTGTGACTGAATTGCTGCAAAAGGATGTTATTAGTGAATGTGTTACTGTTAATTACTCATTTATCATGTGTACAGATGAATAAATGAATTCTATGTTCCTTTTCTTTCCTACTCCGGTATATAGTACATGTCTTCTGGAAAACTATAAGATCTTTAGTTTTAAGCGATATAGCAATATTCTTCAGCAGCATAACTGACGCACTGATCTACTCTTTGCTTATTGTAGGGCAGAATTCACATGAATATAGTACAGAAGCTGCTTGGGCTATTGAGTATTAGACGAATTTGGTTGTCTTCATCCTTGACAATGGGCAGGTTGAAGTTGTAGATTAGGAGAATATATTCATTGCAGAAAAAAAAAAAGCTGCAAATTTTTTTGGCCTGGCATTTGTAGCAATTCATTCTTTTTTTTATTTTTTACCACTCGTCCCACAAGTTTTTGTTTCCGCTCCTGTATCTTATATTTTTCATTGATTTTTTTTTTTGGTATTGATCGTTGTAACGGTGAATTATTGTCTATCTGAAGAGAGCATAGCAATCGACGATATGTAACAGGTGATATCCTTTATGATTGGAAGAGCGAAGCTATATCTTTCTAATCATCCTACTGTTAATTGCTCAGAGCTGAATTATAAATATCACAGATTTACAGCTATCCTATCTTATCCAAAATGGTCTCACAAGTCAGAATGCTGTGAAACTTTTGTCAAGCAAGCAGACACGATCTCTCTCTCTCTCTCTCTCTCTCTCTCTCTCTCTCTCTCTCTCTCTCTCTCTCTCTCTCTCTCTCTCTACTTATATTTGTATATGCTTACATTTTATACTAGTACATTGTAAGAATTTAAAAGGGTTATCAGTTGACATCCTCGTTGGTCGCTGACCATATAAGTGTTGTAGTTTATTAGTGTGTTTGTATTCAAACAATCAACCTGGGCAAATTATGAATCAATTAAACGCTTCAGCTTCAGCAACCCAATTGTTATGTCTTGAAGTCCTTAGATTTTTGGAGCGCTACTGTCATTTCCTTGTTTATATTTCTTATTCTAGTAGCCATTGCAGAAAAAAAGTTTAAAATTCCAAAGTTGAAGTCTAATATCCGCGTTTTTTGAGAAATTTTGAAGGTTTCGGGGCCCATTGACGAAAAGCCTTAAGATTTTAGGGCATACATCTCGGGGCCATATAATGCCGTTTGGAACCATATATAATCTTTCTATGTTGTCATAAATGTTCGTGGTAGACTTGAATTAATGAAATCGGTGCAAGTTGTAAATCGTTAAATTGGCCGTTTAAAGGCAAATTAGTTGGTTCCACCTACCCAATTGGACTGACGGAGGGTATTAAGGACTAAAAATTTCGGCAATTTTTATTTCTAGGCGAAAAAAGCCAAAAAAATATTAAAATTGAAGGCTAATATCCACGCTTTTTGAGAAATTTCGAATGTTTTGGGGCCCGGTGTCGAAAAGCATTGAGATTTTAGGGGATACATCTCGGGGTCATAAAATGTCGTTTTGAACCATATATGATCATTATTTGTTGTCATAAATGTTCGTGGTAGGCTTGAATTAAAGAAATCAGTGCAAGTTGTAAACCGGTAAATTGGTCGTTTAAAGGCAAATAGGATGGTTCCACCCACCCGGAGGGTATTAGGATCCATAGTAAACATTTCGGCAATTTTTATATCCAGGCAAAAAAAAAGTCAAAAAAATTCTAAAATTGAAGGCTAATATCCACGTTTTTTGAGAAATTTCGAATGTTTTAGGGTCCGTTGCCGAAAAGCATTGAGATTTTAGGGGATACATCTCGTGGTCATATAATGCCGTTTAGAACCATATATGATCATTATATGTTGTCATAAATGTTCGTGGTAGGCTTGAATTAAAGAAATCGGTGCAAGTTGTAAACTTGTAAATTTACCGTTTAACAGCAAATTGGATAGTTCCACACACCCAATTGGACTCCCGTAGGGTATTTAAGGACCATGGTAAACAGTTCGCCAATTTTTGTTTCCGGGCAACAAAAAGTCAAAAACTTCCAAAATTGAAGGCTAATATCCACGCTTTTTGAGAAATTTTGGAGGTTTCAGGACCCGGTGATGAAAAGTCTTGAATTGAAATTCTAGGGGATACATCTCGGGGCCATATAATGCCGTTTGGAACCATATATGATCATTATTTATTGTCATAAATGTTCGTGGTAGGCTTGAGTTAATGAAATCGGTGCAAGTTGTAAACCAGTAAATTAGTCCTTTAAATGCAAATTGGATGGTTCCACCCACCCAAATGGAACTCCTGGACGACATTAGGGATCAACGGAAACATTTCAACAATTTTTATTTTCGGGCGAAAAAAGTAAAAAATTTCAAAATTGAAGGCTATATCCACGCTTTTGAGATATTTTGGAGGATTCGGGGTCCGGTGTCGAAAAGTCTTGAAATTCTAGGGGATACATCTTGGGGTCATGTAATGCCGTTTGGAACCATTTATGATCATTATATGTTGTCATAAATGTTCGTAGTATGCTTGAGTTAATGAAATCTGTGCTAGTTGTAAACCGGTAAATTGGTCATTTAAAGGCAAATTGGATGGTTCCACCAACCCAATTGGACTCCTGGATGGTATTAGGGACCATGGTAAACATTTCAGCAAATTTAATTTCTGGGCGAAAAAAGTCAAAAAAATTCAAAAATTTAAGACTAATATCCACGCTTTTTGAGAAACTTTGGAGGTTTCGGGGCCTAGTGTCAAAAACTCTTAAAAATCTAAATGATACATCTCGGGATCATATAATGTCGTTTGGAACCTTATATGATCATTATTTGTTGTCATAAATGTTTGTAGTAGGCTTGAGTTAATGAAATCGGTGCAAGTTGTAAACCGGTAAATTGGTTGTTTAAATGCAAATTGGATGGTTCCACCCACCCAATGGAACTCCCGGACGGTATTAGGGATCATGGTAAACATTTCGGAAATTTTTATTTCCGGGCGAAAAAAAGTCAAAAAATTCCAAAATTAAAGGCTTATATCCACGCTTTTTGAGAAATTTTAGAGGTTTCGGGGCACGGTGTCGAAAAGCCTTGAGATTTTAAGAAATACATCTCGGGGTCATATAATGACGTTTGGAACCATATATGATCATTATATGTTCTCATAAATGTTCGTGGTAGGCTTGATTTATTAATGAAATCGGTGCAAGTTATAAACCGGTAAATAGGTTGTTTAAAGGCAAATTGGATAGTTCCACCCACCCAATTGGACTCCCAAAGGGTATTAGGGACCATGTTAAATATTTCGGCAATTATTATTTCTGGGCGAAAAAAGTCTAAAAATTCCAAAAATAAAGGCTAATATCCACGCTTTTTGAGAAATTTTAAAGGTTTCAGGGCCCGATATCGAAAAGTCTTGAGATTCTAGGGAATGCATCTCGGGGTCATATAATGTCGTTTGGAACCATATATGATCATTATTTGTGGTCATAAATGTTCGTGGTAATCTTGAGTTAATAAAATCGGTACAAATTGTGAACTAGTAAATTGGCCATTTAAAGGCAAATTGGACGTTCCACCCACCCATATGGACTACCGGAGGGTATTAAGGATCATGGTAAACATTTCGGTAATTTTTTTCCGGGCGAAAAGATTTTAAAAAATTCCAAAATTGAAGGATGATATTCTCGATTTTTGAAAAATTTGGGAGGTTTTGGGGCCTTGTGTATTAAGTCTTGATATTTTAGTGGATGAATCTCGAAGGTTATATAATGTCGTTTGGAACCATATATGATTATTATATGTTGTCATAAATGTTTGTAGTATGCTTGAGCTAATGAAATCCGTGCAAGTTGTAAACCAATAAATTGGTCATTTAAAGGCAAAATGGATGGTTCCATCCACCCACTCACCCACTTGGACTCCCGGAGGATATTATGGACCATGATTAACATTTCGGCAATTTTTATTTTCAGGCGAAAAAAATTCAAAATATTCAAAAATTGAAGGCTAGTATCCACCTTTTTGAGAAATTTTGGAGTCTTTGGAGCCCGGTGTCTAAAATTCTTTAATTTCTAAGGAATACATTCTGGGGTCATATAATGTCGTTTGGAACCATATGTAATCATTATTTGTTGTCATGAATGTTCGTGGTAGGCTTGAATTAATGAAATCGGTGCAAGTTGTAAACCGGTAAATTTGGTGTTTAAAGGCAAATTGGATGGTTCCACCCTCCCAATTGGACTCCCGAAGAGTATTAGGGACCATGGTAAACATTTCGCCAATTTTTATTTCCAGGCGAAAAAAATCCAAAAAAATCCAAAATTAAAGCCTAATATCCACGCTTTTTGAGAAATTTCGAAGGTTTCGGGGCTAGATGTAGAAAAGTCTTGATATTTTAGGGGATACATCTCGGGGTCATATAATGCCGTTTGGAACCATATATGATCATTATATATATGTTGTCGTAAATGTTCATAGTAGGCATGAGTTAATGAAATCCGTGCAAGTTGTAAACCGGTAAATTGGCCGTTTAAAGGCCAATTGGACGGTTCTACCAACCCAATTGGTTTGCTGGGATATTAGGGACCATGGAAAACATTTCAACAATTTTAACTTCCAGAAGAAAAAAGTCAAAAAATATATGATCATTAACGATTTAGTTTCTATCTTGTTCTGGATAACAGATTAGGGAGCTTGTTTAGGGCCGTTATGATCTCTTGTCCAGTACTAGAAATCTACCCAGTGAAAGATATCAACTTCCCACATGGTAGTTCGAAGAAACCTGTTCCAATAGTAGCCAATGCAGTAGCCATTGCAGGAGTACAATATAATGATATATGATCTCATTTGAGACGACAATGCGCCCCAGCCCAAAAATAATGTGCCTTAAAGTGGGTTTTATGATGATTGAATTGACAAATATGAGTTCAACCAAAGAATTTGTCACCTTTTGTAAAAAAAAAAAAAAAAAAAGAATTTGTCACCTAAATATATACTTCCTCCGATTTTTTTAGTTACAACACTTTTATTTTCATGGTCTTCTAGGCAATTTAAGAGGAGAGAGATAGAGAGAAAATAAGTGGTATTCATATGGGTAAGAGAGAGAAAGAAATGTCAAAAATGAAAAGAGTTGCAAGTAACTAACAATTTCCAAAATAGAATAGTGTCACAACTTGCAACTAAAAACAAAAGGAGAAAGAAAGCAATTCGAACAATATGTTGCCACCTCTATTAGCCGCGAAAGGCACTAGGACATGTTGCCAATTAAACATTAATTATTATTATTATTATTAATTATTAACTATTAAATAACTATTAACTATTAACTATTAATTATTACTGTATTATTATTATTATTATTATTATTATTATTATTATTATTAATTATTTTCTGCTTAGCAGAGTCTGACTCAGTAGAGCATAATAGAGCAAAACAACTCAAAAGAACAGGGCTTAATTATATCATCTCATATTACAATTTTGATCAACTGCTATGAAGTCCTAATATGTCAAAACTCAAATCATATACTATAGGTCTATAGCGTCTGTTAAGTTATAAATTCATATTTTTAGTGTTGGGTTTACTATTATGTTAGCAATAATTGAACTTAGGGCTTGTTTTGTTCACCTTATTTTTGCTTATCTAAATTTATATGATCTGGTCTGATCTGATCAGAATCTCATATTTGACCAAACTTTGACCTTAAATATACGATAATGTATACGGAAAAATATATCAAGTGGGTCATGTTAGATTCGTAATAATGTGTATTTTATTAATATGTGATTTTCATAATTTTTTCATTACGAAATTAAAGATATTTAGCAATAAAAAACTGCACAACGATAATTTAATCTGAACTTATTTTTTTAAAAATAAGTAAAAATAAGGTGAACTAAACGCTTTAGATACTTTTTTTGGTGTTACGTAATTACGTTATACCTTGAGTTTTGACTTAATCAATACATATGACCTGCATAGGAACCATGCTATTTTTTTAAATTGGCATTATACACACCATTTATTCGATTTTATTGGTATATATAAGTTTTTTACAAAAGCACACTAATTATTGATACAATAAAATACTTAGAAATTCAAACAATGTAATCCAACTTTTTGTCCAATCCATATTCATGAGCATCAATCTGATAGTTTCTTAGGAAATACTGGTATACTTTGTTCAGACCTGAAGAAATTGCTCGGATCAACCTTAGCCTTAACTTGCAACAATCTCTTGACATTGTCCTTAAAAAAGTCCTTAGCAAAAACTAAGCTCCCACCCTTGTTAGTGCCAACATCAATGTCCCTATAATTCAAGAATGCTTCTCTTGGATTCTTAGACACAAAAGGGGTGAATGTATCATGAAGATCTCTAGTCAATTCGATATTCCTATTTAGAGCCTCAACACTATCATCTTGCCATGTTGTGATGTATTGTATCTTAAAAAGGTTCCCTGCTCGATGTGGGAAGGCCGTTGCACCCTCAGGGATCTCGCTCATCCTCCCACCATAAGGATTCCATTGTAGGAGCATAATGTTATTAGACTCCACCTCGATCATCTTTTTCCATATAGTCTCTAGCCCTGCCCTTGGGATAGGTTTTTTCACATAATCAGACTTGTGTTTGCTAAAGGAATGGGGCGGTGTTGGTGTCCTTTCTAGTAACACCTCAAGTGGAGTACCTATTGGATTACCATTCCAAAATAAAGTTGTTTCTATCCATGGCATTTCAGAGCAATCCTGTTTTTTTAAGCCCAAACTCGAAAAGCTCGTGTTCATCAAAGGAAGAAGCTTGTTGGCACGTCCTAGGTATAAACCAATGAATGAAACTTGGACCGTCTTTTTGCTTCCTTGTTGCATAACTTGTGGTTGAACTCTTATGAAGAGCTTCCTATCGATGGTAGAAGCCACTCGTTGCCATTGCAAGACTATATCCGTAGCACTTTGTTCTAACGTCTTTTGGACATTAAAAACGGTTACAATCTCTGGAACGCGTACTAGTTTGATTTTCCATGATAATATGACACAAAAACTAGCACCTCCACCACCCCTTATAGCCCAAAAAAGATCTTCACCCATAGTTTCGCGGTTAAGGATCCTCCCATTTGCATCGACAACTTGTGCATCGATAATGTTATCGACGGACAAGCCATATTGCCTTAGCATGTTCCCATAGCCACCCCCACTAAAGTGGCCTCCGGCGCCAACAGTAAAGCACACTCCTGCAGGGAAACCATGGACCTTACTCTTTCGAGCAATGTTATAGTAAAGTTCACCAAGAGTTGCTCCGGCTTCAACGGTAGCAGTCTCACTTGGTATGTCAATATCGATGGATCGAAGATTGAACATGTCGAGGATTACAAAGGGATTATTTGAGACGTATGAGAGGCCTTCGTAATCATGCCCTCCACTTCTAATCCTGATTTCAATCTTACTTGTCCTAGCACATGTCACGGTTGCTTGGACGTGGGACACGTCCAAGGCCGTGACTATTGCTAGAGGTTTTGGAGTAGTAGTCATGTTAAAACTACTATCGCGTATGTAGCTATGAAGAACATTTAAGAACGAAGGATTTGTATTAGTATAGATGGCATTTGAGATCGAATTATTCGAAGTACTCGAGTTAGATTGAAGGCATGCAAGGAAATTGTGTATGGGTGAACTTGAAGTATAATTTACTTGGGAAACAAAAAATAAAAATAGAAATAGGTTTAGGACTTTCATGTTGTTTTTACTTTGTTTAATTTGGTGATTCAATTCTAATGGTTTGTGTATTCTATATATAGAAATTTTTATAGGGTAAAATAGCGATAGAACTAAAAATGCATGATGTTTTTATTTATTATTCAATTTGGACTGCGATATCAAAATGCCGTGTTTAAAAATCATGTAAACGATAACATGCTAGAGATTAAGGAGAAGATTCAACGTTCAAATTTTAATGCTAGGAATTTAGGATATACTTGTAAGTTTCAATTTTGAAAATAAATTCATCATTTACCAAAAGAATATTGGTGTAATCAAAGAATAGTCACGTATAAAAAATAATCAGTTTTTAGCTGTCATTAGTCAATTCTAATTTATGTAACTCGTTATATAACAATCTTATATAGGAACTTAGGAAGACAAATTGAAAGATGTTATTTTTTTTATATTTCGTGGTGTAAGATATAATAGAGATAAGTAAGATAGACATGAGCATATGACTTTTGTCAAGTTATTAAATGAGAGAAAACACAATTACTTGTCTTGTACTCCAAGTAATAACGTGGAAAATGTTGATTTTGGTTGAAAATCAAAGAGTTGGTACGAGATAAGCAATTATTTATGTAGTATCTAACAAAAACCAAAAGGTTTAGAATAAATAAGTTTTTTAAAAAATGGTACGCAGTACTAACTAAAGATTAAGGGGCATGTTCGGCAAAATATAGCTGTGAAGGTTGCTGTAACTGTGGAGATAGTTGTGAGCTGTCAACAAGCTGTTAGCTGTGAAAAAAGATAATTTAGGTATGATTGTTTGGTAAAGTAGCGGTTGACTAGCTGTTACATTTAAGTATCAATATTTTATTTTTAAAACTGTACATTAAATTTTCAAAAGCTACGTCTAACTTCAAAAGCTAATGATCATAACTTTTAATAAAAACTACCTCCACCACTAAAAGCTACTTGAACTATTACTTTGCCAAACACTCACATTTTTTGTTGAGTAGTCAAACCACTAAAAGCTACTCAAAAGCTAGCGCCGAACACACCCTAAGTCTCTTAATGCTCTGGATAATAGATTAGGGAGCGTGTTTAGGGCCGGTATGATCTCTTGTCTAGTATTAGAAATTTGCACAATCAAAGATATCAACTTCCTCGAGCTGAGGAAACCTGTTCCAATAGTGGTAAGGTCATATATGATAGGATAAGATTACACAGTACAGGTGAATAAGGTTTTTTTTTGGGAAAGAAGTCTCAAAGGACATTATGTTTCATTAATCGATTTTTTTAAAAAAACAGAAACAAAAACAAAAAAAAACCAAAAAAAAAAAAAAAAAAAACATTATGTTTCATTAATTATAATTATACGGCATTTGCAATTGACAGTTAACGATAATAAAAACATATTTAACAAAATCAAACAAGAAGTAACCGGGAGAGGGCTAAGAATCCAAATACATAGATATACAATTTGGCACATTCTTGATTCGTTTTCTCATTCAAGGTTAATCTGTCTCCTCTTCATAATTTTGTGCAAAAAGAAAATTCTTATACTGATTTCGTAACCCGGATCCGAACAATTATCAATTGCAGGCCCGCACAACGAACTGGACACCATATTAAGCGCAAATAAAACTTTGTCATTTAAAGGAATTCGGAAAACTTTGTCTTTCGAACAAAATAAATCATTTCTTTCATGGAAGACATTGTTATTACATAAGAAACAAAAAAACACACCAGTGAAATCCGATAGAACCTCCTTTAAATTAACAATAGAGGCTAGTGTGTAGGAGAGAGAAGAGATAGAGAGGCCTTGGGTGTTTACAGAGGTTCCTAAGCAAGTGTCATGTAGGGCAGTAGGGATGAGCCTTCAATATGAGTCATGAGACCAATCAATTGCTAAGTGCCTATTTGGCAATGCTTGTCGTGAACTATGCCTTGTTTTTTTGGTGCAACGTGAACTATGCCTTGTAAGTTGTAAGGACATAAGGTTGGTACTCGGTAGTTGTTAAGTTCTGTGATTCAGGAACGGAGGGCCAAGGTATATCAACTAACGTTATTTAGCATGTTTATGCCGATATGATTACTCATACACTTGGAAATTATTTATAATGTGTTAGGAATTTTCATTTTGAGGATGGCTTCTTAATGTTTAATTTTTCTTACCTTTACACAAAAAAAAATAATAAAATAAATAAATAAAAGATAAAAGATAAAAATAGGACAGTTTTACAATAGTTACAATAAAATTGTGGCCACTATAATAGAGTGAATCTCAACCCTTCACTTAACAAGACTCATCATATCCATTTATTTAGTTGACTTTTAAGATATAAAAAAAAAACTCATATAAAATCAGTAATTTCTCTACTCTAATTCAGAAATATCTGTTTAAAAAGGATATTAAGACTAGAACGAATTTTTTTTAATGAATTACCTCATCTATATTTGATGTTGTACTATTTTTAATTTATTTATCTTAAGATGATTGTTTACTTGAAAATTAAAAAATCTTTATGTCAATATCTTCCATTCATTTCTCTGGTTTTGGTTTTGATTTTGCCAGGATGATTTAATATACTCCACTCTAATCCCACAAAAATAGTGTGTTAGATATTAAATATCATATACAAACACAATAGTGATGGTCTGATGAACACTTCTTATGTTTGATCAATTGATCTTACGAATTGCAGGTAGCATCCGTATTTTTGTGAAAAGCAACAGGATAAAATGGAAAACCGTTTTGTGATCTATAAGAATATGAAAACAATTTTATTTTATTTTATTTTTTTAAAAAAAAAAAAAAATTGATTAATGGACAAGATTGATCCATAAAAATAAAGGGTCAAGATTTTTTATTTTGAAACATAAAGGGTCAAGATTAAAAGTAATACAAAATTATAGTCATTGAAAAGTCTTCCGATAAAAATATATTTATACTATAGCTACAAGTTCAATATAGAATTATAGATTAAGGACCATGGAGAAGAACTTTATTTATGAGGCTACCCTAATAAGTTGATTTTGACCTTGTAAAGATGGTTAATAGTACGTTGAGAAAATTAATAATTTTTACTATATTTAATTCCAAAATGTGGAAAAACTACATGATAGGATCAATCAAATTAAGAAGGTTTTAAGTTTTTTTTTCAAAGAAGTTCCAATTTAATTTTATTATCATGAAAACTAAAAATGTTTATCTGGTAGCAATTCTGTAAATAAATCAATAAAAAAAACACCAATCTACAGGGCATGCATATTCATAAAAAAATCAACATTTATGGGCCCATGTTTAATTTTAAATCATGGATTTATTTATGAAAATGACACTAAATTAAAAAAAAAAAAAAATGTTTATCAAGATGATTAACTTGTATTTCCCCCGCCCTTTTTTCCTACATAGCTTGAAGTTGAAATTTAGCATTCATTTCATATGAATATTAATACTACGTAAATTGGTTCAATTTTGCCAGCTCTAGACCTTCGATCACAGGACTATTAGACGATAGGCTCCTTCATGGAGCCCATCTTCTAGATCCTCTTCTAGTTTACTTTGTACTATCGTGTAAATGGTCCCCTAAACATCAACTAAGCAAAAAAAGTATCCAAATGATACCAAGCATGAACCATGTACCCTAGGTCTGTTCACGGATCGGATATCATATCCGAAATGTGATTTCGGATCGGATATCCGAAGACTCGGATATCAAAAATTGATATCCAAATCCGATTTGAAAAATTCGGATATCCGATATTCGGATATCCAAAATTTTCGGATCGGATGCTTCGGATATCCATTATCCAATATTAAGTAAAATTGTTATGATTACTTTCTAAATTTCACTAATTTTACCGTTTTTTTATCGCTAAGTTGTACAAAATATTTTAACAAAAACAGTAGTCCTTTTGCAATTAATATTATCATCAAATATATTAAAAATATTACAATAAGTTAATAATACAGGGTTAGTTTTATATGAACAATTTAAAAATTATATTATTTTAGGCTTTATATTTCGGATATATTTCGGATATCGGATATCCGAAATTCTGAAAATTAAAATCCAAATCCGCATCCGATATCCGCTTTTTCGGATCGGATATCCGATCCGAAATGAAAACTCGGATCGAATATCCAAAAATTCGGATCGGATAGTTTTGTACAGGCCTAATGTACCCATTGGAAGTTGGAGGGGTAAAAAAAATGGAGATGCGGGGGATCGAACCCCGTGCCTCTCGCATGCAAAGCGAGCGCTCTACCATTTGAGCTACATCCCCTTTTTGATTAAATTGTTGCTTTTTATATAATTTATTACATAAACATTAGTCAAACTCCGCATTAAGTATGAAAGTACTTTGTCCTAAACTATTAGACTCGGGTCAAAGCTTCATTGCATCTGGCTTTTGAAATTCTGGCCATATTTGGGATATGATTTTTGAATATAAATTATTACTCATAAGATTAAGATTTCGGTTTTTAAGAATTAAGGTTGGCTAGTTAGTTCGCCTCTCACTCTATTTTGTGCGGCAAATAGGCTAATTATTGATGCTAAGGGTCTGTTCATATTTACTTAATTTCAGTTTAGTTTAGTTCCTATCAGTTCAGTTAAGCTCCTAATTTCCCTCTCTCATAAAGTAATCAGTTCAACTTAGTTCAGATCCAATCAGTTCAGTTCAGTTCAGCTCAGCTCCAATCAATTCAATTCAGCTTAGTTCAATAAATGTGAACAGACGCTAAATATTCAAAAATTTATAATTTTATTTTTTATTAAGACATAAAAATATATCAATACATGTGGATAAATTTTATTTTTACCTGTTTACTTCACCTAAAATTTGTTGAATAGAATTTTTATTACTGGCCTTAAATTATATATATATATATATATATATATATATATATACACTCTTGGAAATTGTATAAAATTAGAAATTCATGACAATATCACACGTAAATCAATGTAATTAGTGTTTTTTATTTTAATAATTTCTTAACTTTTTACGGTTTTCAAGTGTAAATTTAATGCTTATATGTAGCTCTCATGGCTATGTATAGCATTTTGCATATAATAATAATATGTCTATCTTTTATGATTTTGATTTTGAATTTTGTTTTAGATTATTATGAAGGCATTCAAATTTCAATTTTATCAAACTAATGGATAATTGTTTGAGGGTGATAGGATGATAGTGGTACCTAACCAACCGTTTGAATTTATACACAAACTTTAGTCAACAAAACCAACAGAATGATATAAATAAGCTAAGTTAATTGGACAATATTTTTTCCAACTAGAATTACCTTGACCTAAGTAACAAACCTGATTGGACAACTAACTAAAGATGTCTAAGCTTGGTTTTCATATATGGCCATATCTTCTTCATTCTCAAATTAGTTGTTATATCTAACTTCTTACAATAAACCATTTTAACCTCAAATTTCATTACTCCGTACGGAGTAATAATTAAGAATAAAATACTACACCATATCATATGAATTCTTGTGTGCTAACTTTGTATTGATGTATATTTACATAATAATAATTTTTATTCATAAATAATGATAATTAAGGCCACATATTTAAATGGAACCAGTAATTTAAGACAAAGGTAATGTCATCAACGCTCACATCCATATTAGGAAATTCCTAAAACGTCTCTCGAGTTCCAAATCAAACTAATCACAATATATTACTTCCGTTGAAAGAAATAAAAAGGAAAAACGGTGTAAAAACAACTAAAAAGGCACATGCTAGATTTCATACTTATAGAGTACTCGTAGAATATTCAATCCAATTACCTTCTTGGTATACACTTTTGTATTACAGTACTATTTAATTACGCAAAGCTTAATTAACAGGAACATAAGGCATAAAGTACTCCTACTATAAATAGTAAAAAGATAATCCTACTTACTTATTTTAACTCCACCTCAATTTTAATCTCAAAAAAATTGTCTTATTTAAGAAAAAAATTGAATAAATCAACCAAATTCTCCTGACTCCTCCGATTTTGGCGCTACTCTTTGAAAACAATCAAATCCAACGGTTGAGATTCAGTCTTCTCTTTGACTTGCTCGATCCTTTACAATTATTTTTAACACTATATAATTCTCCTATTTCTTTCTCCCTCTTCCTTCATTTCTCTCTCCTCTTTTTTTTACAGTTTCGAAACGTTTCGATTTTCTGGGTTTTTTTTCTTCTTGAATTTCTTCAACAATGTCGACCGAAAAGGAAAGAGAGACTCAGGTTTATCTTGCTAAGCTTTCTGAACAAGCTGAACGCTATGAAGGTATACCCTCATTTTTGAATTTTTGTAAAATTTTCATTTTTTTTGAAAAAAATTGTTTTTTAATATTTGAATATATTTTTGTGTAGATCCGTTGTTTTTGAGATGTTTGATGATTGATCTGTGTTTTATTTTGTCGATTTGTTTGTAATATTTGTTTTTCTCGAATATTTGTACTTAATTTTACAGGGAAATTGAATCGTTTGAATTGCGAGCAGTTTGTGTGAATTTTGTTGGGAAAATTGTGTAAATTAAAAAAATTAGAGGAAAATCTCTGTTTGGATCTGTATAATGTGATTATGCGAGTAGTTACTATTGTTCTGTTAAGTTTTTTTTTTTTTTTTTTAACCCTAATTTGAATTTCTATTTTTGGTTTGAAATGATCAATCGATTAGAATGTGCTTAAAGCCGTAAAGGGGGTGTGATTTTACATTTGAATGTCGGATTCGAGGATTTACATTGTTATAGGCAGCCATTACCTTAGATAAACATGGATTGTTTATGAGAACAGCATGGATCCTGATAGATTTGGCATTGCATGCTGCAATAACATGGATTTCTGATGTTATCAGTCAAATTAGGTTTTATTAGTATAATTCTTGTATTAGGCTCATGTAGTTTAATATGGTTATTGCACTTATGCTATATTGTGTTGTATAATGCAAGCCATTTTGATTGTTGATTGTTGGTGGTTGAAAGTTCTATTCATCTATTCATTTAGTAAAAAATATTGGTATCAAATCTCATGTAGCGTGCAACTTGGTTTGACGGTTGTACATGACTACATATCAATTGGGTATGGCTTATTTATTTAATTGCTTCCAATTCAATGCCCTTTATCATAATAAATCTAATGATCATAGAAAATTGGAATAGTCAGTAGCTTGTCAATATCTTTACTGTTTGCATTGGGTTGTTCCTCTTATTTCGATCTCCATCTCCATTGGTTTGAAGTTCTCTATCTTTAGATACAGTAGGAGAAAGAAAAGAGTATTTTGTAGTGTTTGTACTGATTTGAAAATGGTGAAAAGGGGGTTTTTTCGGATTCCTTTCATATGTTTGGTAGAGTCTCAAAGCAATTATTTTTGTGGTCCCATCAAGTGTTTAGGACAATTTCTGAACTATTAATGGAAATTTCCTTTGCTCTTCTCCCTTTCCCCCCCCCCCCCAAGTTATTATACAAAATGAAGGGTGAGTCCCCTCACGCACCTAGCACCTTTTTTGGTCTCCTTGTTTTGTCTCCTGAGTTCCAATTGTAGCAAGAGTTAGGACTTAGGAAGGTAATTAAAGTTTTTTGTATTGATTTTTTGTCTTCATGGAAGCTGAAATATAAGGGTTCCTTCAGTTCCACTCACCCCAAAGGAAATTTAAATTTTTCGGTACTGAATAAGGGCAACTCTTGGCAATTTTACCCCTTCCATTATTCAATTCTGTTCACAAAGACAATCTTTTCACAGAAGATAGGTTGAGGAATTATAAAAAATGGAAATGAAATTATTTTCTGTGATTCCCTTTTTGGGAGTTTTAATTCAAATTTCTCACAAATTCATTGCTCTTTTCTTCTTGAATGGGATCAACCTCAAATGGGACCAAGCCACACTTTCTGTTGCTCCACTTCAGCCTATACACAGAATTTTCCAGCTCCACAGTCCTAAGTGTAACGGTTTTAACCCTACCATACCTAAACTGCCACCAGTTTATAATTTTTCAACCGCCTAAGTTAACACCATCATAATGGCTTTACTGGACTGGTCAGGAGTTTCTTTAAGCAAATTCCGCTATCTAACCCAATTCTATAGTTGAACTGGTAGTATTTCCTTTATGACCCAATTCAAAACCAAAGGTGGAGGTCTATGCTCAGATTAACACTACTTGTGAGTTGTGATGTTAATAAGCCACTGACACACTTGAGTGTTGGTGATGATGGAAGGAGGCTGTGATAACAGGAGGTAAGCAGTGTGGTGACTGTGGAAGTAGATAAACAGAGGAATTGGATTTTGGGTAAAAAGGTGGGGAGAGAATGATTGAATAAGCTAGGGTTTAACTTTTGTATAACAAATAGACGGTTTTCTTTCCTTTCCTTTCTCTCTTTTATCCTTTGTGCTGAACTCAATGCCTTAGTTTTGCTGTGAATTATATTCTATATCAACAACTTAATTGACATCTTCACCTCAAACATATTTTTGCCAAAATAATGCTTTTACTAGTTCCTTTTTTTCCAGAATGTTTGGTTTACTTGAGAAATGGCATCAAGATCATTTTATTAAATGTGTGTTCCTTAATCCTACCATGGGTTATATTAGTAGATTTTCTCACTACAACTCTTGTGGTATGTGCAGAAATGGTTGAGTGCATGAAATCAGTAGCAAAATTAGATGTTGAGTTGACTGTGGAAGAGAGGAACCTCCTTTCTGTGGGTTACAAGAATGTCATTGGTGCTCGGAGGGCCTCTTGGCGTATAATGTCTTCAATTGAGCAGAAGGAAGAATCTAAAGGAAATGAGAACAATGTCAAGCTCATTAAGGGTTATCGTCAGAAGGTTGAAGATGAGCTAACTAAAATATGCCAAGACATCTTGGCTATTATAGATGCACATCTAGTTCCTCATTCCGGCAGTGGAGAAGCTACTGTATTCTACTACAAGATGTAAGTTTTCGCATTCAATGACGATCTCCATTGGCTTAATTGCTCACAATTTGAACTAAGGTTGCCCTTCAACTGACGAAATCGTCTAAATTGCTTACAATTTGAACTCTGGTTGCCTTTATACTGATTGAAATTTGTCCTGGGTTTTGTGTCTTTTAAAATGTATTGGATAGAGATCTTTTAAGCAATTTTGTTTTGAAATATTTTATATTGCTGTGTTAATGAGAAGTAAGATGCATAATTGACAGCAATTTGGTAGTTCTCTAGTTACTTTAGGGATTAAATGTAAATTCCACCAAACCCATTTCTTGTTCCTAAGGAGTCATTATAATGATTGCTTAGTGACATATACACTTCTTTAGAAGTAAATATTTATTCAGTTTTGTCTGATGATAGCGCCTTTACCTCCCACCAAATAGAGTAATTGGAACTATTCAAGGGCTGTAGAACTCTCTGTATTTTACTGAACAAAATTGGCACATGCTAGAAAATGAAATATCTACAATTTACAACTTCTTGGGAGGTTTTGTTTCTTTAACTAATGACTATTAGTTTGTTTTTTACTTTTTGTGGAGTATTTGCTTATAATGCTGCTTACTTATGTTATGGTGTAAAATTACAGGAAAGGTGACTACTTCCGCTATCTAGCTGAGTTTAAGTCCGATCAGGAAAGGAAGGATGCTGCAGAGCAGTCACTTAATGGCTACGAGGCATGTTTTTTTTTCTCCATCTGCATAGTTGGTTTTAAAAAACTAAATTATTCTCTCTCATTGCTTGTTTATTTTTACGTTTTTTGTGTCTTACTGTGCCAATGTTTTGTATAGGCGGCCTCTGCCACAGCAAATACAGATCTGCCTTCTACCCATCCCATTCGTCTTGGTCTTGCTTTGAACTTCTCTGTCTTCTACTATGAGATTATGAACTCTCCAGAAAGGTGATTACCTCAAATTATATATTCTTACAGTTCCTTACCTTCTGAATACATTATGCTCGTATTCACCATTTTACTGTATGGTATTGCAGGGCGTGCCATTTGGCCAAGCAAGCATTTGATGAAGCCATTGCAGAATTGGACACATTGAGTGAGGAGTCATACAAGGATAGCACCCTAATCATGCAGCTATTGAGAGACAATCTCACTCTTTGGACTTCTGATATACCTGAAGAAGGAGGTATAATGCTTTAATAATTATTAGTAAACTTTTACTCTGTTAGTGTTGCATACTTGCCTTATTAATATCCAAAACTCAGCTATTATGAGTAACTTAGTTCTCCGAGGACGCGTGACCCTCAAGTGGAAGGCCAAGTGTGGATCCCTTTGCATGTAGTCACATAGATTTAGAATTCTTGCTAGTCAGTTTTACGAGTGCATGTTTTCAAGCAATATGGCAAAAATACTGGAGGGTGGAGTAAGGGTTATAATTTGGCAATATATGTATATACAATTGTATAAGTTACAATTTGTGCATGACACAAGTGACGCAACCAATATGATATTTACTGTTGTTCTGTAGGTGAAGAAAATTCCAAGGCAGAGGAAACAAAACCTGCTGATGCAGAAGTAAGTTGTTAAACTTCGGTGGTCTTGTTAACTTTCGTTCACAATGAAGTAATTTGTTTTTGTACTTGTAATTTATTTACATCTTTTTTTGGGGCAACAGTGATGTCTTATACAACCGCGTCATTATAACAAGAAGCTGCCATAAGAGATAGCTCGGATCCCTTAATATCTTCCCGAAAAGCAATTGTACTGGGGAGCATATAAATTATTGTTGCTGAAATTTTGTGCTATAATAGCTAGTAGAGAATCAGTTAAATGTTCTCTTATCAGCTTTTATTGTAGATTGTTCGTTGCACTTTCTTTAGATTGTGGTGTAGTATCCAAACAATCTTTTCATTTTTTGTTCTTATATGCAATTGTAAGCTCTTTTATATTGCAATTGCGATGTTTCTTTAGTCTTAATATCGAAAATTCTGATTGTGTTATATATGTATTTCAATGTTCCTTGGCGAAGGAATTGTTTTTTGGATTGCAAATTTGCTATCATGTCCGCCATTAAGGTTGGGATAGACCTCGACCCATATTATTGTTCTTTTAAATGGACTTTGTTTATATAATCTACTCAATTGGGGGGCACACTGTTTCTTATACTTTTAATTTGCTTAAGGTGAATAGTAAATATATAAACTAGAAATGGAACAAAATGTAGATCTAATGTTGTACTTATAAAAAAACTAAGGGCTTGTTCTGATTGTCTGAAATGAACTGAATATTTTATGAGAGAAGGAAATTAAGAACATGACTGAATTGATTGAAACTGAATTGAAAATAATATGAAAAGAACAAGCCCTAAGTACAGTCTAATACAATTTGCACAAAACTAAATCTGAACTATCAATTTACCACCTCTATGTATCAAGTATTAAATCCCAACTCTATGTGTCGAGTTTTAAAAATTAATCACAAAATTCCCTTACGCTAATGTTTGGATAACAAATTAGAAGGGAAATGGAAGGGAGGGAAACAGGAGGAAGGGGAAGGAAGGGAAAGTGGAGGAAATGATGAGCTCCATTTTCCCTCCAAATCTCTCCAATTTTGAAAGGGATGGTCTTTATTAAAGGAGGAGGAAAATGGATTTCTCCCTCCCCCTCCCCCTCCCCCTCCCCTTCCCTCCCCCAACATATTATCCAAACAAGGAAGTTTGTCTCCCTCCCTTTCCCTTCCCTTCATTTCCTTCCATTTTTTGTTATCCAAACATAGCCTTAACCTTGACCATGCATCAACTATACATACAAATGTGTTCAATTGAGATTTTGCATCTTTTGTTACTAGGGTATCTTTTGTGCGGTTGGCCAGCTTACCACCGCGACCTCCGTGTATGTAGTGTTGGTTGGGGTTGGTTTATGTGCTGTTGTTGGGTTGTTGTCTGAAATTTTGATGAAGAAATTGCCATTGTTACATTGAGAAAGCAAGAAGGAAAAGGAAGACAAGGAAGGAGGAAAAGGGGTGAGTTAGCAACATTTGAGATATGTTTCTCAATTGAGAAAATGGGGCTCACAGCTCACTCCTGAACTATATCTACAAGAGTACAAGCTTATTATTGAAAGATGTGGTAGAAAACGAAGTACCCAAACCCTTGCTACCGGAAACATGCTTTTATCCAACAAATCAGGCTGTAAAATCTTCGAGCAAGCGCCTTCATGCTAGAGTAAATTCGAAAATAGATCCTACATGCCATTGATTTTGATATCAACGTTTAATTAGACAGGTTTTTCATCTAATAATAATGACAATAATGAGCTGAACCAAATCGCCGAGAGAAAGATCTAACAGAGATCAATATCAGCAAATCTAACACCGCAAAGGCAAAAGAACCAGCAAAAGTGAAAACCACCTCAAACATTGGGATAAAGCCATGGAACAAACCCTTCATTGTGAATGATAACAGAATGAGCACATTTTACGGCAATTTACAGGAAGTGCTTATGATATGATATGATATAATAGGATAGATTCAAAATTTTGATTCAAGATTGACAATGTTGATGAGCTATTAACTAAAACAAAAATGTACATGTTCATCTAGTTTAGTTGTTTAAGATTCATCCTTTGCAAAATAGCTTTGTGGCAAAGAGAACTCCTCCTCACAATGCGGGAATTCTGCATCTTCATCATCTCCTCTCTGAAATTGTCAGTAAAACAAGATTGAACACTTAAATTGAAAAGTTATATAAAATTAAATACAATCTCCTAGTTGTAAGCCTGTAACTGAGAAATTTGCATGTAGAGCAATAAAATATCAAGGCCATACTGATTACTGAATTAGAAGGGTAAGGTAAATCAATAAACCTCCCATCAGTCACTGACTGAGTAAATTCATCCTCAACAGCTTGCTTACCAGCATCTCCAAGTTGTAGAAACGGTCAAGCAAGCGCATAACCTCTTCAGAAGAGAATTGGCGATCAAAGCTGTTTGAATTAAAATGGGAAAGCAATGTACCATGGTTGAATTTAGTATAATCATTTATAAATTATTCATGAAACATGTACATAACAACAATAAAAGAGCACATACCTTCTTCGGAGAAACTCCATCACACCATAAAGGACGAAGTGACGATGAATGCCTGAAGCAGAAAATCCTATTATGGTATTCTTACAAGTAATTTAAGATAATCCATATTAAAAAAATAAAAACAAACTGCATAGATATAATGCAAGTGCTTCATAGTAAACTTATTTGCATAACAGAAAGAAGTGATCAGTGATCAATTTACAAGCATTCATTTTTAGAACTCTAACACTGGACTTATACTACATTATAGCACAACACTATCTTTTGTTTTAACGGTTAATTCACAACAAAAGCCAAAAATAAGTTATTTAATTCTTTCACATAAGCAAACAGATTAGGTCTATCAAACCATATCCAAGGAAGATCAATGATGTATACACTGCATGACTCATTACTTCATTAGTCTCAGTGAAATGTAAAAAGAAGAGTTTTTTTGTGTGTACTGTGTCTGTGTGGAGCAATCTACTGTCTAATTGCTATAAGATGGAGGCTTCAGATTTTTCATAATTATGTACTTCCTCAGCTTCCTTAAAATTGCAGCACTTGATGTTGGCACGTTTATTTAGAAAATAGGAGAGACTCATCTAAATTACCTATCTAGCCTTTACTTACTCTCACCACCACTCCGCTGGTCCACTCCTACCACCCATCCACGACAGCCCCAGCCAAGCTCACCATAGCCCCCCGCAAAAGTATCCATGTCCACTACATCCCCGTTGTCAATCCCAAGTATTCCCAACCACCACAACAACCTACACCTAAATCAATGTGAGAAGAGATTAAGAACCAAGACATTCACAGCAACTTCACTAGTGCATGTCTGCATGATGCATAAGAACTTTGGTGGTCAAATCCAGGGTGAGCGTTCCAAAAGCCACCAGAATACTGATAGGATCATGCAGGCAACTGGAGACATCAAAAGCTTAATTGGAGCCATCATTTTTCTTTTTCTTCAATCAACTATCCTACTTCATTCTCCTTCTTTGATCTCCTAAATTCTTCTTCTTCATTTCTAGATTTACGGCATAGCTAAAAAAAGGGAAGGAAAAAGGAGACATTGGAAAGTGTTGCAGAAATACGGGAAGAGATGAAAATGGGCAGATGCAATGGGGGTAATGTGGCTAGAACAGGAGGGAGGAGGAGGTGATGGTAGTCTTTAAAGGAAGCAAGAATGACCTGGTAAGGAGGCAGTAATAAAGAGGGAGATGGAATAACGGTATTCATAAAAGTACGAGGTATGGTGATGTAAGGACATTTGTTATATTTTGTAAAACTTGACAAAAAAGATGTGTTATGATTTTTTGGAAGCTGCTCATTCAGGAAGTATTGTAAATTTAAGGAGAAAATAAACAACAAGTATGCACATACTAATAGTTGTTGAGCTCAGACAAATAGCTTAGACGGCGGCATTGTTTTAAGGTGCAATCTTCACAGAATCAACGTCTATTAAGTGTGTAGTTATGTAGTTTTTGTTTTGCTGAAATGGTTAAGCATCATATTCAAGTCAATTTCTGTCAAAAACCTATTAAGCTGGAATGACGGTAGATCAGAAGTCCACAGGTTCTTCAAAGTCATCAGGAGATTCTGGACTCATTTCCTACAACGGCCTTAATCCCAATATGATGGGGTTGGCTGCATGAACCAAAACTTTATCTCTAGTGATCGTTGACAAAGGTCCTCTCTTTCCATTTCCTTCTATCAAATGTTTTAGGTTTATGTAAAAGCTTGTAGACCCAATTTCTTCAGATCATTTTTACTTCCTTCAATTATATCCAAGTCATCTTGGCCTCCCTCAAGTTTTTGTGGAATCCCTATCATCCCAACTCTACACTTTTATTACCTGAACATCTTTTGATTGCCACCTCACATGCCCATAGTCCCATACCAACATAATCAATCCCCCCTTATATTATTCTTAATATCCGCAATACTAACTTTCTTTCAAGTATCTTCATTCTTAATTACATCCTTTAAGGTGTTCCTACACATCCATCTAAACATACCCATCTTTGCTACACCCATTTACCTAATATGATCATTCCTAAACGCCCAACATTTTGACCCATATAGCAGTCTTGGTGTAATAATTGTCTTGTAGAAGTCATTTGGACTCAGCCCCACCTTAAATATAACAAATTGGAATATGGGTTTCTATCAAGAATTTGCTGAAAACATGCTCTCTAATTGGGCATGAGTCCACTAACCGAGCCTTAAGAAAGAGAGAGACTGATGATAGGTTATCAATTTCATGGATGTTCAAAAAGGGACCGAGCTCAGACATAAGCATACTTCGTACTTGTATTTTCTAGATAATATCAAAACCAAACTATGTTAATCTATGTAAATAACAAGCTCAAACAGTCCAACTAGAGTAATAATTCAGACACTGTTCATTGAACAAGATAATTAACTACCAGTTCATTTAAATGTGATTCTAAAATGTAGATATATATACATGCCGCGCTATTCTTTCATCATTTTGCATTGCTATTAGCCTACAACCTTGATTATGATTAAATTACGGTTTACATAAATAGAACATGGTATCCGAATTAACAACAAAGGATTCATCTTACATGCTTTTACATATATATACCATGAGTCCATGATCATTGTAATTAACTACAATTTCTCAGAAGATTTAAAACGAAAAAAAAAAAAAAAAAAAAAACAGAATATAAAAACCCCAAATTAAACAAAATGATGCAGAAACTTTATAAAAATTGAAATGGGAAAAAATTAAACATGCCTTTCAATTTTCCAGGAGGGTAAATTTCAAGTGCCTCCAAAAATCTAAGCTCCAATTCTGCTTGTGATTGCTCCTACAAATTAAAATCCCAAAAACAAATTTAAAAATTAAAAAAACCCAGTTGAAAAATCACATAAATAAAGCAAACCCAGAATCATAAAGAGGAAGAAAGAGAGCAACCTTGGAGAGAGAAGAAGCAGAGGAAGGTGGAGCCTTGCAAGGAGAGTGTACAGACATTCCATCTTGTTCTTCTTCTTTGGCTCCTCCTCCGCCCATTTTCAGAAAATTATGAGTAAATTTGGGTTGATGATTATTCTTTAGGTTTCTGTTATTGCAGAAACTGAGATTATATGCTCAACATTTTAGTAGGGTTTATGGTTTTGATCCAAATTCTTCACCAATAGAAGTTGTTTGTGGGGTTGGGTTTTTTGGGTAATTGGCTGAGTTGCTCTAAAAGTTGATCAACTTAAAATACTTCTGGGCTTCTATTACTCTTAATTTCCTAATCTATATTGGGAGTTTATGTTAATTTTTCTTTTGAGTTGGTCCGATCAAGAGATCACTAGTCTCGTAATATTTAAGTTGAAATTGAGTAATGCCGGGATCTCAACATTAGTAGCGGTTTTACTTATGAACAATATAAAATTACACAATTTTGTCGATTTAATTTGCTAATTGGTTTTTGTTTTAATTAGTAAATCAACTCAAAAAATAAATGTACTCTAATTATAATCGATATAATTAGTGAAATCGTCCCGAATTACTCACATCATTTTCTTTGACAGCCCTTAGAAGGCAGCAAAGCTCCTTGGCTCCCTTTTATGTTGGTTGATAAGAGAAGGTATACTTTCTGTTCTAAAATCTGAGCATATTAGTTGTCTGATGTTTTTTTTTCGAAATTGATCCAGATTAATACTCAGCACACTCTATCTTATGTGCAACGATTACTTCATATGATGGGTTAATTAAATGTTTTAGGGGTAAATTTTCATTGATGACCTTGTGTTGCACAGAGAATGTTGAAAGACTTGGAACAATAGGAAGTGGAGAGATAATGGTGTTACATAGGAGCATTTGTGCACCACTAACCACCTAAACTAATTAAGTGCAAAAAATTGATAACATACAACAGTCAAATCAATTGTGCAATAACACAGGATTACCAATGAATTTCATAAACTATTACTTCGTATTAATAAAATTATAAAGTTACAAATCCTGAGTAACTAGAAGGAATTTTACCACTCTAAGGTAATTTCCCTACATTGAAGACTTAGGGTTCCATCACTAGTCACTACAACTCTCAACTTGGCAAGGGATAAGAATTGTATAATTTGAACTTTAGGATTAGTTTTGTATTATTCCTAAGCTGTCAAAATTAGAAAATTTAATTGCAAAGAAATGTCCCAGAGAAAAAGAGGAACAAAATCGGTACATAAAGAAAAGGGGAGTATAAATAGAGCTCAATCCTAGGCTCAACCAAAAACTCAAAATACAATAAAATTGCTTCTTTACAAACAAAAAGGCGACCTGGTTGCTTAAAAAGGAATTTCCAATTGCCATCAGCGATGGCGGACTACGAGGCATACTCAGTGCCGTACTCCAGATTAAACAAAATGTTCCTTCGATTATCAGAGCCCAAAAAGATTTTGCTCTGCTTGGCAAGAGATATTACTTGATTACTGCTATCAAAATCCATCTCTCGATCACATCGTCTTTTGATCTTCTTTAATGTGTCTTTTGATGGTTCAAAACCAGCTTCCACCTGCGAGGGGGTAATTCCAAATTAGAGGTTGGTTAAATATGCCACAACAGAAATATCTTGTTTGGGGCAAGACAAAGGACACTTTTACAACATTTTCCAAATTAGAGGTATGAACGCCTCAACAGACATTAATCACTATTGGTTCATGTAGCCGACCCACTTATAGGATTAAGGCTTTGATTGATTGATTGATATGAACGCCTCAAAGGTCTTTCTTGAGAAATTTGAAACCAAGGGAAAAAAAAATAATGGGGGATTGTCTTTACCATTGCATTTAGAACAGAAAGAGCAGACTTTGGATCTCGGTTGATGAGGTGAGCATCGACAAGCAGACTATATGACATAGCATTTGGTTTCACACCCAGACTACATAGATGTTCAAATACCCTTGTAGCTTCAAAGGTCTGCAACCAGAAAATGTATCTCATGGTGCTAAGTTTTAGCAATAGGAAAGAGCACATAAAATAGAAATTTAAATGAATTGTAGACCAAACCTTTCTCAATTTTGCAAAAGCAGACATCAAAGCATTGTATGAATGTATATTAGGGTCCAATCCAAAGGTTGAACTTATTGCTTCAAATGTTTGGTAAGCACGATCAAGGTCCCATATATTTGCACAGCCCAAAATTACACAATTTAAGGCAGCAACAGATTTGTAGGGAGGGTCTGCACGACTCAAATTCTCTAGTTGAAAATACACCTAAGAAAATTACAAATATAAAAGGTTAAAGATAGCACACTATTTTCAAATACAAAAGTGAACATATGTACATCAATAGTAGCCTCTAAAAACAAATTTCCACCTGTCTTCCTCACACACTGACCACAATATTTCCTATACGACTATTAAAATGGATTCTGCAGAGCTCACTGAACTAGCTCCAATGAGTCCATGACAAACATGCTAAACAATACTCTCTCTCTCTCAATGAAAGGAGAAGCTATTATGCTAATCTTGCAACCTTAGAGATCAAATGTTCAATTCTCACAAATCACAATCTCATGGGTTTTGGGGTTGGGGATACTCATGACAATCAAGAGGAGATCAAGTAATTAAGCTTTAACCAACGACAATCTCATGGTTGGAGGGTTTGGGGGGGGGGGGGGGGGAGGATACAGAATATGATGTGTGAAACTGTCAAACACTTCATAAAATACATTCACCTAATTGAGGGATATGACACCTTGTTTTACCTAGCTTGTTTTTGTTAAACTCAACATATTTAACTAAAAAAAAGTTGAATTGCTAAGTGCACAACAAATATCTTTCAAGGAAATCAATAATGATTAATGACAATGGTCCCACATGATAATGTTTTCTCAAACATATTAATAAAGATCAAGGTCAAAATTGATAAACTTTTAACCTTGTAAAAGAAAATTCAGAAACACTATTGAATAACTAAATGCTAATATAACCGTCAATAATGGAATATAACACTACCTATGATGTATATCAGGTCCAAAAATATATTTCATCTGTATACCCTTAGGAAAAGGGTAGATAATCAGCACCTCCGGAATTCAAATGATAGGAAGCCAAATCGTCAAAATAGAAAGGTGCAAATCAGAAGACTTACCAGATCTAAAGTTTCAAATCCTTGCTTTGAACATGCCACAACTAATGGATAAAGAGAAGTGAATGGTGACAGTAGATCCTCCCCTGCAGAACTTCCATGTGTTTTTTCAAGTTCATTCAGAGTGCTAAAAGCATTTTGCAAGCTTCCCAGGGAAGCTTGGGCATTTATCTTAGCCAAGTAGGTTTCTGGATTGGGAGGTTTTCTTTCACGCAAGGATCTCTTTAGGATGGCCCATGATGCATCCAAGAGAGTTGAGTCATAAGTCCGGGCAGCTGTAGCAATGGCAGAAACAACTAATCCTTCATCAACAGAGTGAAAAAAAGGGGGCCTCCCGTTTTCACCCAGTTGAATCCATCTTGCCATAAATCCTAAAGCTAGAAAGGCCAGCTTGCTATTATCATTCTGTATTGCTACATCTGCAAGATTGTTGCACAAGTTCCAGCTGGGGCTCAGAGCTTTATTTTGGTCCATAGCCTGATGATGCATAGAAATAGTCAAAATGAGAACACAAAGTCATATCTCACATGAGTCTCCAAGCAACAATCAAAACAATACCTTGCACTTCTCTATAATCGTCACCAAACTATCCAATCTTTTCTTGTCAACACAGCTTTGGACACAATCAACAAAAACCTTTGTTGACAGCATATAACCAGATTTCAGAGTTAGATCTATATATTTTAAGGCGGTATCAATCTGGCCTTGTGATAACAGCATGCTAATAACCAAAACATATGACTCCTCATCAGGCTGAGACTCTTTCCCACTTTGCAGCATCCTAGATAAATTTAGAATAAGATTCATCTGTCAACGGGCTAATTTAATTACAGCAAGAATGAAAAACAGAAAATAAAGCAAAGTCTAAAAAAGCCATTGAGTATACATTCAACTGAAAATTACTAAGAGATGAAACAGTATTATCTAAGAGCAGCAAATTGATTCACTAGTGTTATTGTGACATAAACATGTTACCGTTTTTACTATCTCAGACCAATTGCAAACGAAACAGCTTCAAAATTTTGTATATAACTCATAGAAGGACACTCTCAAATTGAAAGAGAATGTGATTTAGTGTGTCTGTGCAGAGATAGAGACGGAGGCAGAGGAAGGCGGAGAATAAAACTATAAAGGTAATAAACTAAAACATCATGACTCAAATACCATATGATTAAGCATCAGTGTCAAAAAAGCTGCACATGGCATCAACTCCATAAACGAATTCACCAATCAGCAACCTCAAAGTAAAATGATATTCGTAAGGGACCACCAAACAACAACTTTGACTGCATGCCCAAAGAATACAAAACCTGCAATTTCCTAGATTCTCACTGCAAAATCTAAGGATTTATTAAAACATCCACAGTCAAGATAGGCAAACAAACAAGAGAACTATGATTTATTTCATAGGAGTGCTTGTACTTCCTTTCAGACCTGTCATTTTCCAAAAAGTCAGGGAATGCATTCACTAAAAAAGCTCTAGAGATCAGAGTCCTAATAGAATATCATCCAGTCAACTCAAAGTATTAGCTACCTACTGCCAATAAAATGGGAAAGCTCTAGGGCACTTCATCTGATGTGAAATAGCATTAGGGCAACATGCTCCCCACTCTACACACGCATACACACTGATGTGAAGTGATGAGAGATCTAATAAGGTTCTCGTAACAATAGATCAGCTTATTTAAGTTTTTTAGTCACAAGGATGAGCTTCCATTAACTTCCCTTGGTTCAAAAACCCTTTTATGGACACCACGCGGAAAAGAAAAGAAAATATCACGGAAATAGATATATGCCTAAGAGGCTAGGACAAAGCTCCTTTTGGGTGTCAACATGGACACAATGATTGATAAAACTAGGACAGCAATGAGAAGCTCTCTTCCACAAGCACCAAAATCTCCATTCCTGATCAAATTCATCAACTTTCAAAATGGAAACCCAATAATGTCCAAAGCAAAAGTATATTAATCACTTAATCAGTTAAATGAAGCAGAAATTAGTGTACATGCAAAGAACACGACAATTGAGCTCTAGTGCTCCATCGCCATTAGAAGCACGGTGGAAGTAGTGAAACTTATGCCATAGGTGGTAGGGGGCTAATGCTGTTTTGAAATCATTCGCCAATACAGAATCCATACTTATTGCACATCGGCACTTAAAGAGCAATACATTCATACAAGCTCACAGTGACCAAAACAAAATCAGCTGCACAACAATAAGAATTATTGGTGATATT